GTCATTTTCGGCTAAGTCCAACCACCACCTAAATTCTAGTGCACATGAAGGTCTTTCGAGAACTTACTATACATACTTATTTGGATTCCGTTTATGCTCATCTGGCGTCCGCAGAAGTTGGTCGCGGTATAGGCCAAGAACGTCAAAGATGAAACCTAAATCAGTTATTGAAAGTAATGTACTCAAACACACATTGACCCACTTATTAAGAAATCGACTAATCCTTCCGGGAGGTCCTTAAGAGGGTCAAAATTTCCCTTCTTCCGCTCTGTCTACAGGCGTACTGTTGAATTTCCGTAATTGGTTCGCAGGCCTAAACGGTGATTACAAGACAACCTCATCATCTTCATCTATTTGTCGCTTACATTTAGAAAGAAGTGGCGCAAAAAGTCGAGCACCAAAAGGAAATGATAATGCATATGCGCGCGTTTTGGTCTCTGCCACTTTTCCATGACTTCAACCATATTAAACTCCTGAAACCCAATTTTTCCTCGTTGACTGAGAATAGTGTCTAAAGACCTTGAAGGGTGGTGCACTCTCACGATGCCAAACCCTGGATGTATTGTTTCTAACTTTCTGGCAACGACTTCTCTTGATTTTTTGCAATGTGAAAAGTAGTCCTTTTCAACTCTTTGTCTGTTCCCTCAGCTTAGATAGCTTAGATAGGCGCTTTTGAGCGCTTTTGGGCGCTTTTGAGCGAACTCTGGCCACGGCCTGAGGGCGTAATTCGCTCCATGCAACGTCAGTGTCACAAGAATTGCCAACCCCTACCAGAAACTGGTCAAATAAGGACATAATTATGGTTTTTTTTTTCGCATAAAATATTGAGAAAAAAAGAAAAGAGGACCAAAACGCGTCAAAAATTTGAAAAAGTAAGCCGCTTAAAAAATCGATAAAACTAGATATTCTGCATTTTATGAGAAAATGTTTTCGCGTGAACGTCGAAAAGAGGAAAGAGAGAACCAAGACGCTGCAAAAATGAAAAAAGTGAGACACTTCCTTGCAAAAGCATCTGTCCACACATAAAAAGCCCAGCAAAACTTGATATTCGGCTTATATGAGTGAAAATTCTACCAGTTACTTTCTGCCTGTAATGGGCACTCCTGTACATCGGAGATAAGACGATTCAGCTCCTTAACAGTTACTCTTTCATTATTTTTCTTAGCAACCACAGTGTCCATTGAAGTATTCTCATCAGAGCCTCGCTCGTCGATCTTTGTCATCCCGTGTAGAACGGGCCTATAGATAGAGAATTACAATAATACAGCCCAAGACAAGCAAGAAAATGAGGCAGCCTCAAGAATGGAAAAAGGAGTAGCAGACTACATGAAAACATGAGCTCAAAATGCACAAGAAAAGAACTGGGAGAAGACAGATTCATCGAATAACAAAGGTAAAAAAACTTGTGATGAAAGGGACAGCAGTTCATCAGGAAAAAACTCCCTAGCTTTCTGACGCAATCCACGTACTTGACATAAAATGAGCGACTTTGGATGCAAATTGTACCTTACAGTACTAACGGTGGTGATGAGAAAATCTTATCAATTTAGGAGTAGCTGAACACGAATATCAAGAAAAAACTTTTCACGTAGAAATTTTCAAAAAACTACAGCTAGCGCTTGAAAAATGCACTTATGACGAAAGATTTTGTAGAACAGTATAAAATAACAATTGACAGAGTATTTCAAATCAAAAGGAAGAGAAAAAGCAACAAATGCTGGGAAGAACTGACGTATAGGTGCATTATCTCGAAATCTCCTCGCCCGTCGCGACAAAATCGCACCAAAATTGGGACGAAACTAAAATGATGACTCGCGCCGGTCCACCGGATTTCGGTGCGAACGCCCATTTTGTGGGCGGATCCCCTGCGCTACTCAACCGCGAGTGTCTGAGTGGGCAACTAAGGTGAGGAGGGGTCGTAAGAGGAAGTAGTTTTGCCGAAAACCGCAAGCTCAAACGGAAAACAAAAGCGGATAACCAGTACATGTTCTTCACAAAATTTCAAAAAAAAAAGTAGAAATAAAAATAGTAAGGATAAAAATTATTCAGGAATTCTCAAAAAAAAAACGTTTCCAAGAGCTCAAAACACTTCTGAAGGATGCAAGATTTATAAGATTTCGAAATGTGTTGACTGGCTTACAAATCTTGGTTCCGAAGCCTCCCTGAAGTGTCACACACTCGACAAAAACGAATATTTTTACCGACGATGATCACCAATAATTTTTGAATCTTTTTAAATGCGTTTTAAGGGCCCGTAAAACCTATCTGTACTTTGGAGAAGCTCTGCTACATTTGTACAAAAACTGGTCTTATTTCGTAGTCTGTGAATTTTTTACGATTTTTTGTAAGCCGACAAGAACTGATTTAAGGGGGTCGTATCTGGGTCGCATCTAAATTTCTCGGGAGCCATTGAAGCTTGTTGGCTGCAATCGAGCTGTTATACGAAGCCATTCTCCTATTTTCTATCATAAAAATTTTAGGCCGTTTTATAACTCCTCTGATGAGTTACAAAATTTCAAGATCAAAAATCCCAGTTTTTGCTTTTTAGGATCGCATCTGAAATTTCGAGAGTCGCATCTAGATTTTTTCGAGCTCACTGCTCCTCAATGGCTGAAACTTTTTTCATGGATAGTCTGGGCACAATACTACATAGCCTATTCATTACGGCCTCTCAGTCTTTCCCTGACCTTAGTTACGAATATTTTACCGTGCTCATGCACGTTTTTGACATCGTTCTGGAAGGCTAAAACGTTTTTTTTTCGTAGGAAAATCTGTACAGTAGGTAGAATGTAGACTTTCAATTAAAAGACAGTTTTCACGCTTCGAAGATATCGTTTTTTCTCCTGCAAAAAAAAATTGTCGCGTACGGGATAGAACAACGGGACCATCATTAAAATCTATAACGTTTTAAATTCCCGAACCATAGTCTACAGGGTGTCCAAAAAATGTATCGAACGTTCGATCGTTAACATCTCTCTTCTATAGAAGTCTTTTTCCTTGCTTCAGGTACCAGTCTGTAGAGCTGGCTTCAACTTAGATTTGCATTATAGAACGAATCATTCATCTCTCTTCATTACTGTAGGATTACGGTAGAAACTTCAAAGAGAATTTTAAGCAATGAAAGGCCATATTTTGCTTCAGAAAGGAAACAAAACAGCCTGAAAACTTTTACACTAGGCTAATTAGAGCTGCTGATTATAACTGTAAAGTTCCCAATTTATTATGATGTCTCATTGAAGAGTTATGCCAGGTAAGAGGTAGCGGCCATTTTTTCAATGTTCCTAAAAAGTGCGGTTACACCGTTTAGAAAACTTCGTAATCTTGTGAATAGTTGAGTATTGAATTCAGTGTCCATAACACCCCAATACACAAGTTTTCACATTTTTTTGAAAAATTTTGAAACGGCAGCTTTTTCCACATTGACACCATATGTTCCAAGTTTCTACCGTAATCCTTCAGTAATGAAGAGAGATGGGTGATCCGTTCTATACTGCAAATCTAAGTTGAAGCCAGCTCTACAAAACGGTACCTGAAGCAAGGCAAAAGACTTCTTGGGGAGAGAGATATTAACGATCAAACGTTCAATACACTTTTTTGGGACACCCTGTATATCTTTCGGTACCACTGAACCATGAAAGGATTACGTTGTTCTGCTTTGTCAGATGATATCCTTTCCATTCATATTTTCTCAAACACAATAAGCATAGCCAATTGTAAATTTTACTACTTACCCAAACTACATGAAATTATTTGTGAGGTTTTTGAATGGTGAAGCATTACTTGCATTATCTCCTTGCAAGTAGCTATTTTTCTCTGACCTATAATTTGAGGTCCATTGGCAGGCATCTTTTGTGATTGACATTCGTTTATGCAGGATACCGCAAAAGGAAGTGGAGGAGGGGTAGGGGGGGGGTATCATCGTCCCGATGATACCTCTACCCTCGCCGCGACCCCAGGTCACGCCTGAATAGGCGTGGCCCAAGACATCCACCCTTTTACCACTCGTACACTTGACCAAGCTCTTGTATACACGCTCTTGCTACTCGCTGTAATCTTGTTAATAAACCTGAACCACCGTCTTTTCCACTTGTATTCGCGTTACGGGCAAAACCCCCCAAGAGTCTCTAGTACCCGCAATAGCTTGGTGCATCGGCCAAAGTTGCCACTTACTCCCGCATCTCAGAGTGACATCTGTGTTAGCCAGGAGTCGAGACCAGGGCCCGGCGGGGGTGGCGCTTTCACAAGCTGGATATCGTTTTTGGCCCGAAAAAGCAAAGGGGAAGTCGTATTTTGGGGTCCGGGGCGGAGCCTCGGACCCCAAAATACGACTCCCCCTTTGTTTACCGATAAACAATGCACATATCATTCTTTATTCATCATTCCTTGTTGATGCTACTGTCCTATGAACTTAGATTCCAGCAATGTGAAGATTCTGTGCTCCGATCGCTAGCCTGCCGGCAGGCGGGAATTCAAATCGCAATTCTTGTAAGAGGAAAATAACAAAATAGGCTCGTTTTCAATGCACAAGTAACGATATGACACCAAATTTGCTGTATAGTTGGAGGACCATGAGCACAAAAAAAGTATGAAAAATTATGAAAAACTTATGTGAATTAAAAAAATGGTAAGTGTTTTTCGAAATTAGGTGGCTCCCGCGCCACCTGGGAGCCACCTGGGGTGGCTCCCTGCTTCCCTTCACATAATTTCCCGGATTTCTTTACATAAATGTGGCCTAGGTCGAGAGTGTTACTACATGTTCAAATCCGCTTCCAAAACCACCAAGGCACCGCTTAGATACAGCCCCAAATAGGGTTCACAGCGTTATGATCGGCCTCGGACAGCGCGCTCCAATCGCAATCGGTGCACCTTGCACGGACAACGCGGAAACTTTGAGAATTTGACTTTTTGACTTTTTGCCTCTCTTTGCTTTGCTTTTTGCTTTTTGCTTTCGCTCTTTTGAATCGTTTGTTTCCTTCGTTTTCCTTTATTCTGGCTGTTGCAGGCATGCTGTCATCAAAAGTCGAGGAAATGTTTGTGACAAGATCGAGTCGAGTAAAATCGGTGGACCTTCATCCCACGGAAACGTGGCTATTGGCAGCCCTCTACAGTGGAAGCGTTCAGATGTGGGATTACAAGACTCAGCTGCTTCTGAAGTCTTTCAAAGTAGGTTTATTTTTTTGAATTTTCATGTTTTTTTTGTATGTTAGGCCCCGGCCAGACTCCGCTCAAGATAGCTCATCCACGAAAAGGGGCCTTTGGTGTTTTTGAGCGGTTTTGGGTTGTCCAATTGAAGTGTGGCTGGGGCCTTATGTTGCTTACTATGTTTCAATCCATATATCTTGCGCATTCTTTAGATATGTGATTTGCCAGTGCGCGCTGCCAAGTTTATTTCCCGCAGAAATTGGATTGTTACTGGCTCAGATGACATGCATGTCAGGATTTTCGACTACGGCACCTCGCACTTAGTTCACCAATTTGAGGCGCATTCGGACTACCTCAGGTAGGTGGAATGGTGCATTTATGCAAATATATTACATGAAATCGAATTTTTGCATTCATTTTTGTACATTACATTTGTAATTTTTTGCTTTTTCCTTGTGCATTTTCCTTTATTTTCTTTTTATTCGTGTTTCTGGTCTGGACGATTCCTTAGTCGACAGACTTCTCGCGATTTGATCGTCGCCACTGAATCGCGATGAGACAACTGTTACAACATCAATCCATGCCGATCAACTTGCATTCGGTTGTGATACTTTTCCAGCCCGAAGTTTTTGATTGTGAATATGAATGAAAATCTTGGCGATTACATCGCGACGATTAAGTCGCGTGAAGTCTGTCCGGGGCCTTAGAGTGGACTCGTTCTAACATTGTGTCCTCGCACATGACGTAGTCCGTCAGGATTTTGTCTCGCATCCGAGATGATTTCATCCCGAAGCACTGCTTTGGTATTCTAGAATACATTTGTTCGCAATGCTTAGAATGTGCTAGCCAACTCGTCTATTTTTGACTTCATCACAACCGCGCGCGAATTCTCGTCCAAGCCCATTACGTTTACATGCTCGATGGATGCGCCAGGTTGATACTTGAACTTCGTGCCGTGCTGCCTGCCGTGCTTCGTGTCTTATTATTTATGTATATCTGTTTGTCAGGGACTTACGGGGATCAAAAATAGGGTCAAAGGGGAAGTCGTAAGAAATTTTGGCTTCAAAGGGGATATCGTTTTCAAAATCCTGAAATGCCACCTCCTGCCGGGCCCTGGTCGAGACTAGCTGCTAAGCAACCATACGGCACAAATAAAGCCGTAAATCTTCATCCCGAAAAGAAACAAAAAGGGAAGGAGTCGCCCAGATAACAAACAAACGGGTGTAGTCAGCAAAATAGCTCTGATAGACCGCTGCAATTCAATTTAAGCGGAAGATCTGAACATAAATCGCTAAGTTGAGATCATAATGGCACTTCATTTCCACAAGACGCCCATCATTCTTAGCGCAACCACCTTGAAGACACTAGTATCAAGGTACAGCGAGTACAGCAAAGCAGTAAGCTACCCTACGGTAGATGAAGAAAACTACCAGAAATGCAGGTCAACAATCGCGCTTTTGCAAAGTAGCATCAAACAACTGAAGGAAGCAAGAGAGAGTCTTCAAATGCTTTACAATGAGATTCGCGAAGAATACAAGAACTGTAAAAGCAAAACAGACAAAAAAGAGTTGATGATAGAAATTGAGCAGATAGAAGAAGAATCTAAGCTGCAAGCCGCGATTGCTGAAGCTAATGACTTGGTCTATGTAATTACAGCACGACTGGACGAGTCCAAAAGCATTAGAGAAAATATGGAAATTAAGTTGGGATACTCGGCAATCAGAATGCAGAGAGATGAAGGCCTAGACAGCAGAGAACACGACGCTGAAGGCATACACAACGAAGATCCAGAACAAAATGGGCTTCAAAACGAGATAAGTCCAGTATCATCCCAACCTGGTCTTCACGACGAGGCAAGTCCAATCTCAACACAGCCCTCAGTAACAGATCCAAATCCCGAGTTTCCAACTAGGAGGACAAACAGACCAATAAAACCTCCACAAATTTCATTACCAAAGTTTTACGGGGATCCAGAAGATTTTTCAGAATTCTGGTCCGTATTCGAAACTTTAGTTCACAACAACCACGAAATCGATGTGATGGAGAAAATTCTCCATTTGATGGAATGCCTGAAGGGTAAAGCACACACAGCCATCAAAGGAATCAAACTAGTTCCAGAAAACTACGATTGGCTCATAAAAACCCTCAAGGAAACCTTTTGCAATCACCCAACGAACAGATCGCAAATCGTACAGAAGTTAGTCAATATGAAGGCAGCAGTAAATACAGCAGAATCCTGTACCCACACTTTCGCTCAAATCCGAATGCTAACCAATCAAATGATTTCCGCAGGCTACAACGTAAGTAGCACTTGCGATCCCATGTGGGGGGAAACAATTCTGTCTAAATTCCCACAGGATATTGTCCGATCAGTCTTGATAGCCAGTCGGTCACATGAAAAACAGACAATAGATGACCTCATGGGCATACTTAAAACAGAAGTAGCCGCCAAAGCATACGTGGAAAACAGATTAGGCCACCAGACCACCAATAAGGTCACTCAATCAAAAATAAGACCTATCAATCCACGACCCAATCAAGACGCAGGGTGTATATTCTGCCAGAAGGGCAATCATCCATCTCTTTACTGTCGAACAGTAACTGAGCAAAGTACCCGACGAAAAATTCTGAAGGAACAAAGCCGCTGCTGGAAATGCTGCTCTTCTAGACACAATAGTTTCGATTGCCAAAATACAGACTGCAGCCTTTGCGGTCAAAAGCATCATATTAGTTTGTGCTACAAAAAAGATGAGCCTCGCAGTAACCCCACGCTTGATAGCAGGCCGAGAATTACAAACGCAAATCAAAATAACTACAAAAACGATAGAAATCGCAATTCCGACCAACGAAATAACTATAAACGTGAAAAACAGAGAATGGGTCAACCAAACACACAAATGTTCGCAGAAACACAAAGCAACAGCGTAGAAGTCGTTAACAACAATTCCACAAATAAACAACTTATATTAATGACGGCTGAAGGCAACGTATGGAATAACAATACACAGGTTTTCGAAAAAGTTCTTTTCTTCTTCGATTCCGGAGCTCAGAAAACTGTAATACAAGAAAGCCTTGCCAATCGCCTCGGTTTAAAGAAACATACCACTGAGCTGTGCACTATGTCCGGCATTGGCGGTCACATAGAATGCTTTCAAAGCCACACAGTTCCAGTGACACTTGGCACCGCATATGGAGAAGAGGTGAACATAACAGTCCAAACGAAACCTGTAATCACAAACGGTTTTCCATCAGTCAAACTAGATCCTAGCGACATAGACTTTCTGAAATCCAACAGCATTTGCCTGGCAAACTCAAAAATTCGAGGGGAACACCAAACCCCGCATATACTAGTGGGTCTTGACTATTACCACGAACTGGTGATTGACCCTGCGCACGGTATGAAAACTCCCAGCGGACTCCACATAGCAAAGACAATCTTTGGGCCAACAGTTTATGGTCGCGGTATCGCTAGAAACACCGTCCCTGACACAATGTCTCACAGTCTCACTGCCATACACACTGAAACTGAGCAGGAGATTCTACAAAAACTGTTTGAACTTGATGGGCTCGGGATCGCGCCAGACGAGTGCCAAGTAGAGGAGAAAGTGCAAAGATATTTTGAAGATTACAAGAACAAAATCTCCTTTGAGAACAACGTGATCACAGCTCCGTTTCCATTGAAGGAAAATGTGGCAACCCTAGAGGATAACTATACAGTTGCAATAAAACGACTACAAAGCACACAACAACAGCTGCAAAGAAATCCTCATCAAAAACAGTGGTACTGTGACATCATTCAAAAATATCTAACAGAAGGAATTATCGAAACATTTCAATCACCTGATCCGAACGCCGCCGGCGTCTACTACATGCCCCATTCCGGAGTATGGAAACCAGAGAAAAACGTTCCATTAAGAATTGTCTTCGACGCCTCCTCAAGCAAAAAAGGGCAACTCTCTCTCAACGATGTAATCCATAAAGGAGAGTCATTCATCAAAAAGATACATGACATCCTCATTTCCACACGATTCAAAAACATCATTCTCATGTGCGACATCGAAGCCGCGTTTACACAAATCCGTTTAGTCAATTCGCACAAGGACCTCTGTAGATTCCTTTGGCTCAAAAATGTTAGCCACCCACCTACCAGAGACAACATAGTCGAGTTTAGATTCAAAAGGCTGCCATTTGGCATTACCGCCTCACCGAGTATATTGAACATGGCCATTGTAACCTACCTATCGTTACAAAACTCTGCCCTAGCTAAAGAAATCTCAGATAATCTCTACGTTGATAACATTTTACTACAAGCAGAGACAGTCGATGAGGCCGTAGCTAAATACACTTTATCAAAAAAGTTATTTCAAAGTATTGGCATGAACCTACGCGAATACATATCCAACTCAAAACACGTCAATAACCTAATCCCAGAATCGGATAGGTTACTAAATCCCCGTATCAAATTTTTAGGTGTGAACTTTGATACTAGAGTCGACGAATTCATCGTCGAAACAAAATTTCCCAATAAACTACCGATAACCAAGCGAGACGTAGTAAGCCAAATAAATTCCATATTTGATCCTATAGGGTTAGCGGGACCCCTGATCGTTAAACTAAAAGTGATAATGAGAAAAGTTTTCAACATGAACATTGATTGGAAGACTCCTCTACCCGAAAAATTAGGCACAAAGTGGATTAAACTCTGCAAAGAAGTCAATTTGGCCAAAATATCAATAAAAAGATGCTTGACCGTCCCGCACACCGAACAGAGGCGTCTTTGGGTTTTTTCTGACGCCAGCACCGAAGCGATCGCTTCTTGCGCGTACATTCAGTACCTGGCCTCAAATAGAACATCAGAACTGATCAGCGGCAAAACTAAACTTACTCCCAAAAAATGCAAACAAACAATCCCCAGATTGGAGCTACTTGGAATACTGATTGGAATCAGATTAGGAAACAACATCATCTCAGCCGCCTCAGTACCCATTATGGAATTGAATATAGTTTCTGACAGCGAGATTGCCCTTTTCTGGGTCAAATCCACAAAGAAATTGCCAATATTTGTCAGCAATCAGCGAGAGAAAATAATGAAAATCAAAAAACAACTAGAATCTCATGGCATAACCACAAATTTCCTTCATGTCACTACTGACCACAATCCGGCTGACGCAGGAACCAGAGGATTGACAGCTGCAGAAATAGCCAGTCACGATTGGGTCAATGGTCCTCGCTGGCTCCAGCAGCATCCTGACGAATGGCCAATTAAATCCATCGAAACCCTCACATGTCACGATACGGATGAACCTAGTGTAGTTATTACAGCTGCATTGGAAGACACAAGCGGAAAAACTACAAATGAGCAGTTTTTGGATCTAACGCGATTTTCCAAGCTAGACACAGCACTAAGAGTTGTAGCAACAGTAGCAAAGGCGCTGCAGATATGGGCAGAAAAAACCAACAACTCAAGACACACGAACATTATACTCGAGAATAAATACAAGTTTGAATGCAAATCCAACATTAGTGCAAGCGATATAGCTGCATCAGAACAAATTTTGTTAGCACACGAGCACAAAAACATCGACTTGAATACCCTACAGAAGCGTTTTCGAGACAAACAAATCATACGCGATTCTAATGGGATAGTACGTCATTTTTCGAGACTACAAAATGCACCTATCCCGAAAGACACCAAGTCGCCCATATACATACCCGAGGATTCGCATTTGGCAAGACTGATCGTGCTTGATATACACAACAAAAACGGGCACTGTGGCAAAGAGCACACCTTTTCCATTGCAAGGCAGCGCTTTTGGATCCCGAAGCCATCGAAACTACACCGCAAATTTATCAAGAATTGTGTTACCTGTAAAAAATACCAAGGACTGCCATTCGGAGCGCCCGCCATGCCCCCACTACCCAAAGACAGGGTAACAACTTCTAGACCATTTGAGAATGTGGGGTGCGATTTTATGGGACCCTTCACATCCAGGACGCTTGAGAAAATGTATGTATGCCTATATACCTGCCTCACAACTAGAGCAGTACACCTTGAAGTGGTTGAAAACATGTCCGCCGGTGCATTTTTGAACTGTTTTGTGAGATTTATATCACGCAGAGGCGTACCAAAATTAGTTCGCACCGATTGCGGAACAAATTTCAAACTCGGACAACACATCATTGAGAAAATGTTTGCTGAAAATGACAGCTCGGGCCAATCATTAATGTCATATTGCGCCAACGAAAGGATCACATGGCTCTTTAACCCCCCAGGGGCTCCTTGGATGGGTGGTGCATGGGAAAGATTAGTAGGTCTCACAAAAAAGGCGTTCTACAAATCTATTGGCCGAAAACGCCTAAGCTTCACAGAGATGTGCACCATCACGTGCCGCATCGAAGCCATTCTGAATACGAGACCTCTAACAAAATTAAATGCCAGTGACTTGACAGAAATCCCTCTGAGGCCGATCGATTTTCTCAGAGGCAACTTCCGGTTTTCATTACCAAATGACGAATGTATAGATACCAACGCAGACGTAAATTACGACCCCGACCTTATACAATCAGAAAGGCAAGCTATTGAAGCCTACGAGGCCTCAGAAGCTGTAACCAACATGTTTTGGGAGAGATGGAATACCGAATACCTAAGTGCGTTACGAGAAACCCAAAGATCTAATCTCAAGCAACCACGCCATCTAACCAGAATGACTCCAGTCGAAGGCGAAGTAGTCTTGATCGAGGAAGACCTCCTTCCTAGGGGATGCTGGTCATACGGGAAAGTCGCTGAAGTCATCAAAAGCACAGACGGCTTGATCAGATCAGCGAAGGTCGCTTTACCTAACCGCAAAATCATACAGCGCCCCTTGAACAGGTTGTTTCCACTCGAAATACGCAGTCTTCCAGACAAAGAGATTCCGATAGAAAAGGTTATCAAAAACGGTACACCCGATTTACCAGAAATAGCAACAGCAAATCCTGTCCCTCAAAAAGACAGATCACATCTGGCTCGCGCTTCGAAAACAAAAGCTTACGAGGTCATAAGGGACTTTGAAGCAGGACTGACACAGCAAAACGTAGGGCTATCGTCATTTCCACTATTGTACATTGCAATCCTATCAGTAATTTCAACCGCCGCAGCGTACCAAACAGAAAGCCCCTTGAAAATCTCCTGCCACAACGGAAGAGTATACATCCCACCATCTCAGAACATTTCCTTCCAATTATGTCTCAACGACAAGTGTACAATATTGAAAAACTCTACCCGACCCACCTCCTACGCCATCCCTGTCTCACCACACAATGGCAAGATCAAAATTGAAATCTACCCCACAGCGAACGGTAGCCAAAAGTTTGAGAAATATTGCTCAAGACCAGACTTTTGCGCACATAACTACTTCCTTTCAAAAAGCCTGCTAGGCAATCCACAATGTTCTCCGGTAGCGGCATTCGCCACACTAGCAGTCGCTATTTACATTGTTGGTCTCATACTAGTGGTGACCGTTCGCATGACAACAAGAGGAAGGAAAAGCGTACCTCCAAAACCGAGACCACCACCATCCTCCACGGCTCCTCCGAATAGTACTCTTCACGGTTTCGTACCGGCACCCTTGCCATACAGTATCGTTGTGTTGTGCCTAGCGTTTGTGATGATCGGGTCCGCAGCCGCCTGCCAAAACGGCTACACCCGCCAATCAACAAACCTTCTTTGTGAAGGAACATCCTGTAATTATCACTATAGTAAAGAACTACTATTCAATCGACTCATCCACGAAACCTGCATTGAAATTCATCACTCTAATAGAACAATTGCATTAGTAAAAGTAGTCAAAAAGACGATGAAAATGAGATGTTTAAAAGCCATAGAAACCTTCACTAGGAGTACACAAACACATATGTATTATGTGGAAAGGTGCGCAGAGGCAGGAACATGTACCCCCACAAAATGCCAAACCATGAGATCAAATGAGACGATAAGCGAACTAAGTAAGTATAGTAGATATCCTGGTTATTCTGGATGTACATCCATTTGCGGTGGGTTACCATGTGGATGCCTGCTACCACTCCCAGCCTGCCGCTTCTACAGACTGGCAAATCGACCAACATCACGAACTGTCTATGAGGTGGTTAGATGCGCCGAATGGACACCATCCATAGAAATTGACATTACAATAACGAGAACGAACGGGGAACATTCGGCGAATCTGCACATTAAGCCCTACATTACGGAGTCGCTCAGCGGATTCAACATAACAGCAATTTCGGTCCAGAAGCCCACAATACCATTGATGAGCCAAAGATTTGCAATAGCACAAGGTGAAGGTTTCATTCTACCAATACAGTTATCAATCCCGGTTGAGTGCGTAAGCAGGAATCAAGCCGAAAAAGAATTTCATACATGCAGAAATACGGTTAAATGTCACTGCGACGGCACAGCCTATTGCCAGTGCCCCGAGGATTCCCTACTCTCACTGCAGAACTCAAGTTACACCTTACCCCATGCAAACCCCAGTGTCAGACTCGAACAGAGTGACGGAAATGTAGCTGCATTTACAGATGATGGCGAATTCGTCATAACTCTAGAATCACGAGCACTAATAAATAACTCACAAATTGTAGACAACAATGAATGCAAGCTACAGTTTATCAACCTAACAGGATGCTATGATTGTGAGGAGGGAGCTAAGCTTACTACCCTCTGCCACTCCCAAACACGTGCAGAGATAACGGTCATTTGCAAGAACCACGAATTCACAGTTGAATGCGGACCTAATACCGTTAAGACCGATCACTTACTAGCATTCGAATATGCCTTTATTGACGAATCTTGTAAAACGGATTGCTTGGCATCGAAAAGTGAGCTTAGACTACAAGCACATCTCCACTATCACATTCCTCACAAAAACTATAACATTGAAGACTCTCAGCACATGCTTTCTGTCAAAAATCAATGGTTTGCGGATTTTTCCATTCCAGACATCATGCCTCTAATCGAAACAATACGAAACCACTGGAAAACTGCAACATTCATACTTGCCTCTACACTCACACTCGTAGGATTAACATATTTAGCTGGACCTACGTTGCTAATTATGTTACTAAAAATTCTACTATACCCGTTCAAACTAGTCTTAGCGGGAGCCTATCGTCTCATTTGTAAAAGAAAAATAGAGAACAAAGAAGATGATCAAAAAATATGAAACAATAGAAAAAGAAAAAGTGCAATGTATACAGAAAAATATATCAACTCTACCTTTATGTATGCTTTCACCGACCGTAGAGCACTAGGCCGTCCCTTCGCACCTCAAAAGATACACCACCGCACCTCAAAAACATACCCTCGTCCACCTCGTAATTATCATTGCTTTGCAGGCAACTTCACACCTCAAAACCGCGAGTTATATGTTGTAAATAAAGACAAGGGAGTCGACGAAAACACATGAGTAAAGAAAAAATGAATAGACAGAAATAGAGTTTCATTAACACTTGCACAAATCAAAAAAAAAATTTTTCCAACATAGCCGTCAAAACCGGTGCGACGTACGTAAACATCACATCATACCCCCCCCCCTTATATCAATATCAGCGGCCCGCGCAATTAACACCTCCGAAAAGGCGCGAAAAGCACCACACAAAAGTTCAGGGTACATAGTACCACTAAACGATATAAATAGGCGCTCTTTTAATGAGTAGTTATCCTCCGCTCCTCACCGTTCGGCCGGCCACCTCCACCGCCACCTCCGTCCACCACCGCCTCAGGCCACCTCCACCGCCACCTCCGTCCACCACCGCCTCAGGCCACCTCCACCGCCGTCGCCGTCCACCACCACCTCCGGCCACCGCTCCGCGACCGTCGCCGACACACACGGCCACGTGATATAAACCGGTAAGCGCCTCAAGATAGCTATGCAACTCAATTTTGCATAATAACTATCTACTCAGCGACCACGATGTCGCTCACAGCGGAGCTGCAGGAGGCTTTAGAAGACCTCGACCGGTACGACGACACCCATCTCGCACCCAAGCTGAACGCGCTGGAGCTCCTGTGCAGGACGATCGCGGAGCAGAACAGCAAAATCCTGGAGCAGAACGCGCGGATCGTGGACCAGAACCAGAAGATACTCGAGCGCACCTCCCCCAAATCAAACTGCGTGTTCTGCAGTGTGGAAGAGAACAGGGACAACCACTTCTCGGGTAGGTGCCTTCGTTTCAGGGATCCAATCGCCAAGGCAGCTCAAGCCTCGAAGCTGGGACTCTGCCTGCTTTGCCTCAAAGCAGTGCACGAAGACGACTGTGGGGTCAAGTGTGGGAATTGTGGCCTCGGCCACAATTTCCTCCTTTGCTCCAGCCGGCGACCCGCACATCCGCCACCAAAACGCCCACGCCACTGAAGCCCGCCGTTCAACGCCAGCCGTAGCCGCCGTCCATCGCCACCCGCCATCGTCGCCGTCCTCCCCAAGATCCAGCATCGCCCGCCGCAGCTGCCGTCCAACGCCACCCGCCATCGTCGCCATCCACCACAAGCTGTCAGCCCAGCCCTAGCCGTCTCCACATCGCCAGCCGTAGCCGCCGTCCAACGCCAGCCGAGCTCCAGCCACCTCCACCCCAACTGTTCGAGGACGCAACAAAAATTGATATGGTATTTATATTGTCTTTGTATTTTGTACGCTATATTCATTTTGTCGCCCTCTCGGCGGGAGTATCATCGTCCCGATGATACCTCTACCCTCGCCGCGACCCCAGGTCACGCCTGAATAGGCGTGGCCCAAGACATCCACCCTTTTACCACTCGTACACTTGACCAAGCTCTTGTATACACGCTCTTGCTACTCGCTGTAATCTTGTTAATAAACCTGAACCACCGTCTTTTCCACTTGTATTCGCGTTACGGGCAAAACCCCCCAAGAGTCTCTAGTACCCGCAATAGGGGGGGGTCGTACAGACGGGTACCTTTAGGGGGGTCCTAAATGAGGGTCCCGGATCGCATCAGCACGCTTGACCCTTCCCTACACCCTGCAGCAACTGTAAAATGGATGATATTACAGCCGACTAGATATTCCGCAAAATATTGTGTGGCAGTGTCGAAAAAAAAGCGGTAATACGCATGAACAAATAGCCACTCCAATAGTGCTGCATATAGCTGTATACAAGAAGCAATGTCTTTTGGAAGACAGCAACTCAAAAGACAGCAATCCGCTCACCGACAGCATGCGCCGTGCGTGCTCCGCAATCTACGACCAGTGCGTGCGGTCAACGACTCGACGATACGCAGCATATATGCGTCAGTGCAGACGCTGTCTGCAATTTTGAACAAAGCTTCCAAGAAATCCATGCAGTTTGCTCTGCAATCTTCAATGATATTAACACTGCCGCGGCTCCCGAAGCTCTTCTAATTGTGAGCCATGTTGAGTTTCACTTGACACACTGGGAGTCAAGTCTACGTGGCTATCACAGGCTAAGCTGCTCTATGGCGAATTCTGCACTGTGGCTCAAAAAACGAGCGCTGGAAAACACTTGGAACTCTTGGTTTGTTTTTTTTTTTTGTCGCTAGCCTTTGTAAACCACTTTTGTCTCGTGTGCATCAGTCAGTAATTGTCCACTTTTGTGGTGAACTTGATAGAGAAGCGCAACCTCTTCTTGCGCACTAATCGAATTTTCATCAATCAAAGTTTTTTTTCAGATGGAAATAGCTAGTGTGGCGGAGTATTTCGACAAGCTTGATCGGTTAATCGACACAGCGACTTGGACAAGCGCAACAGATGCTGCGAAACTGTTAGCCATCAATGATGACCACAGCAACTTGCCGTTTCTGCATGTGGGTACAGATTTTACTTTTTTTATTACTTGCGTAAAACTTTATTCATTTCATTCACTTATTGTTTAAGTTTGCTTTATTTGTTGTGAAATAATGGCAAGACAAAACGAATTTCGCTTAGATAGAAGGTTACGGGTCGAGAAAAAACCGTTCTTTCATTGATGATGAAGCTTTCGATCAAGTTGCTTGTCTCCATCTTCAAGTGATTTACCACATTCATGTCACTCAGAACTATGAAGCTGCTTACACCACACATACTCATGTAAGGTGTTATCATCCGCTTGCCATCCTTCCATACTTCTTACCGATTCTGCAACAGATAATGCAAACTTTCGTCAAAGAGATACTGCAAAAGAAGAAGGAAGTGAACTGGTTCATGCCAATGTTCTACCAATTCTGCTCAGATCTTCGCAATGTAGCTAAGATGGTATGTTGGTTTTTTCCTATGGTATTAAACACGTCAGTTTTTGCATAGCTTGCAGTAACGTAAGCTTTCCATGCAGTTTCGTTCTGAACTTGTTATAAGGTCGAAACAAGGAAAAATGAACTCTGAATAGGTATTTCCGACAGATTGTGTTACAATCAATCTGTCAAGAATTTGAATGGATGGATACATTTGTCATTGGAATTTGCCACTATTTGTCTGTCTGACATCTCGTCACGAATATCATAAAAGTTTTCCCTGGGGCGGTATGTACTAATGTTCCGTTCGGGTAAGTGTTCTCGAACAGGTGTAATGCAGTCAGACGCGGACGCCTGAGGCTTATAATGTGCAAGAGCCCGGTCAGGCAGAATCAGGTGGGTCTGCAGGGACACCTATCCGATCTCGGTTGTGTATAAATTGTATGGTAAACGTTTCTTTGATTAGGTGACCGAAAACGTTTGCAAATAGAACGATTCAAGCACTAGTCATTGAGTAAGAATCGATAAATGTCATGTTGCAAGAGAATTATCTGTTTTCGCATCTGAGTTGGTTAAATAATATTCACAAAAGCTTCGAGCCCAATCTCTCCATTCCGGGCTCTGAATCTCTTTCAGTTCTCAAGATTGAACTAAACCAAATGTTAAAACAGACAAATCTCTCGCAACATAACATTGAATTCTCCTCGATGACTATTGATTAAATCGTACGATTTGTTAACGTTTTCGCCCAATTAAGAGGTGTACTTTATCACACAGCCTATACACGAAGAGAACGGATAGGTGTCCAGGCACTGCAGACCTAGCGATTCTCCCTGACTGTGCTCTTGCACGATAAGCGCCGAACGTCCCGAAAGCGGGCGCCCAAAACCAATGGCGCCCACGTTCGGGCACCATGGGTCTTGGGCGTCTGCATATGAGTGGATTACGACCTGTACGGGACACTTACCCGAGCGGGAGATTGATACATACCGCCCCTGAACATAACAACAACAAGAAAGAAAAAAGTCCTCGTAAGATAGCTGGATTTTACCTTGATATAACTTGGCGAAGAACAAGGGATCATGTTTGTGAAGGTGCAGTGCTTTAAAAAGCCATTTTTTTGTATGACTATAGATACAACAAGTATCGTTAAAAACATGAAAATTCTGTACTCAAGCCTCCTCTTCTCCAACAGCAACGCTCTTCATGCAGCCGGTAGGAACAGACTGAAAGCACGGGTTTCGGTTATACTTATACTGATGACACTCGCCCAACCAGCCCGCTCTGAGACTATTGAAAAGGCTTGCGCATTTCAATCTGAGAACAGCAAACTATTGTAACCTGCAGAGAGAATAGGATCCATACCAAGGTATGGATCTCATAAATTAGCCAAGACATCCCCAAGTCCCTTTAGCTATAACAACTCAAACGATGTTGTGACTGAGGCGTTACCAGCATTTGAGCTCCTTCGTTTGTAGCGATGTTGTCAGTCGGCATTGGTGCCAGCTTCTGTTTACGTTTGGTTGCGCCTACCTGAGAAGTAGGATTTTGTTTAAGCAAGAGTATGGTATCAATACGTTTATCTCTTACTTATTTTTTTTCTTATTTCCTTGCTTTTGTTTGGGCAAAAAGCATGCACTAAAACGATGGTAGATCGTTCAAACGTGGAATGACAGAGGTGGCAGAGATCATTTAATTTGCTGGGAATATTTCCATGAAATCTTGTTCACCCATCGTATGAATAAAGAGATGAGTTAACAAATCTGTAACCTAGGAGTATTACCTGTTTAGGCTGACGAACTCACTGAAAAGGATGATGAGGTTGAAAGTGTATCTTCCTACTATGAACAGTCAGCTAACTACATCATGGAAGCATATAGAGCTTGTACGTCAGATGTGTGAGTGTTATATCATATTATTCTCTTATATGTGAAGCTACATGTTCAATGCTTGCACTTTTTGTGCCTTATAAATAATGATGTTTGACGTAAATCGCATGCTGTTCAAACTTTAGTGGACAAGGGGGCATGATCGAGCATATTTTATCTGTGGAAATCTTAGGTGAGCTGTGCAAAATCTTCAATTTAGGAGAGCAGACCCCAGTACAACGAAGAAAATTGCCATTTTGAACATGACGAATCAATTGTTTCGGATATACTTCAAGGTAGTGTTTGATAGCCAGCGTTATCGACTCAAATTGTAAAAACGCTATTCTGTTCCAGATAAACAAGCTCAACCTCTTGAAGCCGCTTATCCGCGCCATAGACAATTCAGGAGCCCTCTATCAGTCGTTTTCCATGGCTGACAAAGTCACTTACAACTATTTTCTCGGTCGGAAAGCGATGTTTGATGCTGACTTGCCTTTAGGTACAAAATCGGTAGAGGTTGCACGCGCTATTTCTTTTCATTCTGAAGCTTCAGTATTTTCAGCTGAAAAATCTCTCTTGTATGCATTTCGTAACTGTCCAGCCGAATGCCTTTCCAATAAGAGGCTGATCTTGATTTATCTGATCCCCGTGAAAATGTTCCTTGGTCATATGCCAACTGTTGAACTGTTGAAGAAGTATCAACTGGAAGAGTTCCGCGATGTATGCGAGTAAAGTTACATTGTTCAGTTCCGATATACTTTCTTCTCTAGGTCGTGGAGGCAGTGAAGGAAGGGAATTTAGCGAAGTTGGATCAAGCTCTGGAGGCTAACGAACACTTCTTCATTCAATGTGGCATCTTCTTGATGTTGGAGAAGCTGCGGGCGATTACTTTTAGAACATTGTTCAAAAGAATGTGAGTTTTATCCGGGCTTTTCACTACTCGTGTAACCACTCGATGAGAATGTTGCTTATTCATGATGCTTCAGCTCGACTATCGTCGGCGGGCATCTTATCCCTCTGAAGGCATTCTACACTATCATTCAATATCTTGGCGTTACCGATGTAGATGAAGATGAACTGGAATGTATAGTAGCGAACTTGATTGCAGAGGTAATCATTCTGAGTTGTTATGCTTCTCAAGTTTTTTTGAAGTCGTTTTGCAGGTAGGTTAGATAGTATGCTCTATTGCCTTTTTTTTCGATCTTCCCACTCTCTTAGGCACGCGCCAAACGTTCCCGTTCCCACTTGATCCACTTAGTTCACTTCGCTGCTATTCAGTTCACTGATGTGACCAATTGCGAAATGGATCAAGTGGATAAGTATGGCGTTTGCTTTAGCTAACGTACTGGTTGACTGCTTAGAAGGCGAGATGTCAGATGGAAATCCATCTGTAGTTGCGCTTTCGTAATCGTTTCATAGGACTACCGCATTTATCTGGTTTCAGAAAAAGATCAAGGGCTACATCTCACATCAACACCAAAAGTTGGTCATCAGCAAGAAGGATCCATTCCCTCCACTCTCATCGATCTAAGATCTCGAGTGTTTGTCTGTCTTCGCTTCAAATCAGCTACGGATTGCCAAGATTTGACAGTGCGATTATGAATACCTGTCATTTTTTGTGGTGTGATTTTCCTCACTCTTTCCTTACAGTTTGTTACCAGTGTCTTTGATTGCGATGAGGTTCTTTTTCATCTCATTCATCATTTATTTTTTATTTACGCTCTCTGCAACATAAACGGGTATAGCATATTGGACATCTGGATTTTAGTGTACGACAATGTATTACACAATCCAGTCTTGTGAAAAATGTTTCAAATATTCTCTTTCTTGCTCAGTTCTTTGTATGATATTTCATTGTCGTATGGCGTTTGTTCACATTCCACATCGTATGACACTGTCCCATCAACGTGTGAAATTATGTGATTCAGAATAATTATGAGGTGTTTGTCACTTATCACTGCCCGCAAACACCGGCAGCTCAGTTCTATAGCTCTATTCTCAAATTAAAACGGGATTGAATAAAACTTTGATTTTGTTTTGCGAATGACACGTTCAAGGTTCGAAGCATATTATCTTACCCGTAAATTTGTTTCATTTTCATCACCTGCTAATTTATTTATTTTTTGGGAGGCGATTGATGGTTACACTTATTGGCTGCACTACTTAACTTACTCTGAAGAGACCTTTTTTATCTTATTTTTCTTTAATTGAACGTTCACGATTCAGCGCTCTACTTTATGGTGTTCAGTTGTTTTTCTAGCGCAGCACCTTTTTCTTTTATCTCAGAAATTTTCCACGATTGTATCAGCAGCATTGCCAGTCATTGTTCGTTTACTAAGATATCTTCCAGAGCTACCAAAAAGAAATGCAGAGCTGCACCAATATTTGTAGGGTTGCGGAGTAGAAGACACCGTTGCAGTAAACCAACTACGAAAGAGGCTTAGAATTTGCTGTAATTTTGTGTAGGAAGTCAGCATAATGTTAATGATGTTGAAATGTAGCTTATCATATAGCAGAGCAAGTTCTCAACAAATTCTGAGTTCGACCTCTTGATGTACCCCTACCATTACTGTACAGAAAAGGCGTTTCTATGCGGAGAGTATAATTTTTGCAGTCATGGAATCACCTCATGAAAATTTTTAGTTAATCAAAAGTTCTGAATATTCGGTGCTGTAATAGCATCGCCAGTTCTTTCCTATCTGAACTTGCTTTTTGAGCTTAGCAGTAAAGCATTCTCGATAATGCCAGTTGTGAATCATGCTGATGTGCTGTCAGCTGCATGATAGCTCGTCATCTCCAGTCCCTATCACAATGATTCGCGTTTTATCTCCTTCAATTTTCTTTCTTTTATTCTTACTCATCGCTAAGTCTTCTGGTGAAGAGAGCAATTTTTTTGCTCGCAGCGCAAGTCACGAATTGTAGTGTTTACTAAATTGTAAGTCGATGTGCAGCAAGAAAAGTAAGGTAGTTTTTGCTATGGAAGGCGGAACTGCTGTGAAATGCTTCCGCTGCCGTTTTGGCTCTTTGATTGTGTTGTTACAGCGAACTAAGCATTAATGGAACGCGCAGACATCTGGTAGTTTCCGCTCTGTATTGTCTGAGCTCGTCATTCTCTCTGCTTCGCCCTGCCTCCTCGCTTTTCCATCATCCGAGGCGAAACGCTTATACGGAACTCGAAAAGCTAATTCCTCTTTGTGAGCAAATATTAGTGTAATTCTTACTATTCTCGTGCATTTCATGTGTTTGCGTTCAAGCCTAATAATCTGCTTGCCCACTAGATCTGTTTATTTTTACGTAAACTCGTGCATTGTCGCTTGTTTGAGTGAGCTGACCACTCGCTTTGATCAATTTAGAGTTGGAGTGTATGGACCAGAAGTGGAGTTATGATCTGGCCAGTTTATTACGTGTACATAAACCACATTTTATCAATATAACATGTAAGTTAGTTACATCATGTGATTGATTTTATTTTTTACAACAAACGGGTAATCTGGTATATCACACTTTCCATTTAGGTAAAGGCAGTGATAATGGATTTGTTGCCTATCAACATGCACTTACTGGGCGTTTTTCGCACCATCAAATAGTATGGAAAAAGTTAGTTTCTTTGTTTTTCTTCTGAATTTAGATCTTGTTATATTACTCACCATGTTTTACAGAAATGGCAAAGCTTTTCCTTATCCGTTGACATTTCCTGTGAAATTTTGCCCTTTTGATGAGAATCTCTGCTTTGGACCGCATATGACTCAAGCAGATCTACCCAATGTAGCCTACCTTCACCTGTATGTTATTGATTCAGCGGTGGGTTTTCCAGCTTGTATAGTGCGCAAACAAGTATCCCTACTTGTGAATGATCTAACTCTTATAAAATTGTTGATTATATCTTTACAGTCTGTTGATGAATATCGCACATCCGTCAGGCACAACGTTTCTGAATGGTTTGCAACTGTAAGTAGTTTTTTCATGTTTATTTATCTAGCTGTACTGTGTTATCGTAATTGCTGCTTTCATCTCTGACCTTCACTAATGGGTACACATTTAGGTAAGTAGTAAAAGCGATGTCCAGTGGTTGATAGTTTTTGATTCAACGAGAGCAAAAGATAAGAAGAACAGAACCAGTTTGCTGGAGAAGTTGCGCCACGACTTTAGCAAGCACACTAGCAGGTGGGTGTGGCTACCCGCTTTTTTTTTTCGCTGTTGTATGATGTATAATGGTTCATTTGATTCCATTAACCTACCGATGATTTTGTTGTTCAAGTAGTATCGATTTTGAGATTTTATTGTGATCAGTATGTGGAGCACTTTGACTAAAAAAAATAGGTGCAAGCACTTTGACTAAAAAAATAGGTGCACCTTACTATAGGCTGATCGAAGTTTCTGATTCTGTGGAACATGGTTCATTCTCTGGCTTAACCCAAGCGGTGCAGAATGCTCTCCTCAGCCATCTCGATATCCTTGTTGGGACTTGGGAAGCTTCGTTGAATGGATCTCGTGCCAAGTATACAGAATCAAATTGGAATCTATCTTCATATTGTTCTTCAACGGTGCGTATCACTAGTTATTCGTCTTGAGTTGCGTAAGTTATTTTCCGACTCAGATGGAATACGCGCGGTTGTATTGGAGCCTTGGTGCCCTAGATCATGCCCTTACCATATATGATGAGCTTGATGCGTTCCTTATGAGCATCGTCACCGAAATGTGTGGAATTGAGGGTATTTTTTGTTGATTTTTTTTTCAAAAATCGTATATTTGCTGTAGCTTTGATTTCAGCGGGACGTGAACCGCGTTGGGTTGTTTCATTGCGAAGCGGAGCATTGCCTTTTCGCTCGCTGTACTCTTCATTTGAGCAGGCAAAGCTCGACTGCAAGAAAGATCACGGTTTAGTAGGTAAGTCACTTTTCAATGCGCTTGCTATTCAAAATTGTCTTCAGTTTTTCTTGTTATTGCCATTTTTACGTGCTTTTCTATTGAAAGTAATATTCTGTGCTTCTATACATATACTTATAGTTTTTCGTTCTTGTTGCCTTTGAAGAAGTTACAGAATTTTCATTTTTAGCCATTCGGCATTTCCTGTTGGCACAACAAATATTACTCAGCCTTCACATGTATAATGCACGACATCGCTCACGAGGAGCTCCACCATCTATAAGAGTCGATTTTGCTACATTGGTACTACGGTATGCGAGGCATGTGATTAGCACCGCAGCGGATCAGTCACGTTTTGCCTTGGTAGGTGCACACTTTTATTTTCGCGTATGCTTCAGCATGCGCAATTGTGTTGATATTTTTTTACTGCTCGTTTTGCCTAATCCAAATATGTGTCTGCAACTTCAGTTATCAGCATTCACGTAGCAAAAAGTTTTTGTGTAGCTTAAATCTTGGCGAAACCCTATTCGTGAAAAGGGTGCACCATGGTGCCGACAACAGTCTCTCGTCGATAAATTTTTGGGCCACTCTGGCTTTTTTGGCGCAATTATTTATCTCAGTTATTGACAAGCGAAACAGATCACTTGCGTCTATAACTCAAGTAGGCTGTTTTCAAAAATGTCGTGCTCAGTCCTCTGTGCTCGCCACTGTCACTTTTGACTCACGAAAAGTAAATCTAGTAATGTCCAACTTCGGAGCTTTTGTTTAGTGTATTCCGATAACATATATATTCGATCTCAATTTCTAGCTCGAGTCTGCTTTTTAGATGAATGTCGACTCTGCAAGATTAGCATGTTGGAGCCTTGTTGTGTCTGGAGAAGCCTTGCACATTGCTGGGCTTTTGGCGGATCCCTCGTCAGTAGACGCCGCTGCAACGGCTATGTGTGCTCTACAAATGCAGCGTTTTTTCTCTGTAAGTCGCTTATTGCCTTTCTCTTTTGTTTCACTTTTTACTTTGAATTTCTTTAGATGCTCGATTTGGCGAAATTGGAGGAACCTGAGAAAGCCGAAGCAAAAAGTGCATTGCTTGAATGGCTTTCAGTAGAGGATCCCAGTGGAAGTCAGGAGTTTTTGCGAGATATACTACAGTCGCGGACTGGTTTTGCTCATCAGCTATCGAAGGCTCATGATGCTGCGACGTCTACGTTACTTCAATGGGGTCGAAGCCGGCAAGCGGCGCATATAGGCTATAAGATGGCGGAATGGCTGAGGTGAGGTGACTTACATCTTCACTGTGAATAAATGTCGAATTTTTTTTTCCAGGAGGAATGGTAAAGAAGAAGCTGCTGTTCCTTTGGAACTGCGGTTCATCTCTTCTTTACTGGAAAGCGGCATGAAATCACAGGCAGTGGTAGATGTAATGAAGCGTGTTGTACCTTATCTGAAGGATGATATTGACTTTGAACGGTGCGTTTTGGGAAATGGGACTCCGTGTTGTTGACTAGGACACGGTGATTATCCGGTGACTATCTGTACTAATTGTTTTTCAGACTGCTTTCATTTCGACTGTTTATGGCTGTTCATGAGAGCGACGAAGTGGAGCGGAGGAAGATTGCGGAAGATCTTATCAGTCAGATCAGCAGAAGGAATCTCGGGCAGAAAATTAGGTAAGCATTGGCATAAACATTTTAAGCGTGTTTGTTTGCTTTCCATAATTTTCTATCGTTTCTCGATCCTCTACCGTTATATCATAGATCGTACTTTTCTGGAAATCTCGCAGCAATTGTCATATTCAAGAAAGTTTGCTGCATCGATGGGTTAAACACTAAAATCTTGCGATCCGCTGATAATAGAAGTTGATTATTGATACTCCATCTTGTTGTCTCGTTTTGGTTTGTTTTGTTCACCTCAACTTGCTAATCATTCTTATCCGTTTAATGAAATGAACGAAACAGAACTTTTTTTTGTTTTTTTTTGTTTTTACTAGTTCAGTTTTTGTTACATTTCCTTAATCCTTTCCTTGTTATTGTTTCTGTCTAAATCCATATACTAGACTACGGGCAATTCGCAATTCTGCGTCGGTTACATTCTATAAATTGAGATTAAACTTTTCTCATCATTTTAAGACAACATGCGGCGGTCCCTATTTGCAAGGTTTTTTGCCCATTCTTTCAGGTCTTCAAAAATGTTCTGACCTTGCCACATAATGTACTTGCAGCCTGACTGAACCGCCCGGAATACCCAAGAATATTTTCCAAGCTGTCGTTGGAGGTTTTACACCGTTAGTACAAATACCCAATGGCCGCGCCTCGATGGATTTCTTCGTAACGTCATCACTGTCGATCGTGATACAAAATTTCTGCCTGAGGGTCAAGTTAAGAGAGGTGGATAAGCATGTACTGTCGAGGCGGAAACGACCAGTATACGATGTCCAATATAATGTGAGTCAGATTCTTTTTCGAGTATTATCAGTTGACTATGACAGGGATATTACTTTTTATATTTTGGTTTGTTTAGGAACGTGAGCAAGTATGTCGCATTGTGACACTAGAAAAGCAATCTACATCACGGCGAAAGTCACGCCTGAGCCCAAGGCAGTCCTTTGATACACACACCGCTGAAGAAATTCTGCTCACCTGCTCTAATCAGGAGTTAGCGCCTGGTGGAAATGAAATCGTAAGAGAGCAGTTTACGCTGTAGCAGCAAACAAAATGCTCATTTTTCAAGACGGTGTCCGCCGTAGCCAACTCGCGTGGTTGCTTCCTTCTCGAATCGGTGCAAGCGACTTTGTTTGATGGGGCATTAACGGTAGACATCGACGACGTTACTACTCGACGATTTGTCACAGTATTCGTGCAAAGCACGCCTAATAAGCTATGGATAGACGATAGTAAAGGTTCGTTTTCGCAATCTCAAGCTCTAGAGGTTTGAGTAATGGTCTTGTTCAGATCTCTTAGCAGGAGTGGCTCAGCGAGTGAATGTTACCATCGAAGCTGGGTCATCTGTTGATTGTTCAAGAATTGAAGTTCGAGCGGATACGGGCGAGGGAATTGAATTTTTGGTAAGGTGTAGTTGCATGCAAGTTTTCGCTGATTTAAGAATCTTCCGTTCTTCTGCGATTTGATTGTCTTCATTTTCGTGGAAAATCAAACAAAGCAGTCAAGATTTCCTTTAGATCCAAATTTCTTAGGGTTCTGATGGAAAATGGTTACCAAACATTACCGTAGAGATTCCTCCACTTGGTGTGAGTGCACGACACACATTCGAATTAGTATTATGTCTCCTGATGGATGCAGGATTGACAGCCTCTCCAGCGATAAGAAAGGCAAAGGTATCACAACTTTTTTTTAGCTGCTAATTCACTACCTTTCTTTTCAATATTCTTCGTTTTTCTTGTTCTTGTAGTAGACTTCAGCTACATAAGGGTTGTTTCATACTACCGCACTGACTGCAGCAGACTGCACTGACCGCAGCAGACTGCAGCTGACTGCAGCTGACCGCATTGACCGCGGGGCCGCACAGATCGCTACATCCTTTCGTGAAAGTGGGGAGGATAAATAGTTGTCGCTCAAACGCCCCAATATATGCCCCAATAGTTGACACGAGCGGGAGTAAAATAGGCATATGCAATGACAAGAGGAACCTGAACAGGTATGAGCATATTGAAGAAAAACAATCGCCAAGATTTGATTGAGAAGAGTAATTTAAAGGCAGCGTCCAGGCAAGTCTGGACACATGGGAATCTCACGTGGATAGTAATTTTGGGGCCCTAACTAAGCCACTGCCCAACCGGCAGTTCAGGTAGAAGGCAGTGCTCTAATGGTTGAGATATTCCCCTCGAAACTGGACCCCGCGATCGTATTTCGCATGGATTCATGGCGGAAAGCGTGGGTCCTGGCGCGAAATTGCCATGAATCCATGCGAACGATCGCGGGGTCCAATTTCGAGGGAATTTCTCAGTCGTTAGAGCACTAACTGCGCTGCCGCTTGGACAGTGCCTCAGTTAGGGCCCCAAAAGTACTTTCCACGTAAAATCCCCATAGGTCCAGATCTGCCTGGACGCTGCCGTTAAGATCTACAGTCTGCCCCAATCCCAACCAGGCCAAAATTGGCATGGCGGGAGTCCGCGCCGCTGGGGTTTCGCGGTCACGCCCACGGCCTGCTTCTCTGTTCTCTCTCCATTCCTTTGGCTCTCTCCAACAACGCGCACATGCAGCGCAGACGCTTCGCGCTGCGAGCGCGCAAATTTATGCCGACGATTCGGCCTGATCCCAGTTGGAGCAGACTGTATGAACTTTCTAGGCGTAAATCACGGTGTTTTGATGTAATCGCAACTTTTTCTCTTTCACGAAAGGATGTAGCGATCTGTGCGGCCCCGCGGTCAATGCGGTCAGCTGCAGTCTGCACCAGTCTGCTGCAGTCTGCTGCGATCAGTGCGGCAGTCTGAAACAACCCTGAGAGTGAAAGTCATTACTCTGCTGATATCTCAGGTGATGAACAGACCAGTTTGAGATTGATATAACAGACCGATTTTCATATTCATCATACATGTGAAAAATTGTTGATGCTTCTTGAAATTTTGAAGAAGAACGAATACTTACAATTCTAAACATCACAGAGATTTTTTAAAATCTTCCTTACCTTCTATAGCTGCAGCTTTTGGAGAAATTTTGATCGCAGCTCTTTTTGTTATATGATAGGTGTAAATCAACCTTTATCAGATATCATTTGATTGGCTGGGAAGAGTATGGACCGTCGAATTGCCATTCGTTGCGTTGTTGATACTGACTTCAAGTACTTCTATGCTCGAAAACAAGTATGAGTCTTGTTTTTCTTCTGTCGGCTGCCACTTTATCCTGACTTGCTCCTTAGGACCTTGTTCGAACTTGAAGTTGCGCGCGCCGTCGGCCATGCTGAGGAATGGACAGTGGTTTTGGAAAATGCTGTTATCGAAGCAGTGGACCCAAAAGCTGGCGAAGATGAGCCAAATAAGCTTGCGAAGTTAATCAATAATGATCTTGGAGTGAGACTTCATCTTCAGTCTTTCGATGCCATGTTAATCAATTAACTTCGTTGCAGGAACTGATACCGAATGTTGTGGCAAGTCTGATTTGGGTCTTACCATTGACAAGCGAATTACCGATCTCACATAAGCTCTCAATAGACTATCGAGTGAAGTCCAGTAAGGTAAGGCGTTGATAATGCTCACCTATAAGTCCCTTCAATTTTTCCAATGTTTATCTTGTGATTGTTGTGCATTACTTTTCTCTATCTATATTAGAGACAGTTTGTCCTATCTTCTCTGTGATTGACCTTGAACTACTTTTACACCATTGCCACCCAGCTTCAGTGATGGAGCGTGCCTTTATTCCCACATCCATTTTTCTATGCGATGAAATGACCATGTCATATTTAGTTTTGACTTTTTTCCGAATGTTTTATTATCGTCAAGGTCAGTCAATAATATTAGCAAAGTTTACGACTTACATAGGTAATCCATCGAGATCTACATGAGATCGTTTAGTAGCGTATGTCCTTCATTCCAAACTTATTTACGTTCCAGAAAGCAGAGTCAAATGGCAAAAGTGAGGATTTTATTGATCGATTGTATACTTACCGGGAAACGTTTGATCTCCGTGTACCTAAGGTAAATCTCGATGTCGGTCATCATAGCTCTCGAAATGTATTTTAGTGGATTCGGACTAAGCGAATGTTCATATTTGCGTAAAGTTAGTGAAACGAATGTCCGCTTATTGTTTAGATTGTAAACTACACAAGCCGTCGAAACCAGTTGCTGAATTTTTTCCCATTTTCAGGTAGGCTACGAATTATGTGCGCAGATGCTCTCACAACAGCCAGGTGCTCAGTTGTGTCGCGCTGGTTCCGCCTGTGATCTCGTAATATCATTGAGGTCGCTGTAAGTTTGATCATACATACTTTAGGGTGTGGCATCCCATCCCCTTTGCTTGTCTAGTTTTGTAATGAGTTTTCTTCGTTCTGTATACTTGTATTGATTCTTTTTGTGTTCACACCCTTGGCTTTGATACAATCTCTTTACCTTACTCAGGGCTAGGTCCCATGTTGTTGAATTTTTCATGAATCTTTATTTTTTAGCTCATCAACACCTAGTGTGGAGGTGGTCTACATTGTGCTAGATGCTGACGAGAAGTTATGGACACTCACCGAAAGAGCTAAAGGTAGCTTCGAATTGCTCACTTTGCGCAGGATTACAGCCTTCAGATTGAAACGAACGTTTTGAAGAGCGAAACTCTATGCATGTCTTTCATTTCAGTGCTTCACGTGAAAGAATCGGGCTTGGGTCAGATTGCCTTCAGTGTGGTACCTTGTGCTGCCGGCTTCTTGCCGTATCCATCAGTCTCAGTGTACAGCTGTAAAACCCTTGGGGTGAGTAGCCTTTCGTTATCTTTCTTTTAATTAAGATCGTGCACTTCTGTCGCTGTTTTATCGTTTCCTTTATCCCATATTTGGAGTTTATTTACTTAGCGATTCATGGAGTGGACGTCATCGCGGAATAAGTGCATTTCTCTACTGTTGATTAGAATTTTTTTGGTAGGGAAGATGTAGGGTATCCGCGATCACGTTTTCCACGACGGTGTTTCACATACATAGTTGTTTCTCTTATCATCTCTCCGTCATAGTCAAGAGTTTGTGGAAAAAAAAAAGATCTGAGATTCTGCATTATCGTAGACGGGCATTTCCAAACGATCGAACATTTAAGCGTCATTCTTTGTCCTATTAGTACTAATTTTTTCATCGGCGTCGATTTTTTTTTAAATTTCAAAAGTTATTCTGCATTTAGCCTCATATGAGCGAAACTTGGACAGAAGGTGTAGATATTCTGCCTGGTGTTCCATTGTTGTCCTTTCTTCGGACGGCAGGAAAACAAATTCGAGTTCTGGCGGCTACCCATGTGGAACCAGAATCTTCGGGACAGAAGAAGGGGCTTAAACATAAGCTTGGTAAGCTGTTCGATTGAACCACATCGACTTCAGTCTATCATCACTACCCCATCACTTTCTTGAACGACTCTGTTTATCTGCATCTGACTCCATACGGGTGCCCCAAATCTAGCGCAAGGATTTTTGGCAGTTTGTTGTTTTCTCGAGAAGTCTTGCCAGATCGTTGATTGTATATTGATGCAGAATGGAACTATTGTTTGTTTGTTTTCGAATTTGTTACTTACTGATATAAGTAGCTAGGTTTTTGCTCTATTTCACCACTTCGAAAGACAGCAGGTATGCCATATTGCCACAATGTATCTATTGATGTGCTATTGTTTGCTATGGTTTTTCTTGCGTTTGTAAGTAGAAAATGTGTGCTGGACCGCAGATTTGAGCAATATAGTAGGTTATTTATAAAATTTTTAATGAATTACTAGAGCTTGCTTTTTAGCTCAACTATATTCAAAGTAGTCCCAGTGACCTCTAGAGTGATTTCATTAGCATCTTTGTTATCTCGGTACAATTTGCTGTCTGTACAAGTTATTTTGCGGTTCAGCCCGTCTCCTGCCTTTTACCTTACCCAGTGTGGCTGAACGAGTAGGTGAATGAGTACGGTTATAACATAGCCAAATATTAAGAGAACATAGTCTGAATATACCAATCATCTTTATTTTCCATTCCACTATCTGCTATCTGTTGGTTTCATGTACTAAATAGCGGAGTCATCGCTTGTTTGCTTTGTTAATGTAATATATGTTATGGTACTGACTAAGATCTGTTCTTTTGTTCATAGGCTTCCGCCGCTCATTGCTGTGATTTGTAAGTTGAGTGCATTACGATGATTTATAGTCATAATGAAAGCTTCTAGAGTGCGTGTGAATTGATGCTAGGTGTTGATTTGCATCTACTTCTCAGCTTCCGCGGCTTCATTGCGTATAAAAACTTTTTCAAGGCAAAGTTGCCGAAAAGCAACAGGAGGCCCGTGAGCCTCCATGAACACATCCGCGAAGAACGGCTTCCGTCGGGTGGCTTGTATATCCGCGTTGAGCGGGGTGATCGTATTTGTACTGTACTCGCTACGCGTCGACGCTGGAACGTACGGAAGCACGGAGATGTCTGTTCCACAGAGTACGGGGAGGCCTTTTGATCGGCGGCCATTTACTCAAGTAGGTTTGACATCACTATAAAACATCAATTGAATTGGTATAATCATTTTTTTTTAACTGCAGCGATTTTGATGCATGCTACTTAGGGTATAGTTTACTGCCGGAAATATGCAATTGACTAAGCAAACTCGGCGTGCGAAACTTGTCTATACTGTGACTGTCCGCCAATTGCTCAAATTGAAAACGCGCTCGCGTTTATTTCGCTTCTATGGCAGCGGCCGTTTTGTCGTCCACCAAACTGTAACCGAGGTAACATGCGCTAGGATCGAAGAGGGTGAGCAGGCAGAATTGTCAAGCAGATCACTTGTCAGGGCTCCTGCCTAATCTTGAATAGCAAATACATAAGGCCTTGTTTTGATTTCATTGCAAATGAAAATATGCAAAAAATTCGAAAAATAAAAAGAGGTCAAAATGTTCAGCAATTAGGGGATTCCGGTAAGGTGTGCTAATAGACAAATTCGTTACCTCAAGGCTCTGTGCGGTCTTTACTTTATTTGAATTGTGTAAATCTATCACTTTACTAAACTCTTTGAGTATGAACATTGGGATCAGAATGTTTATCAACATGGCGTCTTTAATATCGATGCTAACTTTATTTTGAGGCTATCGTACACCTTGACTTGAAAGGCGCGCCTCCGAAAGTGACAGTATACGAATGGCTATTCCCTCTGCTGAGGAAAATGGGTGCGCATGGTGTTCTCATAGAATATGAGGATATGTTTCCATACATGCAAAATCTTGCCGTGGTCAGTTTGAGATGATATAGGCAATGCGTTTGATATAGTGACATTGTAAGTATTCCAGATCAAAAGAGCAGACCACTACAGTAAGAGTGATATTGCAAAAATCAACCAGGTGGGGAAAAATGAGCTTGCACTCAATTTATGAGTTCAATGTTGGTTTGAACAGCTGGCTAATCGAAACTTTCTGGAAATCATTCCTCTGGTGCAAACCTGGGGTCACATGGAGTTCATCCTCAAGCATCAACCGTTCTTTGCGTTGAGAGAGAACGTTACCGCGGTATGGTTTCTACTAGTATCTTGATCTTTTGCAAATGTAAGACTTCCTTTGCTATTTTGCAAAAACTTAATAATGATTTTCAGTTCTGATATTCAGATAGGACTTTGCTGAAACCTTTTAGTTTTCGAATATACTACATCGAGCTGTTGTATATCGTAATTAACCCATGGTTTTTTTTGAGAGGGAACTTCATACTAACTTGTCGCTTGACTAACCGCGGCTAGGAGAAATGTTTTGTCAACATTAATCATGTGTGTGGTAATGAAGCATGTGTGTTTCTTTGTTCTTTACAGAAAATGCATCGTTTTCAGCCAATGGATTACGACACGTCCGGATTTCTGTGCATGCTTGCTATCTCTGTTTGATCAAACAAAGGTTTGATGTTGTATCTGCTTATCTGCTTAATCATCTTCGGTGTTCGTATGAGAAATGCCAGTTTCACGCAATATTAAGGCTGATTACACTCCTAGATTGCGTAAGAGCTACTTGCAAGAAACAGCTCATAATTTCACTTTTTTGTAACGTTTGTATAGAGTTGTAATGTTTCAGCGTAATGAAGCTTATTCTACGCTTTGCTTGGAGATTTCGTAAGATTGGTTACTATCATTTCGAGCTTGAATGTGTTTTGTACATCAAACGCAGGAGTTCTGCTCACTCACTATTCAACCCAGGCTTTGGCTATCTTTTCACAGGCTAATTTGCTCAGGTCCAAAGCTTTGTTCATTCAAGGCTTTACGGCGTCCGTTGTCTCAGCATGCTTTGCTTGTGATACAGCTTTGAAAACCATCTGCTGACGTGTCTGTTCTTGATTATAGACCCCCCCCCCCTCCCCTATTTTAGTGCATGATTTTCCCCCATTTTTACACCTGTGTGCGTCTTGAATCACCTTATATCAGTGCACTAGTCACATGGATAGAATATAGTAGTGACTTTCAGATCATTCATGGGATCTCGGGCTTCTCTTTTACTATTGTCGCTGCGGCTCTTTTGTGATTCATTCACTTCCTCCTCTTTATAGCTTTTTTTAGGATAATACTATCTGTCCAACAGATGAGCGTTCCATAAATTTGATCAGAGATATGATTGTACAGGTAACATAATTTTTGCTCATATATCGCCAAATCTCTCTGATTTTAACGGGATTGGTGGCTGGAAGGCGGGGCTTTGATGCCTAATCAAGGCTAGAGAGTGATTAGAGAGCACGCTTGCGAGCAAGACGCAGACCGCGTCGCGGGTGCGAGCAGTCGCCTTCCAGCCGCCAATTTCGTTGAGGGTACATCTTATAGTCCTGATTCACAGGTTCGAGCACTGCATCCCAATTCGGAACGAATACACATCGGCGGAGATGAAGCTTCCCACATCGCGGAAGATAAGAGATGTAAAGATCGTTTGGCCGCAGAGACTGAGCCAGATAATAAGAGAGCGGTTGAGAAGCTCAAGCTAGCTCACATAGCAAGGTAAGTCATTGTACGAATCTATTTGAAGATATTTGTATTGGTTTTCCATCGCTTTCTTGGTCTAGAGTGGCACAGCTGGCACGAGCAGCTGGATATGCAGAAGTATTTGCATGGAATGATATGTTTGATAAATCTTTGGTGGAGGATATACGCTCATCTGGACTTGGAGAGCTAATTACGCCAGTTGTATGGGGCTACAGGGTCGACGTGACGGCTGAGGGCTACTTTCCGGATGGACTCTTTGATCGCATCTCTCAGGTACGTATCTTCTTTAGCTTTGCTGTTCGTAAAGTTTTTTTTACAAACGTTTCTATGCGTTTTGTAGCCATTTATGTTATACTTTCATTTAGATTTTCCCCAAAATTTTCTTTGCCAGTGCATTCAAAGGTGCTAAATCGCTAGCAGAAAATTACATTGATATTGAAAGATATCTGCGAACTCACGATTCATATGTGAAGCTGTATAGGATGCATAGCAAGGTAGGTCTCGAGCATCTATACTTTTTTATCTGTAGTCGACTGATGTTCCTATGTAATTTCTTATTTTCAAGTTATTGCCAAATATGTTATATCTAGAACGAGGTGTCGTCTAACGAAAGATGCTTTATTAGCCGAACTGCTCTTCCCACATGACACATCGCTAGACGCTCTTTGAACACAGATATCAAATTTGGTTCCCATTCTGCGGAACAATTCTCCGAAAGAAGTTATGGGTGCTGAAAGTCCACAATTATCAATCTTAGAGGCAGCATCCAGGCAAATCTGGACTTACGGGGGGGGGCGTGCGGGAACTTACCTACCCGAAAGACTTGCCACAGCATACTTTAGGTATTACGAGCAGTCAAATACGCAATTAGCATAGTGTACAGAACCTAGTCTTTGTGTATCCTAAGCAGAGTTACGATAGTGGGAGCCGATTCTCCCCCTACCTTCACTTTTGAGCTGGTACAGGGTGACCACCTTCACTTTTGGAATAAAAATTTTTTCGCTGGACGACAAAGAAGGAAAATAAGCAAAACAAACGCAAAAAAGATTTTTGAAAGCATATATTTATGTATACGGCGGCATATATATTTAAAATAAACGTGCTCAGTAAATGGTGTATTTGGAAGTAAAACTTAGCGAAACTGTACGGATTTTATTAAGCAAATTTTGTTATAGCGTACAGCGAAGAATGTAGATTGATCCAGGCAGTAACGGCCGAGAACCAGAATTTTGAATATTTAAATAGTGAAAAATCATGCGAAATTTTCACTGTTATAAATTTGTTGTTTGAAGATGTCAGCAGTTGCGACTTCATAGGTTTTAAAGAGTAAATGGTGCTTTTTCAGCTAGTTAAAAAGTCGAGTGGATTTGAGAGACAGTCGTTGAAAACCGGAATTCTAAAAATTTACGCCATTTTTTCCGTGTTTTTTGACAGTTGACAGTTAAACTCATATAAATCTTGAATGTGAAAGTGTGTGATGTTGCGACTTCATAGGTTTTATAGAGTAAGGTTTGCCTTATCAGGATATACCTTAGCCGTTCCGATCCATTGAAACATCTCCGAGATCCAGAGTCTTGAAAAAGCAGGTAAAAAAGCGCTTTTTAAAATTCAACAGCTCATAACTTCTTCAGAACTGCATGAATCATGTTGCGACTTCATAGGTTAGATTCTTCTTATCAAGAGCTTTCAGATAATATGTAATATGTGGGGGTTTAGAGCCTCCTACGAATTATGCCCGTGGGGGAGCCTTTTCATACCAAAGTCTCCCCCTAGCCCACTTTAATGTATTGGAGGGGGAGACTTTGGTATGAAAAGGCTCCCCCACGGGCATAATTCGTAGGAGGCTCTAAACCCCCACATATTACATATTATCTGAAAGCTCTTGATAAGAAGAATCTAACCTATGAAGTCGCAACATGATTCATGCAGTTCTGAAGAAGTTATGAGCTGTTGAATTTTAAAAAGCGCTTTTTTACCTGCTTTTTCAAGACTCTGGATCTCGGAGGTGTTTCAGTGGATCGGAACGGCTAAGGTATACCCTGATAAGGCAAATCTTACTCTATAAAACCTTTGAAATCGCAACATCACACACTTTCACATTCAAGATTTATATGAGTTTAACTGTCAACTGTCAAAAAACACGCAAAAAATGGCGTAAATTTTTAGAATTCCGGTTTTCAACGACTGTCTCTCAAATCCACTCGACTTTTTAACTAGCTGAAAAAGCACCATTTACTCTTTAAAACCTATGAAGTCGCAACTGCTGACATCTTGAAACAACAAATTTGTAACAGCGGAAACTTTGCATGATTTTTCACTATTTAAAGGCAGTGGACAGGCAAAATGGACCCCTGTCAGATTTTGGTAGTTTCGGGTAGTGGACCCCCCAATTACACCGTAGCCCCAACCCCAACTTCCAGTTGATGCGCTAAGTCCTGAAAAAAGCGCTTCAAACTTCCACCAATAACGCCCACTCAATGGAAGTGGGCGGGGCTGGTGGAGTTTTGAAGCGCTTTTTTCAGGACTTAGCGCATGAATTGGAATGTGGGGTTGGGGCTACGGTGTCTTGGGGGGTCCACTACCCGAAACTACCAAAATCTGACAGGGGTACATTTTGCCTGTCCGCTGCCTTTAAATATTCAAAATTCTGGTTCTCGGCCGTTACTGCCTAGATCGACCTACTTCCTTCGCAGTATGTTATGACAAAATTTAATCAATAAAATCCGTACAGTCCAACAAACTTTTACTTCCAAATACACCATTTACTAAACACGTCTATTTTAAGTTTTTATAAATAAAATTTATAAATATTTTTAATATACATCGTATCTGTGGCCCTAAAGAAAGCCGCTGGGTCATAGTTCGAACTAGAAAGATAGCTCTGTTCGACCGTTCTAACCCCCCCCCCTACCACCCCACCCCTCCCCTCGCACCCCCCCCCCCCTCTCCCGTCGACGTCTTTGGGAGGTGAGTGTCCGACACTATCACCTTCACTTTTGGCCGGCCAGTGGTAGCTGGGACCACCTTCACTTTCGGTGGGCCCGGCTCCCCCCATCGCACCTCTGATCCTAAGTCCCGCCCCCATCGATTCTTTCGCGATCCTCCATCAATCATGAAACCAGGAATTCAATAAAATCACAAAGTCGATTTTCAGCAACAATATCTGCTCAATCTCAATGAAAATACAATTTAGGGGCTTTCGGAGGCGCTCTTTCACATGTGCTATTGATTTTGCGCTGTCTTTTCTTACAGAGCCGAAATTGTGGATCGACTTTTAGCTTAAGAAATCTCTACAAAAATAAAGCATGCCTTAGGACGTAAAAATGCTTTTTTCACTGTTTCTCTCGGAATGTTAAAAGAATGACCCATTTTTCTAGTGAGAACAGCATTTCCTGAGGATGTAAATATGTAACATTAATGATAAAAGACCATGAAGGTCAGCTAGTCTATCAAACAATCATTGTGTATAGGGCGCTGCAAATGTTTTTGTGATCTAATATTTCATCTATATTATTAACATATATTTATAAATGTATATAATGTAATAAAACTTCTATTTCTCGAAACATGGGCGGGGCTTAGTTTAGCGCTGTATCCTAAGGAGCATGGAATCAGCGAGCTCGCTATGCCTTATTATACCCCGCAGACACACACCCATGGGGTGCGAAAATATCTCGGGTAGGTAAGTTTCGTTCCCCCTTATGGGGATTTTACGTGAAAAGTAATTTTGGGGCCCTAATTAAGACACTGCCCAAGCGGCAGCGCAGGTGACTTACTAACGGCTGAGATATACGCCTCCAAACTGGACTTTGGGGTCGTGTTTTGCATGGAACTGATGGATTGCGCCATGAATTCATGCGAAATACGATCCTGGTCCAGTTTCAAAAGAATATATCAGCGGTTAGAGCGCTAATTGCCGGTTGGGTAGCGGCTTAGTTAGGGCCCCAAAATTAATATCCACGCGAAATCCCCATATGTCCAGATTTGCCTGGATGATGCCTTTAAGTGACAAAAATCAGCGAAAAGCTGTACGAAAACACCGGAAAGTAGAAAATCAATCTTGTATCAAGTATCGACTACAAGAAAACCCCTCATAGATGTTTTTGTAGAGCTTTTCGCTAATTTTATGCCACTTATTGTGAGAGTGTGACAAATTCGGACACTTAAACTCTCATAACTTCTTTCGGATAACTGTATCACCATACCTTCGATAGTCAAGAGACAGAGGCTAGAAAGTGATAGTTGTTTGAGTTTTTGCCCCCTATGAAAAGTGAAGGTTGTTCCAGAAAAATAAACGAAAATTTAGAGATATAAATTAAATTAGAAAACTTAGAAAATTCATATAAAGCAGAGATTAGCACATCACCAAAACTGAAACCTTAACTTGGTGGTTTCTTACGCAGAGTTTCGTCTCCAGGATTGCTGGTCAAATTGGGTGGCAACAACAACAAAGTTCTTTTCCAGTCAAAAAAATCGCTGTTTGGCTGTGGCGTTAGTTGAGAGACCGAAAGAAGAAGAACTTGTCAACAACTGAATTGAACATGTTAAACATGTCTGTAAAGTTGTGTTGCACATCGACGCCAATCTGATTTTTGATGCGTCCTTTAAATTTTCACCCCCGCATAGTCGTTTCGTACGCTGCGACGTTGTCTGGATTCTTCCGCTCATCATTCTGAGCAAGTATCGTCCAAGCTGGAAAAAATTCGCTGCAAAAGCACAGAAAGAGAACAAGGTAAAGAAAAACGCACTTTTTTGTATTTTTCACAAAAAAAACCGGCATAAGCAAAGAAGTAAGCTCGGCGACGTTGTCTACATCATAGACAGAAACAAGACCTATCGAATACACAAAAAAACCGAGTGAAAAAAGTTAAACTGAAGAAAAAACAAGAGGTTTTCGAAAACGCCGTTTTTCGAGGATTTCTCGTTTAAATCTTAAAAAGAAGTTCCGCGACGTTGTCAGCGTGAAAATAGAGATCAAGAGCTTTAATATGATATATAAATTATCGAAATTGGACTCCAAACAACGAAGAAAAGGGTACCAGAGCCAAATGCCCCGCGCCCCGCATTTGAGGTAGCGAGGTAGCGCGCAGCGCGCCGAGACGCAGACGAGCAGCGGAGACAGACCAGAGCCGACGGGGCATTTGGCTCTGGTCGTAGATCTTCGCAGGGTCTCAACGAAACCCTGCAACATTATATATCGTTGTGATCCTCATAAGACGGCCAGGAGCACTGACAACGTCGCGGGTCTTGAAAATCACTCCATAACGAAATAGACCAGCATTCATATGGCGACTCTTTGCGCAAGATTTGAGCGCAGTTTTTCGTTTTTATTAAACTCTAGCGGCTCTAATGAACTTCCAACATTCAACCGCAGTTCAGAGAAAGGTTAGTTGAGAAATTTTGCCCTAGTTTTTCATTGAATTTTTAAATAAAAACTTTCTTCTCAACAAAAAAGGCCATAAAATCGCAATCCTTCGGTTTTTTTTGAGCTTCTTTTGAATGTCACTGCTATATTTGCCTCATTTAAATTCATTCCCTATACGGTTTTGTCATTAGTTATGTCATAATTTCCGGGGCTTCGCCCCGGATGACTTGTGTACTTCTCCCCAGGTGAAGGTTGTGTTCTATCATGACGCTCAAAGTGAAGGTTACCAGAGTACATGGCTCTATGTATCGAAGGTATGTGTATCACAGAAAAGAAAAGCAGTTCTGAAATCAGCGCTCAAAGACGCGTCTAGTGATATAGATGTCATGTGGAAAGGCTACTTCGACCGATAAAACTTCCGAAGTAGGACTGTTTTTCGCTAAAAAGCGCTAATTTGAATTCTGGCAAGCGCATTTGATTCTTTAGACCCTTGATGGTCGTGTGGGAGGCATCATTCTGACTGGTTGGCAAAGATATATGCATCATGCACCTTTGTGCGAGCTCTTGCCAATATCTATACCCTCGCTTTTGACCGATTTGCTCTACCTTCAAGATGTTGACATTAGCGAAGATTTGTTGTGGAAGAAAGTGCTGGTTAGTCTTACCCTAACTGGAAACGTTTCATATCTAAGCCATGCAGAGTTTGTTAAAATGTCCTTCATACATGAATCCGGCCACCACTCCTGCTGTGGTTGACACCTCCACATATCTTCCTCATAAGGACGCATATCTCAAAGTTTGTGACTTCGAAGGGAAGGAACTATTCAGATTGGTAACTTCTTTCATTACAGATGCAACAGTAACTAGAGTTTTCCCTTTTATTTCAGATAATGGAAGATCTGCATATGTTGGAATGGAAAGTCAGTGCATTCCGATATGATCCAGAAAAGAAAGCGGAATTGGTCGAAGAGATTCAAGAACTGGCAAAAAAGGTTGTTTTTTTACTGCTTGGTTAAGCCAAGATAATCATGTACCTAGTGTCGTTTTTATTCCCAGTAGACTGTTTGTTCGGACTTGTATTTTTGAGTCTGAAAAAGGTTAACAGATTTCAGGTAGTGAAACATGAAGCAAAAAAATCTGTTTGATTCCAGAGATTCATCTTATCTTTAGATGCAAGTGGAACTGCTCAAATACTACTTACCCAATGATGTGAATGAGTTCGTCACCACCAAAGTTTTAGCTTTGAAGCGACTACTGGCGGAGTGAGTGGGCATTTGATGTGACATATTAATTGTTTTATGTACTCCTTGTTTTACAAGAACGTTTTATAAGAAGTTATCGTTTGTAATATTTTATATCAAAATTTATAGTTTGTATATATAGCACTAATTTTACATTTATGCTCAGTTTCCTACAAGCTGTTGCCACGTATTCCTTAATACGGGTTTTGTATCTTTGCATTTGTCTGTACTTACTGTGCTGGTAAGGTGCTGGATCACAGGTTGGAACTTGAGATTGCTAATTGTTATTTCACGCACTTTGTGATGTTATTGTGATAGTCCATTACTTCACATAAAAATTAAAATTCTGTTGACAGTGTTTGCTTTGGTTGTGTGTTGTCGCTGACTACTTCTTAGATTTCAGTGTGAAGAGTTTGAGCCTTCTTAATCTTATTGAATTGCCCTCATTTCAAATAGCTGTCCATACTTTTTTTACAAGAGTGGAACAGTAGGAAATGCTTTTTTTTGCGCATTTTTGTACAGTGTTTCGACATGATTTCAATCTTGTTTTCTCTTTTTTTATGAGGAAACTACTTCTAGTCAAAGCGGCCATTGATATGAGATTCACCGTGCGAAGTAGTTTCGAATGCTGATCTCATTTCTGTGCTCCTTGTTTTGAGAACCTCTCGAAGCGTCTATCTAAACTTGTTGTTGCACAAGCTTTGTAGCTCCTTTTGGTTCGCGTTAAATTGGAGGATTCGAGTCTTGTCAATTGCAGACTTGCAGGTCCTTTCTACTTCAAAGTTTCTGTAAGTCGTTCTGCAAACAGATGAGAAAAAGTAAAGTGTGGAGTGTACGCGGTCAGTGTCCATCGTATAAAAAAAGCTAATCGATATAGTAGTTTTGTTGCTGTAGATCTGTGCGTGTGCTGAATACAAAACTGGGCTTTAGAGCTGTTTTGTTGCCTAGACATGAATATTGGCTGGGTGTGATGCGAGCATACTGGGTGAATGAGGTGAAGCACATTTTGTGTCCAAGAACGACAGAACTGTAATTGGAATGTCATCGAGGATCTGTTACAAATGTAGGCAACTTTAGAGTGACATATTGTTGAAATTTTATTCATTGTGTAGACTCAATAATATACAACTGATTTTGGCTCAGTCATGAATCAATTTGACAATTACTTTGATGGTAAGGTTGCAATGCCCGACTAAATTTCTTGTTTTTCTTATGCTCAAGGCTGCAGCCTATAGTTCTCGCATCTTCGAAAAACTCTCGATATAGCCTATGGGTCATTTATAAACGTAGGAGCATAAAACACCACAAAGTGTATCACCCAATGTTCAGCTCAGTCACTTCTAGTGTCTATATGTTTTATGTTATATAATTGGTAAGCAAAAAACCACTCGAGTAAAAGGAAAGCCAAGAAAATGAGGTTGCCGGAAGTGCGTGCATGTGGCGCGCGGTCGCTCCATTGTCACGATTTTTCGAATGCCCTATACCACTCGTGCGGTCTTTCTTTTCGCATTGGAATCGAAATTGTTGCGTCATAGTTCATCGCTTGAAAGATGACTTTTTGCTAGTTATATGTTTGTTGCCATATTAGAGCATTTCAGAACCAAACAGTCAATGAAAAAGCGATCGGATGATAGGGAGTACTTGATATATTCACGACACGACTCGTCTGATTACTATCGAGATGGTGAGCTTAATTTTTTTTTCGCATTTATGGTAAAAAAGGGCATCAGTCTGCGGCGGGGTGGGATTTGAATTGAGGGACGACTTCTGTTTGAGTAAATCGTACAATCATTCTCAGGCTAGGGTGTATTTTCGACGCAAATATCCTTTTGCTAGACGTTAGATGCTTTTCAGATCTTTCCGTCATTTAAATCCCTCACTATCTCTCCGAGAATTACAGTGAGTTAGGGTTAGAGTTATACTTACGACGAAATTTGAAAAAAAAATAATTTTCGGAGTTTTTTTCAGTCTGGTCTTACTCGAACCGCTTAATCTCATGAATGAAGAAGTGTCCAAAACCTTTCATGAAAAATGAAAAATTCGAGAAAGGAGGAAAAGTAGAGAACTTGACTGCCTTGAAATATTCGCGCGCAGCACTCAGTGTACCATCGAATTGACAGCTTTTACCTCATCCACGTACACCCTGAAATTTTACAGGAAGTCCTGGTCAATTTACGAAGAAACAAAATATCAAAGAAAATAGGTGTAAGAGCATTGTCGCTTGTTAGTCATAGCTCATGCGTATACTAATAGGACATACCTTGGAGGCTCAGCCCTCGGGCAGAGTTCACGCGATTTCGTGGCCGCAATTCATAGCGACAGGACAACTGTAACAACATCATTGCATGCCGATTTTCTTGCATTTCGGTTGTGGTAGTTTTCCGGCACGACTACTCGTGGCCAACTATCACAACCGTAATGCAAGATGAACAGCATGCAATGAACTCGTAACACTTGTCTTGTAGCGATGAATCGCGACGATCAAATCGCGTGAATTCTGCCCGAGGCATTAGGAACTTGTTTAAACTTTGCGAGAATCTCAGTGAACATTCAGAGAAGGTGGTCCTTTTTCATCTTTACGCTACTACCATAGACTAAGTTAGAAGGCTTATAACACCTCTTACAGGACGTGCAAATCTTCTGGGTTGTCGCGACATTGCGCGGCAATTCAGTTATCGCGCAAAGCGTTCCGTCAAATCCGCGAAATCACGCGAATCATGTAAATTACGAAGGGCCATAACTTTCTTCAGGATAATGTATTCTGCATTTGAAAGAAGCGTTCTGCTCAGCTCACCAAGGCGAACCCTTCAATTTAATGCATCACGTCGATATCCCTTCAGTAACTGAATTCTCTTCAAATATTTTTTGGCAAGGGTGTAAGCAGCGCACATCACACACGGAAAATCCCAATAAGCACGACTGAAGAAATTCACGGTAGCTTAGAATACGTGGATGCAAGAGAGTCTGTGCCCGTTGAAAGCACTGTTGTCATTGGGTGTTAGGCAGCTGAAGAGTAACCAAGGAGCGCCTATTCTTCTTCAGTTCATCCTCGTAAAATGTGTATACTAGCTTTTCAATCGTATCTGCTGTTCGTCAGGCGCATTCATACGTGGATAGTGAATATATTATTACACTAGCTGGCTTACCCGGCTCCGCCGTATCCGGACCAAACTTGGCACACATACACTTCGGGCCCCGGCGGGTGTCACAGTCCACTTTTCGTTATCGATCGATGTCGATTTTACCGATTTTTATCGATTTTTTGGCAGAGTTCACCTACAGGGCTAGGAGTTGGCACAGGGGGGAAGTGAGCATGGGGATTCCGAATACAATATTAGTTTTCAGAATTATCGATTGCTTTTATTGATTTTATCGATTTTTTGGCAGAGTTCACCTACAGGGCTAGGAGTTGGCACAGGGGGGAAGTGAGCATGGGGATTCCGAATACAATATTAGTTTTCAGGATCGTCCATTACTTTTATCGATTTTATCGATTTTTTTGCAAAGTTTGACCTGCGGGGCTGGGAGTTTGCACAGAGGGTAATCGAGCATGCAGATTACGAATACAATATTAGTTTTCAAGATCGTCCATTACTTTATCGATTTTATCGATTTTTGAAAATTTGAGCTAGGGGGCTGGAATTTGGCACAGGGGTGTTCGAGCATGCTGATCACCCCCCTTGGGGATGATCAGCATGCTCGATTACCCCCCTGTGCCAACTCCCAGCCCCCTAGCTCAAACTTTGCAAAAAAATCGATAAAATCGATAAAAGTAATCGATAATCCTGAAAACCAATATTGTATTCGGAATCCCCATGCTCGATTACCCCCCTGTGCGAACTCCCAGCCCCGTAGCTCAAACTTTGCAAAAAAATCGATAAAATCGATAAAAGTAATCGATAATCCTGAAAACCAATATTGTATTCGGAATCCCCATGCTCGATTACCCCCCTGTGCCAACTCCCAGCCCCGTAGGTGAACTCTGCAAAAAAATCGATAAAAATCGATAAAATCGATATCGATCGATGACGAAAAGTAGCCTATGACACCCGCCGGGGCCCGTAGTGTATGTGTGCCAAGTTTGGTCCGGATCGGTTCAGAAATGGAATTTTCTATTCGGAACATACGTACACACAGACAGACAGACATACAGACAGACAGACAGACAGACAGACAGACAGACAAACAGACATTCAGCTTTATATATAAGATTTCTGCTCTGGTGGTATTCCGGAAAGGCTCATGCTTCTCGTTCGTTATCTTATTTTTTCACCTTCACATACATGTCAGGTCGTTGCAGAAGTTTTTGCGTAATCCAAAAAAATACTTTTCAAATACTCAACCTGAACTCATGATCCACTATCATAAAAATATCGCAAGGCTTCCGCTTCATAAGGGATGTTCAAGCGTGACATTTTATGAGTTGGCCACCGAGACGATATTTTCAAAAATAGCTATTCAAGTGTTGCGATTTTGAGTTTGGTGCTAATAGATTGCGGAGGGCCGCTAGCTGACTTAAAAAATGTCTAAAATTTTACACAGCAAAAGTCCATAGATTAATCTTGGAGGCTTCAACTTTGTACGGAAATACAAAAATATATCCGTGAAAAATATCATTTTACCAAAAAATTCCTCTTATTCTGCAGTTTTTCAAAGTAACATAGTCTGATGCAAAGGCGTCACAGTGTTCTAAATGGACATTGGGTATAACTTCTGGTTCTAAACTATGTTTTCGTGAAAAAACTGGGATAAGGAGGTATTTTTTGTAGAGAGACAATTTTCATGAATTTTTTATTTTTGCATTTCCATACGGATTGATGCCCGCCAAATTAGTTCATGGACTTTTGCTGTGCGAGAAATTTTTATACATTTTTTGGCGAGCTAGCGGCTTTGCACGAATTTCTAGTACCAAACTTAGAATCACAAAATTTGAAAAGTTAGTTTTGGAAGTTCCTTCTCGATGGTCAACCCATAGAACGGCACGCTTGAACATCTGTTGGAAGCGGAAGCCTTGCGGTATGTTCTTGATACTGGATCAGGAGTTAAGCTTTAGTATCTGAATTATTATTGATTTTTGTTTAAATTACGCAAGATTTGCGCCAACTCAATATTACCGTGTGCTCTATGTCTCCCCCTTTCTTTGCTTTGACCAAAAGTTTTTCTCATGTTGGATTTGAATTCTTGCATGGCATTATCTGACCAAAAAATATTGTACACAAGACTTTTGCAACAGTGACAGTCAGCGAATCTTAAGTTATTATTTCTCGCTGCTGCGAATACTTATTACAGGCGGAAAATTGATTTAGGTAAAACTCCGCCCAATGTTGGGTTGACACGATTGATGCCTTCCGAAGTCTATAAAAATTCTGAAATGATGAAAGAGAGGGATGAGAGAATTTCAAAAAAAAGCAACTGCATACTTCTCCAGATTCACAAATGTTAGATATCTCGTGCATGTATCTTTCCTGTTGATTGTATTATCAGTGTGTTGGGCATTATCCCCGAATAAAAAGAATCCCGGTGTGGCCAAAATTGCTCTTTTATCCGCTTTATTGGTCCAGCGAACGAAGAGTATTTGCAAATAATGGGGAGCCCTAATTGAGCAGCTCTTGTCCACGATGTAGCAGTCATAAAAAGTCCATTCGCACGAGAAATCCATCCCGCATTTGGACAGGAGTAGATACAGAAATAACACGGGATGCGAGTTCAGGTTTCAGTACAGCTAATAATTTTCTCAGAGTTTATTCTTATCCTTTCGGGGTAGTGGCTATTGAATTAGGCTGTTTACAATGCACAAAAAATTTATATTTAATAGTCGGTTTCTTCAACAAATAAATGAGCACGATATCGAAATATCACGGTCGAATCCGACACAGATGTGAACAACAAACACTGTTGCAAAGTAAAATATTTACTTGCAAACTGATTTCTTTTCAAAATGATGAAACACAAAGGCACAAATGAAAGAAATTAAGGCACTATGAGATGACAAGATAATAAAAGGAAAACAAGACGAGTGACCACTCTTGGTCAATGCAGGATATCACACTACTTAGCTCATGGCAGCCATAGCGTAGCGCAACTGTATGAGGTCAACCCCGCCCCCTCTCACTGCCTCATCCTTACTCTCTCGCAGCGTGTATCCTAGGGGCACGCTAGGATGCCTTAGCCAGGCTAGCTGCTTATCGATCGATAAACAGCCAAAACAAAGAAACTTGTGAACTATATGATATATCAAACATAGAAAAACGAACTAGTACTACACTACAAGGGGGTCCCCTGCAAAGAGCGCTTCCACTGCGCGACTAGTTTAGCCGTCCTCTGCAAGAATTTCTAAAGGGCTCCCTTCTTTGAAAACGAGGTTTTGGCGTCGTTCTGCTCTGTGACGTAGATCTGTTCTCCCGTCGATGAGAATTCCGTTGATACGACGAAGATCTGTTCTCCAGCTGATTAAAATTGCGTTGTTGCGACCGAGAGTCGTGACGTGCTCCTCGTCCTCGCATATAGGTGTTACTTCGGGGCTCCCTCTGCACTGCTGCGCTTCTGCAGCTATTCTCAGGCTCACGTATCCTTTTGAAGTCCGGCAGTTTCAAAAATGCGCTGTATTGGGTTTTTGTGGCGTTCCAAAACCTTTTCGCTGCGCTCTGAGTGAAGTGTCTTCCCGTAACAAGGTTGATTTTGTCGGCCAAAATTTTGTAGGCGGCTCCCAGCATCGCGTTTTCCGAGCGCTTCGGCAGCAAACATCGCATTTTTGGGGCAAGGCTCGGGCGCTGTGCGCAGGTTTCCTCCATTAAGTCACGAAGAAGATCCACGGTGGCTCCCCACCCTTCGTCATCTTGAGGACCCGGAAGTGCAATCAACTCCGCACCTTGGGCGACTGCGTGTAGGAATAGCGTCCATGCGCTTCTCCAGCGCAAGATATCCGAACTCGAGGCAGGCGAAAACAGTATTATCGCCGATACTTCCTCCGCAAACCATTCCGGCTCGACTTCATCTGGGGAGCGAATGACGTGTACTGCTACAAAATCGGCTTCAAGGCATCGTAGGACTTCGTCAAATCCTTCCGGCAGCAAAATGAGCGTCTCCCGCGGCTTCAGCTGGCGCCACCGACTTTCCATCCAGGGGTTGCAGTTCGCAAACTCTACGGCTTTTCCGTAGAGATACGACAAGTTGTACGGGTCATCACGCGTTCGGGGAGGGCAATCCTGTGCAGATTTCTTGGCGTCGACTACTGAGGCAAGGGTCGCATGAAGGCAATGACTACGAAAATATGACAATGAAATTCCTAGAGAATGGGGAGTGAGAATATCGTATGAAACATCCAATAAACGAGCAACACGCCAATTATCAGGGACATGAGATTGGGTTATCACAGCAATGTTCCGGGCGAGGTCGTACGGCGTTCCTATGCTGATGCAGCTGAGAGGCGAATTCGGGATGACGTCCGGCACTCTTTCCTCGATCGAGCATTCCAAAACGGTGTTTCCATGGGCGAGTTTTCCGGGACATTTCCAACTGACGTGTCTGGCATTGGTTGCAGATGATAAGGGTTTCCTGAAAAGAAAATTTATTAGTCTAATGCTACTCACAACCCCATCAATCTTCTCCTGACTAGCTTTCTTGGGTCGTCCCCGTTTTCTACTAGTTTTCGTCGTGGATAAATCGGGCATTTTCACAGTTTTCTTGGGTCTTCCCCGTTTCCTGCGCCCGGTTATCCCTACCACCGGAGTATCGTCGATTTCCGACGGTACTTTGACCAAATGGTCAAACTGTACTCGCCGGGGCTCCTCATTTTCGCCAATCTGAGTGATCAGCGCCGAGTTATTGCTGGCTTCAATTACCCGAAACGGTCCTGCCCAGTCCGTTACTAATTTAGGGTGCTCAGACTGCCCTTTTTCAGCTGGCAGTTTCATATAGACGCGGTCTCCCGCTGCAAATTTTACTGATTTTGCTGTTTCCAGCTTCCGATCGTAATATTTTTTCATATTTTCGCGGTATTCCCGTGCATTTTCTATAATGCATTCGCGGGCGAGTTTTAACCCCGACAAGAGCTCCGTTTTGTAATTATCGTAGTCTACGATGTACGGAGATAGGTGTTCTGGTGGAATTACCGCGGACGGATACTTAGGGTCACTTCCGTACAGCAGAAAATGCGGGCTTTCCCCCGTTGCTCTGTGAGGTGACGCGTTGTAGGCGTAAACTACCGTGGGGAGCACTTTGTCCCATTCACTTGGTGTTACCGTCTTCTTCTTGAGCATTCTAACGATAGTTCCGTTTACCCTCTCCGTCACTCCATTTTCTCTCGGGCAGTATCCTTTGGTAAAACTTTGGGAAATCCCCATATAATCGCAGAGAACCGTCATTATACTGTTCTCAAATTCGCCACCGCGGTCTGAAAACACTGTTTCCGGCCAGCGTCCTGTCGCGCAAATCCAGTTGCTGAATAGGGCTTCAGCAACAGTTTCCGCCTTTTTGTCGGGTACCGGATACGCTCCAAGATACTTGGTGAAATGGTCTATGATAGTGACTATATACCGGTTTCCGCGGCTAGTCAAACCCATCTCTAAAATGTCGATCCCCACTATTTGAAAAGGTCTGGATACTTCAAAGGGTCGCAACGGTGGGACATTATCCTTTTTCCAGTTGGTCAGAAAGCATTTCTGGCAAGATCGGTACCACCGAAACATGTCTGCTCGCATTCCAGGCCAAAATACCCTTTTCTTGAGCTGAAGGAACAATTTTCGCGGGTGAAAATGTCCTCCAAGGGCTCCTGCATGGGCTTCGTCAAACACGCTTTGGCGGCGTGATCGCGGCACTACCGGGACCAAAGACCCATCTTCCTTTATCAGGTGTAATTTTCCGTTCTCAATGGTAAAATCCACAGAACTAAGGGTTTTCTCGTGTCTTGGGAGTTTCACCTCCTCTTCGCGCTCGCTCTCTACTGCAGAAATCAAGGCTGCAAAATCGGAATCTTGGCGCAATTCCGACAACCATTCGTGCTCCTGAACTGCACAAACTACTTTTTCACCTTCGGCGTACCCGTATTTAGCAAATACGTGTTCAGGGAGTCCCCTAGATAATGCGTCAGCAACGCAGTTAGCTGCTCCCTTCAGGTGTTCGATGGTCAGATCATAGCGCTGAACTTCCAGCGCCCATCTCAGCACCCTGGGAGACACATTGGTACGTTTAAAGAGCGATACAAGCGCTGCATGGTCCGTTTTTATTATGGTTTTGACCCCATAGATAAAATAATGGAACTTCTTTAACGCATAAACTACTGCCAGCGCTTCTTGATCAGTGACGTGATAATTCCTCTCCGCTTGCGTTAACGGCTTAGAAGCAAAAAATACGGGATGGAGCAATCCATCTTCGCCTTCCTGTGTCAAAACGGCGCCCAAACCTATACGACTTGCGTCGGTATAGATTATGAAAGGACGGCTTCCGTCTCTTGCTCTTTCGATATTTGGCTGCGCCAAAACCGAGGCTTCTGTTAAAACCTCCTTCAGTTTGCTAAAAGCTCTCTCATGCGCCGCCGTCCAACAGAAAGCATTCTTAGGACTGGTAAGCTCATAGAGAGGCTTCGAGATCTGCGCAAAATGTAACACAAATTTGCGATAGTATCCTGCCATACCCAGGAATGTCCGTAGTTGCGCTATGTTGGTTGGGCGCTCAAAATTTTGAATTCGCACCACTTTATCCGGGTCGGTTTTGACACCATCCTTATCCACTACATGCCCCAAAAATTCGATGCTAGGTTCCATAATCCGGCATTTTTGTGGCTTCATCTTAAGCTGAGCTTGTCTCAAAGCTTGGCACACTTTCCTCAGCACTTCGGCGTGGCGCTCTACGCTTTCGGTGGCGATTAGAATATCATCGATATACACCGAGACCTCGCGCCCTTTAACATCGCCCAATACTTGATCCATTAAGCGCTGGAATTTCGCAGGGGCGGTTGTGAGTCCAAAGGGTAGCACCCTAAACTGGAATTGGCCCGCGGTAGTGGTAAAAGCACTAATCTCTTTGGCGCGCTCTGTCAGCGGTACTTGCCAATACCCACTCGCTAGATCCAATGATGTGAACCAGCACATCCCCTGCAGATTTTGCAAGGTAACATCTATAGGTGGGAGTGGGTAACTATCCTTTTTCGTTACTTTGTTCACTTCCCTATAGTCCACGCAAAGACGGATAGTTCCATCCTTCTTTGCCACTAAGACTATTGGCGATGCCCATGGTGACTCACTATTCTCTATCACTCCCCTTTCCTTAAGCTCATCAAGCATTGTCTCAACCTCCGCACGAAGTCCATACGGTACCGGTCGAGTCTTCTGCCTGATGGGCGGATGGTCTCCCACTTCAATGTCATGTTCAACCAGATGGGTTTGAGTGAGCTCCAAATCAGAAATGGCAAAAACGTCATGATAGTCTTCCACTACCTTCCTAATCTCTATAGGCATAGGACCTGCTCTTCTATTGGCGTCAAGTAAACCAACCAGGTTACCTATCCTTTCCGCATCTTCTACCAATGTAGGCTGCTTCATTACTAGCATATCGCCAGGTAATTCACTTATCCTAGGATCTATCCATGAATCATGGGACCATGTACCTAACTGTTCCCCTTTTTGGATAACCCAAGGTTCACTTTCTCTATTCAACACTGATATTTCGGATTTGCTCTGCTCGACTGCGCACACTCCCGATTCTATGCGGTCATGACGTGACCAGAACAGGCAGGGACCTGATTGAGATGATCCCTCGATCTGTACCGTGGCCACGCATCCCGGAGGTATAACTACTCTTGCTACAGCATGAACCTGTTGGCAATCGGTGCTTCCTTTATTCGCTAATGTTGGAAAAGTTAGCGCAATACCAAGTTCCGATAAGGCATTAGTCCCCAAAAGTAGCGTTGTATCTTCGGTTTTCTGGACATGTAAGTGTACAGGAATGCTTCCATTCCCGTGTATACTAATCTTAGCTACTAGCTCCCCAAGAAAGCTCATGAGGTTTCCTGAAGCATCAACAAGTTTGCGCTGTTTAGAGTCAACGACCCTCTTAGCCTGTGTGTTGAAATCCACCCCTTGCTGACGGGCCAGTTTCAAAAATCCCACAGGAACTATCGAAACTACCGAACCGGTATCTATCAAAGCCTTTGTGTTTAGGCCAAACACTTCTACCTCGCAGAGACATGGTTCTCCTATAGCCTTGGGGCTCGCATCTACCTTGGCATGATTGGCTTGGACGGTCTTGCACCATCCCTCAACATCGTCGGCCAAGGTGATCCCCCCTACAGCACTGCTATGAGGTTGAATGCACCTCATACCCCTTCCCTGTGGAAATCGATTAGCTGTGCTTTGATTCCTCTTATCACATCTTGAAGAGATGTGGCCAACTTCGCCACAAGTAAAACATTTTACCGGGGCCTTATTAGTTGCACCACTAACAAGGGGTTTACTAGGACCCGCTGGGTATCTGGCTTCAACTTGCGGCTTCACATAGGCATTTACCCTCTTTGCCCGAACATTCGAGTCACTAGGGTGCCTCACCGCTCCATCTTGAAGCTTCTCCAGCCTCCTTGCTACCTTCTTGACTGCTTCGTAGACTTGCCCTTCAGGCGAGTCTAAAGCAGCAAGCATGTGGTAGGAGTCCTGCCAACTCTCCAAGCATGAATACAGCTTGGAGCCGCGAATGAAATCCCATTCGCAACTAGGATGGATTCTCCTAGAGAGATCCTCCATCCTGCAGCAGAAATCCACCACGGTTTCCCCATTCCGTTTTGAGAGTTGTTCCCACTCTCTTATATTCTTTAAACGGTCGCAGGGGTTTCTTCGCGCTTGCTTTAGGGCTTCTACTACACCCTTAAAGCTCCCTTCCCGCACGCTTTGTGGCAGGCTTTTAAACACTGCCTTAGCCGTGCCCTCCAGGTGGTTAACCAGGATATCCCTCCTATCCCGGTCCTGCCACACGCTTGCTGGGAATTTCACTTCCAGCGCCCGGAGGAAATCACTCAGGGAATTTTTACCCGTGTATCGTGGCACGCTGGCCACGCTTTGTGCTTTAAAAACTTCTTTAAACATAGTAAACATGTCCCTAACCGGGTTCCCAGCACCTATCCCATCCCTAGATCCCATATCAATAATCGATAGGGACTCACTGATCGTTGATCCTTGGGAGGACATGGCCGACGATGGTCGCGACGACTTGGGTGAGGCTCGGGGTGGGTCGCAGTGTGGCCCAGCGGTCGCTTCTCGACGTACGCGGGATCCCTGAACACGATTGTTGACACTTTGTAATGTTCGGTAATTTTCCCGAACAGAATGTGAAAGTTCACACTCACCCTCGACTAGGCTTGCCGAAGCTGTGGCTTGTGAATCCTGAGAGGGGCCGGAGAGTTCCTTTACACGTTCCTGTAATACTAATATTTGCGTCTGCAAATCTTCCTCTCTCCTTGCACTGTTCAAAGCCTCTAGCCTAATCTTAGATTGTGAGGCGGCCAATCTGTTTTCCAGATCGGCTATAGTTGCGACCTTATCCTCAACTACGGCCTCTACCTCATCTATCTCACACCCCAACCTAGCCCCTAACCTCACTACCATTTGGCTGTGGGAACTGGCCATGGGTATATACTCAAGCAATTCCTCGACGCTCATTTGGAATTTATCACAAAGAGCGGAGTGCGAGCTACCTGCATGGTCAAGTTCCCCTCCGAGGCTAACTTGCAACCTCTCGCGCAACGAAATCAATATCTGATCTCGCTTTACGCGCGAGAGGTGCCTAATTTGGCTGTCCAACACATCCCCCATAAAAGTCAAAATATCACCAAATTGACTATCACTCACTTCAAGTGAATTCCAATTGCTCAGCGCCTCTTGGTTGGCGGGGGTATGTGGTGGTGGCGTGGCGTGTCCGCTTGCCGATTGCTCCATCAAAGAATCCATTCCGGAATTCTGCAACAACAAAAAAATCAGTTGTGTGAGTTGTTCACCGGTTCGGCCCCCAAGTCGGTTTCTTCAACAAATAAATGAGCACGATATCGAAATATCACGGTCGAATCCGACACAGATGTGAACAACAAACACTGTTGCAAAGTAAAATATTTACTTGCAAACTGATTTCTTTTCAAAATGATGAAACACAAAGGCACAAATGAAAGAAATTAAGGCACTATGAGATGACAAGATAATAAAAGGAAAACAAGACGAGTGACCACTCTTGGTCAATGCAGGATATCACACTACTTAGCTCATGGCAGCCATAGCGTAGCGCAACTGTATGAGGTCAACCCCGCCCCCTCTCACTGCCTCATCCTTACTCTCTCGCAGCGTGTATCCTAGGGGCACGCTAGGATGCCTTAGCCAGGCTAGCTGCTTATCGATCGATAAACAGCCAAAACAAAGAAACTTGTGAACTATATGATATATCAAACATAGAAAAACGAACTAGTACTACACTACATAATTGTTAAATCTGGAAAGGCAGCCAGTGTTATTTTTTCAACCCATACCCCAAAAACCTCCGAAAAAATCTTAAGGCTCATTTGAATATCTGAAATTTCACAAAAAAAGATTTTTTGATTATCTAAACTTAAGAACAAAACACTTGTGCGGTTTCATAACTCATGTTGACCACTTCACTCTCCAGTGCCTCCCCCCCCCCCCTCCTCTCTTCCCTTGGTGCGCCAGTACTGAGCCAGTATTGCAACTGACTCTTTGAGCACTACAGGATGGTCCACATGAAATGTGACGCACAAGATCTTTCGTAACTTTGCTAGGAACTCAATGAAATCAAAAGCTTTTTTTTTTCATCTGATAGACAGGAAAATTCTGTATAGGAAATTTCAAATTACCGTCCAAGATATTCGGCCTTCGGCCTTGGTTAAAGAATTTGCTTTGTTGGGAGGAATTTTTAAAATGCGCGCAGTGATTTTTGGCAAAATTTTTGTCCCAGGCTCTCCTTTTGACAAATCTTATGAACTGGATCTGGAAGAGCGGACTTTTTGCTCATAGATAGGCCAGGAAGAGAATCCATGGGTTCAAGGCCAAGCATTGTTTGTTCATATGTGGCCCACATGATGTTTGACGGGCTGCGAAAAATTCATTTTTTGGTCCATTTCATTCCATGTTTTGATGATAGTCGTCTTCTCCATATTCTTTTGTCCCATTGTGCTTGTTTCCGACTTCTTTCTATAGTAAAACATGGTAAAGCTGGAAAGAAATCAAATGGCAACGAAAATCGCAGTTTTTCGAGGTTCTGAAAAAGCAAAAGCAATCGAAAGGGCGGCACTTCCATGACCAAAGCAAACACTATGGATGCTTTCGGGAATTTTTAGCATGATTAGACAATTCAAAGCGAAAAGAAGAATTTTGCAGTTTTGTAAAATCCATCATTTGGTCATCGTAAAAAAATGATATTTGGCCCTCGAGCTTGCCCATCCTTGACCCCACAAATGCTCTTTCCTTTCTGCCTGAAAGTCTGCCCTTCAAAACCAATGTCATTCGATTTGCTAAAAAGATACCTGATGAGAGTTTGGGACCAGAAGGCATTGCGCGCAAATCGACGAATTTTTGGAAGAGATTTGAAAGAGAATAAATGATTTTACCAAAGTCAGAGACAGATATCTAAAAGTAATTTGTAACAAATTGTATAAAATTTTCTCCTCTATCAGATGAGAACTATAGCTTCTGATTTCATTCAGTCCTTGCATAGTTATAGTGATTTCTTGTTGTGTCACACTTCATATGGACCACCCTTTATATTTTGATTAATTAATTTGAAAATAATTCTTCGCTCCTGACTTAAATTCTGAAGAGGTGGCCAGTGTTATTCTTTCGAATGTACTACCAGTTATTTCAATCGGACTGTCAAACCTGAGTGACAGTTCGAAAAAATTTCTCTAGCGAAGGGGGGGGGGGGGTTGTTGATTTTATAATGAAGGGGTATACCGTTACCAAGGCCCTCAGTGGCCTGCCCACGCTTCCCGGACTTTGCGGACCAATAACTCCAAGCGCCTCCGTATAAATTTCAAGGAATTTGAATACTTGAAATTTCTCATTTTTTGATTATTCCAAAGTAAGAACAAGCTTCCCGGACTTTGCGGACCAATAACTCCAAGCGCCTCCGTATAAATTTCAAGGAATTTGAATACTTGAAATTTCTCATTTTTTTGATTATTCCAAAGTAAGAACAAGCTTGCGCTTGCGCAGTTTAGGACTCATGTTGACTTTCAAAAACTTCCCATTTTCCGGTGTCCCCCCCCCCCCCTCTCTTCTCTCTTGGTCCGCCAGTGGTGAGCGAGCACTGTGTCTGTCTCTTTGTGCAGCATCCTGTGCTATACATCGACTTGCTTGAAAACAAAGGATTTTTATAGAATTTATCATCATATCGATGAAATAGAATATGTGCATAAAATGCACAGAATTAACAATGGCTGGGTTCGCTTCGCATAAAATCAATTGTTGCAAAATAGAATCTATTGACATTATAAATCTGGCTCGTTTTTGCTCAGAAAACGTTGCATCGATGTAAGAAAGTTATGCTACTTTTGATAATTTCAAATGATTTTGAAAACTTTCTATTTTTCTTTCACGCTTTTCATCTTCTTCTGTAGATCGCATCCAACGTGTGTAAACGTAGCAAGAGAGCGATAAGATAATTTTGGAGAATTGCTAGATAGGGGCGGCGTACTTCAAGCAGTGGTCACTTTTTTCGATGCCGTCATTGTGCATGGTCATATTTTAATTGCTGTTCGATTGGGATTCGCGTGGTGTCCGCGGAAGTGTCATCATTTGTTCTTGTTATGGAGGACACCAGCGATTTATTGTCTGACGAGTTAGAAGATGACGAAGGTAGGATTGCCTTTTGCAGCAGAAGCCTTAGTCAGGCTCTGCATTTACCCAGTCCCTCGATAGGCCATACTTTACCCGTGTTGCCCGTGTTACCGTTGTTACCAGTTTTACTCGTGTTACTAGTGTTACTACTGTTACTAATGTTACTAGAAATCACAAATGCAGTCTCATTCTAAAACGCAATCTACTAGTATTACGGGTAACACTGGTAACACGGGTAACATGGGTTAGCTATGACCAAAGCCAAAGAAAACCGAGTCAACACTCCGTAGGGAACTTGCAAGATTTAATCATGCTGTTGTTATAATACTGGCCTTTTTTTTACTCTTCTATGAATTTCTTCTTTTGCAAAAAACGGTCTGTCTTTCAGGACGTGATAGTTTCGATGCCGAAAGCGGAAACGATCATCTGAAACCCAGATCAGCCTTTACACCATGGCCCCACGTCTTCAACTTGGCCAACTGTATAGTTGGAGTTTCAGTACTGGCAATGCCTTTTGTTTTCCAGCAGGTTTGTTGTCAATAATTTTACCATGAGTTCATAATTATTTGACACATTTCTATTACATTTATTTCTTTATTTATTCAAATGTGCACTATAACTGCGCCAAAAAACAGCTTGACAATACTCAGTCGTACAAACATAACTGTCATACTTCCACTCCTTATACTTACACTTTGTTGCAGAACGCAACCATTAGAACCGCAGACAAAGAGCGCTTGAGAGGGGGGGGGGGGACTTGAGGCCGAATTTACCGGCTCGATCATGCAGATGATTGGCATTGGGGAATGCCACCGCCCTAGGATTATTTATATACAGGCAAAAACTTTTCTGTTATCCTGAATTCACGATCCGGTTAATAGCCTCACGCTTATGCAAACTGAAAATTTCTAAAATTGCATCCACATTTGCCAGGAAAACTAATGCTAATTACAGTAATGATGGAATTAGTTGCAGTTAGGATCCTGCTAATTTTTGGGACATTTCACTCGCGAATTTGTACGACGAATTTCAATGTGCTCTATGGTAGGGTGACGAACTCCGCCAGTTTGAGCGCGCCGCTTGCAGGTCCTTTTGCTATATTGTTGCATGTCGCTGCAGGACCAGTAGTCCGCGGAGGCGGTTCAAACTGGTGTAATTCGTTCACCCCCCTCTATGTTGATTGCAATATGGCGTTATTTCCATTGTTCACCGTTACTGGAGGGTTACGGTAGCCAGTATTATTCAGATACTGTATCTGAACTACACTAGCCGGGAAAAACAGGCGGTGAGGGGGGACCTTCTATCGAGAACATGATTTTCCTTGATTGAGTTAGAAAATTGCGCAAATAGCATGTTTTAATTGTCAGTTCTAGTTCTGGCTACCGTCAACCCTGCAAAAGGCATCTGAATGCCCTCACGAAGCTGGTCGTTCGCGCCACGCCCATTCATTTGAATAGAATTTCGCTTACGTCCTCCTCCAAAAATCTCGACTACGGCTAATTTGCTAAAATTCTATGAAAAATTACGCCGGGTAGAATTTGTCTTCGGGAATACTGTAAAATACAATTATCGTGTCTTTAAAATAATAGGACATGTTACTAATGGATATCGTAGCAAATTTGTTATCTTAATGTTATTTTTGTGCTATTTATGCATTTTTTGTGCTTCAAGAAGATCATGTCTTGCCCATAATATTTTTAGTGTGGTATACTGCTGGCTACAATAATGATAGGCGCGAGTTCAGTGCTAACCAAATATACCTGCCATTTTCTTGCCAAAGCTGCATATCTGACGAAGTAGGTTTTTTTTAAATTTTTTGAAGCAGTACGATATGAGTATCAAGAACTTCTCCATTACTAACACTATTTTAGCAAGCGTAGCTATGAAGCGCTAGCACTTACAGCATTGGGACCAACGGGGCGAAGAATCATTGAATTGTGTTTATTGGGCTTCCTTGTTTCGTCTATCGTGGCCTTCTTGGTAGTCATAGGTAACTTTTTTTGGATGGTTGATCTTGAGAAGAAAATCTGATTGAATTGTTCAGGAGACCTTGGTCCACATATCGTAGCCGATTATCTGGAATTGGAGGCTCCAACCCAACGATTACGAACACTTGTTATGGTAAGTAACGTGTTCTGATGGCAACAACCTAGTTTTGAATTTTTTTCAACGGGTCTCTCATTTCATTGGTTTTTTCTGCAAACACTTAGATGATATGTCCTTTAGGTAGTGGTAATGCTCTTCATCATTTTTCCTCTATGTCTCATCAAGGACTTGGAAAAATTTTCCGTAATTAGCTCTTGTGCTGTGTTATTCTACTCTGTATTTGTAACCACAATGGTGAGTTTCTACAACTTTTACAGATAAAGGGGAGAAGGTTTGATTTTGTTTTTCGAGAAATTGCTGGCCGCCATTTACACCTTCTGTAATCTCTAAAATATTGTGGCTTTTGTTTACACTTTCACTGTTTATATTAAAGGTCCATTAAGTCAGATTTACGATATGATAAGAGATTTATCACAGATCACTTTTTGCGCTAGAATGGACATCGATCGACTTTTATAGCCTCTTCACAACTTTTTTTATAGGTTCTGGAAGCTTTACCAACTCTTTGGGATGGGAAATGGAGTATACATGTGGTATGGTGGCGGCCACAAGGCTTTCTGACTTGGTGAGTTTGTATTCTTTCTTTATCTTACAGATCACGTTATTTTATCTCTTTTTTACAGCATGCCAATTGTTTTTATGGGATTAGCATGCCAAGTTCAGCTGTTTTGTGTCATTGACTGCATTCATGATTCATTAGTGGCTCGGGTTGACTCCGTCGTCTCCGGCGCTATCAATTTCTGTTCCGCTTTGTGAGTTAAAAGGCTAACTGAAATTTGTAGTAACATCGTAAAGTAGTTTAGATACGCCGGAGTGGGTCTATTCGGATATGTAGCCTTCTACTCACGTACCCTACATGGTGATGTGTTGATTGAGTTGGAAGCGTCGTTTTTCACGCAACTGCTGAAAATGGCTTTTCTCCTCTCTGTGGCAGTTTCTATACCGTTGATGATGTTTCCTGCAAGGAGCGCACTTTTCAACCTAGTATTGCGACCAGTAAGTAATTCGCATCTAATTGAGGAGGTCCCAAACTATATAATTTGGGAATAAGGGTTTGGTTCTACAGTTGACTCATTATCCATATCGTTCGCTTATTAGAGCGATCATTTCACCAGCTATCTGGCGAACTATTATGTACACAGCCCAGCTGTACGATATTGATTCATTAGGTTGGCAGGAAATTTTCACACACTTTCAACATAAATTTGCTATTTAAGGTTCAGTGCGTTTACAAGAGTGAAAACTTGCGGTTTTTCTGAGCAAGTGGCAAGCGACTAGGTTAGGGGCGGAGTTTTCCACTTTTCGACCATGTCGTCGTTTTCGTTACTCATGCGCGAAGACCATCCAGCCTGTTCCTGCGTATATGTATCTAATTTTCACATGAGTGGATGCTAGTATCATTCATATATCCAAATTGCGTTTTTATCAGCACTAACAAGGGAAGGATATCAACTTAGATCCGCCTTTTGAGATGAGACACCTATATTTGGAATCAGCCTTGAACGCTGATTCCAAATATGCCCTTCCTAGCTGCTTAGCTTTATTCCGAAGCGAGTTATGGGTTTGCAATTGTGAGTGACTAAGAAACTTCTGAATGTCGTAAGACGGCTTGTAGATAAGAATCTGCTTTAAGAAACTGCTAGGATGTTGAACTAGCATCAGATTAACTCTTTAGATCTTGAAAAAGGGCACTATACAGTTGCAAAACCACCTAGGCGTTGACACAGTAGCATCAGTAGCTCGAGGATTTTGCATAGAAAGGAGAACAACTCGCTTCAGAATAACGCTAAGCAGCCAGAAACAGCATATATGGAATCAGCGTTTCAAGGTGATTCCAGCTATATGTGTCCCATCTCAAAAGGCTAATATCAGTTAGTATCCTTCCCTTGTAAGTCAGATTTACTGCTAAACCCCCAGAAGTAATAGTGATTCGGTCGAAACCATCATATAACGTGAGTTCCAGTCATTGCGGTTACATAGTGGTAACCATGATCATCTTCTGATGAACCATCATATTGTTCAAATTAATAAAGTATCCCTGACCACTTTTTCATTTGAAACAATTATGTGTACTTTTATGCGTTAGAAGGAGTAAGGGGGACTTTTGCTTTGCTAAATCTACAACTAAGTGAACATTTGCCCATCTCTGCTGCCAAATGGTTTCCTTGTGGTATTGAGAAGATGATGTAAAGCTGCTGGTTACCTTTAGTGACAAGAGTGACTTTTGTTAAGATGATGGCTTCAACCAAATTACTACCAATCCAGTTTTTCTCCTAGCTTGTGTTTTTATATTGAAAAAAAAACGTCATCCTCGCTGTATCGCATACTGGAAACATTTGTCCTTTTGTAAGAGCCATTCGCGGTCATTTACTGAGAGTAAGGAAGCGATATAAGAGAGAAGTTTTGATGGGAGCTTGAAATGAAGAATTGATTTATTACCTATGGATAAAAGCTAAATGAACTAGTTACTTCCATGTTTCCTCCTTTCTTAACCTCGGCATAGTTAGTTGTAATGTATTATATTACATTACAACTATATATAATAATTATTATATTATATATATAATATAATATAATATAATAATTATCAATATTATAATAATAATATTATTATGATATATAATATAATAATTATTATACTATATACTATTATAATACATTACAACGAACTAGTTACTCTTATACTCACTTACTAAATGGGATTTATGTCTAAATTACAACAGCACAGTACTTGAAATTTGTCTCCAAAAAACTAGTAATTTCCAAGCACTCCACCCCGCTCAACGTATAGAGCTTACCTTAGTGACTCAGTATTTTATGTCTACCCAAGTTTACTTTTCAACCTTGAAGTACCTGGTTAAATCCTTCCTCAAATTCTTTTGCAAGTTTATTTCCACAATACAAAACTGGATGCTGCTTACTTTTGGCTTTTCTCGACAAATTAAGGGATTTTATGATAAACCATTCAAATTGAGTTTTAAGGTGTACAAGAAGGACTTGTTACCTTCCTATGACGTTCAAGACAACGTTAGTTTCATTCTTTCTAATTGATGCATTCCATGAAGTTCTGTAAGTTATGGTATTTGGTCCCGTTCATGATCTATATACCTGAGTACTTGGTTGATCTAGTTTTTGATGGGTACAAAAATCTTGGTTCGTTGGTAGAATTTAAAATTTCCCCACAATCTCTGACACTATTGGTGTGAAACTGTCCTATAGCGAAGTTCGAATTAAAGCCGTACAAACCTCGACTATCCTTATTCCTTCTGAGAAAAATCTTATTGTGGTTCTTACTTTTCGAACAGTTTGATCCTTTCAGAGCAAATGTGAGCTACCGGTATCCCATGCAATGCAGTTTTCCACCTTCCATGTACTAACTTTTGTGATCCTATTGTTCAACATGACTATCGCAATACTTATTCCCAATGGTAACTTTTTACCCTGAAGGAGCCATAAGGTGAAGCTAAAGATTGATTTCAGTGGAATTCATTCTTGGATTGACCGGAGCTTCCATCGGATCACTGGTCAGCATAGTGATTCCATCCATTCTCTATCTAGCTGTAGCGAAAAACAGGATGCACTACACTATATCTTACGCTAAGGTTTGAGTCAGGGTTCGGGTGTTGTTTACATAGAACATTTTCTTATTTATTAGGTTTGTCTTATTGCGGGATTATTTATCTGGTGCGCTAGCACATGGGCAACGCTGCATGTGGACAGAACTGTGCATGTTGCCGAAAAGGTAACCGCTATCCATTTTTATCAGATTGATGAAAAAAATTGTCGTTTTTTTATCAGTTTTAGGCTGACATTGATATCTCTCAAAAAATAGATCATGTACAAAATCATACTTATATGGTTGAAATTTCGAAGGTTTGTAGTAACGGCATATATGAGAAGACAAGACTGCTAGGGCTGGAGTTTGTCATTTTTCTCGATTTCCAGCTGTAAAAAAATTTAGCAAGTATATGACTAGCAAACACATGTGGGCACTATAAAAGCACGACGTGAGAAATCCGCGGGTTTTTTTGTCGGAGATCTAAATTTTTGGCGCCATTCAAAAAGTTGTTCTTAGCCAAAGAAACCACATGACCTTCTAATACTTCTAAAAGAAACTCAATCCACTTTCAGCCCATGCCAAAGGATGGTCCAGTTGACAAACCAGCTTTGCAATCGCTACAGAAACTCGAGGAGAAAGTACTGGATGCGAATTTGAATATTTCGGCGGTGCGTCCATCCTACGTTTTGATTTTGTGTATTTTTGACTTTCAAATACTATGACTATGAATATTTTGATCTTATTTAGTAACAGATCACTTGTGTTTGTAGGTAGCAAATACGGTACTTGATAGTTTAATTTCGTCTAATCAAGTCATCTCGCCATTTTTTGTGGAGGGAGGGATTAACCCGTGATAATCTTTACTTGTTTAACTGTGTATTAGGTCGTTCCGAAAGTAATGTCGCTTTTTTCAAACGTACGCCACATCTCGTGGAACAAAGATCTGCAAGAGATTTTAACAGCATTTGATGCAGAATTTCATTGCCTTTATAACGGTTATATAAACAGTGCACAAAACTTGATGAGCTCTCGAAAAATTATCAAAATTTGCGACCCATGCTTCTTTGAAAGGCCAGTTTCCACAATTTTTCTAAATTTTTATAACAACTCTTGAAAGGAGTCCAAGTAATGGAAGGATAGAGCAAACCCTACAGGAAACAGCACAACTTTTTTCTACTTTCCAGAGCTCGCCATAATTTTTGTATAGATTTTTTGATGGGACCACCAAATTTTAGCAGGATTGCCTCAAACATAAATGCAGCAAACACCATTAAATGTTTGGATTTTGAAACTTGCAAAGATGGATTATGGTTTGGCACTAATTTTACAAACTAAATTAGCATTCACCGCTTCAGATTAGCAACTTTCGAAAATTCCGGGTACAGCCTGGGGCGCCCTGGAAAACCTGAATTTTAATGATTTTATCCCGGAAAACTTAATGAATTGGAAACAAAAAACAACTAGTAGAATGAGGAGAAAAAGCTGCGTCGAATGACACCCGAATTGCTTGCCGGTCGTTGTTTTATTAGGTTTGTGTTGACCAAATATGGAATTTGATGACATTGAAAAATTGATTCCAGAAACTTTAAGAAGCAAGCTAAGGAAAAGAAAAAATTACTCTGTGTCCTATAAGGTTTGCTCTATCTACCAGTCACTTTTACTTCTTCGAAGATTAGGCACAAAATTTTAAAAAAAAACCGGACTTGACCATGGCAAAAAGCATGAGTCGCAGATTTTGGTAATTTTTCGAGAGCTCGTTGACTAATATGCAATGAAATTACAACCCTTAGAAAGATGATGAAATGCTGCATCTAATGCTCTTAAGATCTCTGGAAGATCTTGGTTCCATGAAATATCGCGTTCATTCAAAAATGCGACATTACTTTCGGAACGGCCTAATACAGGGTGTCCCAAAAAAATGTATCGAACGTTTGATCGTTAATATCTCTCTTCCCAAGTTTTTGCCTTGCTTCAGGTACCGTTTTGTAGAGCTGGCTTCAACTTAGATTTACATTATAGAACGAATCACCCATCTACCTTCATTACTGTAAGATTACGGTAGAAACTTGAAACATACGGTGTCAATGTGGAAAAAGCTGCCGTCTCAAAAATTTTCATAAAATTGTGGAAACTTGTGTAATAGGGTTTTTATAGACGCTGAGTTCAATGCTCAACTATTCACAAGATTACGAAGTTTTCCAAACGGTGTAACCACACTTTTTAGGAACATTGAAAAAATGGCCGCTAACTCTCACCTGGCATAACTCTTCAATGAAGCATCATAATAATTTGGGAACTTTACAGTTATAATCAGCAACTCTAATTAGCCTAGTGTAAAAGCTTTCAGCCTGTTTTGTTTCCTTTCTGAGGCAAAATGTGGCCTTTCATTGCTTAAAACCCTCTTTGAAGTTTCCACCGTAATCCTACAGTAATGAAGAGAAATGAGTGATTTGTTCTATAATGCAAATCTAAGTTAAAGCCAGCTCTACAGATTGGTACCTGAAGCAAGAGAGAAGATTTCTTTAGAAGTGAGATATTAACGATTAAACGTTCGATACATTTTTTTGGGACACCCTGTATAAGTAACTCTATGTACTTTTTGAGAAGTCTAAAATTCCAAAATATTACCGGGATTTTTTATGCAATTTTTGCGAGATCTGGTCCCCTCTCGTTCTCCCTCGAACTGAAATGTTGATAAATTTTCTCACACTAGCCTATAATTGCTCCTCCGTCCAACTCGTGCCTCACTGTCACAGCATCATTTTCAGATTGTGAAAGTTTTTCGAACTTATTCTTTTTTTTTCAGAAACTTGATAACATTGCCGACTTGGCGGCGGTTGGGAAAGACAAAGAAGCTGCACATTTGTTAGTGGAAATGAAGGAAGAACGCAAGAAGCAGGAGGATTTGATACGAAAACAGGAGAAAATTGTGGAAGAACTGAACAAACATGTGGAAGAGCATGAGAAAGCAGAGAAAGGTGGGATATATTCCTTTGAATTGGGAAACCTTAGATATGCTACTTCAGAGAAGAAAGCGGCAGAAGCCAAAGTTACAAAGGAACTGGAGAAGAAGGAGAGCGAAGTGAAGAAGGACACAGCTATTGGAAAGAATGAACCAAATGTGACGAAGCATGATGAAAAGAGAGAGGCAATAGATGAAATAATCATGAATAACTCGAAGAAAGTAAAACGAGAAGAGGCAAAGGATATTCAGCAGAATCCAGCAGTGGAGAAAGTAGAGATCAAGCGGGAGGCTGTGCCAAATGAAGCGAGACAAGGCGTTGAAGAAGCTAAGGAACAACCGAACCCCACCAGATCAGAAGTGAAGAACATTCCCATTGAAGAACTTCCGAAGAAGATTGAAGTAACTCTACAAAAATTAGAAAAGCAAACAGAACTCGTAAATATCGTGCAGAATGCAAAACCACAAAAGAATGCTTCACTCCCATCAAAACCTTTTGAAGCACAGAAGGGGGAACCATTGAAGAACATCGTGCCAGTTCCAGAGCTACGGCAATCAGAAGTTCCTAAAATAGACTTGGAAGCAGTAAAAAATAGTTTAGAACGTAATGTGAGGGGTGATATTTGAGTCAACTTGGAGCGAAATGTTGAAGCGAGAAAATTTATTGCTACATCTGTGTGTTGAGAGAGTGAGGGAGGAGGGGGGGGGGGGGGGGAGGGAAGGAGATGCGTTTTAAAAGTTTTTGATGGATGAGTAGTATGGCGGCAAATTTAAACGAGTCACAAAAGTTGTACTAAGGAGGTTATAGTTCAAACAAACATCTTGGTATCTCACCACTTTTTTTCTCGAAAATTCTTCTTGCTGAAACTTTACGCATTAATTTTTCATATCGTCTTACGGTACATCTTAATACCCACTCGCGTATTTTTCGCCCACATTTGAAACTGTCGCCGCTTGTCGACCTTGTACGATCTTCAGACGTCATGTGCTGTATGCATACGAAGCAACACAGCTACATAGCTGGTAAACAGGCAAACAATGGGGCTTTTGTAGATAAAAGATCATCACGGTAGGCCTGCTATGTGGGCTGGATTCAGAAGAATGCTCCCTTAATTTCCCTAAGTACTTAACAATAACCTTACAAAAACGCAGCTGTTTTTTCCTTCGCATCTGTTTACTGCTCGTTTTCATTTTTTTAATCTGGGTTGTAAATGGTTTTTCGTACGAGTTTGCTCGGATTGTTCTTTTTTGTAGAACAAATGCTTCTCATGATTCCTGTAATACGGGTTCGCTTTTTTTTGTTCAGTGGTATCATTGTTGAATCCTCAATTCTTGAGATTTTTTCTGTTGATTGCTATAAAGTTTTTCGAAGCTATTATTGATATACTCGTTGCTTTGGTTATATCGCTCTCGTAACAGCATTTCTAGCAAAAACTTGAAAACTCTAGCGTTTTTCTCCAATAAATCGATGATATCAGCGTTATCAATGAATTCCTGAAGGAGAGATGTTTTATCACGATCAATTCCTATGTGACCTGCTATTATAAAATGGCAAACCAGCGCTTTCCCAAAATTTCGCAATGTTTTCGCGCGACACACTTGTTTACTAGGATTGTTTACTCGCTTCTCACATGGACTCTCCCCCCCTCCCCCCATTTCGTGTCTGCGGACAATACTGCCTGCAAACTAACTGCTATTTTTACATTTGATATCAATTAGGGTCCATGCTATCCTAAGCCTTTCACTATTTCTGTGGTTTGGTATTGTTTTATAGGCGCGCATTGTTTTGAGCAAGTTCATTCTTAAGGACATGAGTGTCCAACTCGTTATTCTTAACGTTCATTTAAACATGCAGGTCCCCTAAGGCCCCGGACAGAGTTCATGCGATTTGATCGTCGCGATTCAGTCGCTGAGATTTCCATTCATTTTCCTTCCACATTCAAAAATTTCGGGCTGGAAAAGTATCACAACCGAAATGCAAGCTGGTCGGCCTGCAATGAACTCGTATCATTTGTCTGTCGCGACTGAATCGCGACGAGCAAATCGCGTGAACTCTGTCCGAGGCCTAAAGCGTTACTCAGGATTTTCATTGAGATTTTCGAGAGGCAAAACAGAAGAATAACTTGAAGTTGGCTCTAAAAGTGTTTCGCGATACGCGTCGATCTGTCATGCTTCATACCTTGCTTAATGCAGAGCATAAGATAGAGCAGCTCCAGTCTTCCAAACAGAAGGAGCAGTGGTCATCGTTTATTTTTTGAAAAATATGGTTAAAACCCGTTAGAGGCATCGTCAAACTGAGGATTCCGAAAAGATAAAGTCGCTTTAGAAGGTGTAGGGGCATGGTCGCGACAGTCGCTGGGATTAGGCCATTACACGCACATTGAGCTTTCTCAGATACCTTTTTTCTTTCAAACGCTTTTCTGCTATCAAATGGTGACTTCCAGTCTAAAGTGTCTCGAAGTGCACGGGCGGAGGACCATATGTCGCCGATTGTGGAAGAGTCCCGCGCGGATATCCTGCAGGAACGCATGTCCGCGCATATAGAAGTGCGCGTATTTGTCGCAAATGACCGGGACCGCCCCTTTTCGGCGACTTATAGTCCTCTACCCAAAGTGCATTGTTTAATTGGTTTGAGGCTTTGTGGTGGCCGCAAACGACTCTCGCGACCAAGCAAGCCCTATAGAAGTGGCCCAATTGGCTTCGCTCATCTACGTGGCTGGTCCGAAGATGATGAGCTCGAAAGGCTTCGTGGTGGATAAACAAGTCGAAAATTTGATACCCATAACGAGGGACGATTCATGACAACTCCAGATACATTGAATTCGGATTTTAGACTTTTTATCACCAGACCACGTAGGTGGGCGGAGCCACTTGGGTCACCTCTGCCTTCTGAAGCGTACTTCTCGCCTCGGTAGTCATCTTTTGCAGCGAATTTTGGAGGTTTACTCAATTAGGGTCTATCATACAACATTAATCTCACCAGCCTCAATTTGGATGGAGGGTGCGTTCAAGAGCATCCTAAGCGAATTTGAACCCGTTGAGCTTTGGTTGAGACCCAAATTGTGAGCCCTGCCTTCGAAGTGTGACTTTTTGATTGCTTTATTGAGCGCATTGTTCTGCGGCCATTATTACCAGCCTTGTTCTAACTGCTATATGACATACATCCTGGCACATATCCTGTAAAATTTCTAAGGACCACAGTCACTATAGTGAACCAGTAATCTAAAGGCGCTATTTGGAAGAGCGTTCGCTTCGACCCACCGCGTTTCCGCTGTTGAAAGTTTTTTGAAATGAGCTAACGATTCTTTATATATTAGACATCATGCACACTAAATTTAGCCTAGATGAGTGGGAACGGACAGTTGCTTAGAGGCATCACGTCAAATAAGCGTGTGCTCTGCATTTTTGCGTCGGGGCGGTTGCTGTTCTGGCGCGAAAATAAAACATTGCTCTTTGATCATCGCAGCTGTTTGGCTGACGTTTTATGGAGCGCTTTCCCATAAAGCCCTGGCCATACGTACAACGATTTCATCGTTGCGATTTCATCGCCGAAGAATTTCGTGATTGTAGCGACGAAATCGCGACCACCAAATCGCTCATCGCGGGTTCTGGACATACCTACCTGTTCAGTGATAAGGTGAAAATACACACCTCAGCACTCGTTCTACGTTTTCATTTGCCATCCAAAAGCAGTCAGCGCGATTTTTTTACATTTGCAGATTTTTTGTCTTTTTTCGACACCAATACGTCCAGCACCAACATTTCATATTAGTTCGCCCATTCATATCTTCGTTCAACTTTTCTTGTTGGATACAGGATGCAAAAGCAATTTTCTCAAGGTGTAGCTGCGATTTGATTTTTCGCGAAATTCGGATACCTAATTACTACGCATGTTATTCAATTAAGTTGAGTTTCGAACAATTAAAAATATTCATTTTGACTGATGGCACGAATTAGAAAAGACGCGCATCACAACACGACAGAAGTGCAATTGTGAAGTGCAAAAGGAAATCTGCATCACATTTTAACGTCACCACAGAAAAAACAAGTCGAAATAGAAAAGAACTATTTCAAAAACTTTCAGGAAAGAAATCTAATTCCAGCGATATCGCCCCGTCGCAGGTTTCAAACTTGCGACGCGATATCGCAAGATTTCGGTCAAATCGCGGCGATATCGCTGGAGTAGGTATGGCCTAGGAAAACACGGTCAGCGATCCGTCGCGCCGGACAGCTAGCACGACCGATATGCATAACTTGCCGGCATGAAATACTGGGTATTGCAGTTGTCCGATTGCACAAATCGCATCGCGGTGATTTTCTTGACGGTATGGCCAGGGCTTAAGGAAATTCAGAAACGGTCTTTGATGTTCCGCATGTAAACTTGCTAGGGGTTTCGTTTTGTTTGAAAATTTTCGGGAATCACTGTGCTGGGTTTGCGTTTATTTCGATTTGGGTGCTTCTCATATAACGTGTCGAAGTCTTTGTTGACAGGGATTTTGATTACACCAAAGTGTTTTTTACAGGTTCCCAGTCCTTGCATCTTCCCATAAAGTAGTAGCATTATCGTTGCCAAAAAAATATCGCGGACGATTGCCTGTCCAGAACCATGGCAGATGTGAATCCGCTAGCGAAAGAATGGGAAAAATGCGGTAAGGCAACTAACGATCTGTGCATCTGTGAGAGTATATTGCTTCCATTAGGTCTGACTTTGCGTGATTATCAGAAGGAAGGAGTGGAGGTAATGGATTCTTGGTATCAAGCTGGACATGGTGGTATCAATGGCGATGAGATGGGTTTGGGCAAAACATGTCAGGTAATTCTTACTTGAAATTTTCTTCATTGTAATCTGCATAAAATATATTTTTTCTTACCGCAGATAGAACACAATGATAGCATTCTTCAGTCGAATTTTCGTAACATACAAGTCAGCATTTCCAGGCTATCGTAGAGATGCTGCGGTTGAAAACAGATGGTAAAGGCCCTTTCCTGGTCGTCTGTCCGCTTTCTGTAGCAGATCATTGGGTTTCTGAAGTCAAGAGGTTTCCCTCTCTTACCAGTCACCCTTTTTTGTTTGAATTTATGCTCTTCAGATTCTCCTGCGAGACACTGGATCCCATTTCTTATTTTGGTTTCGAACAGGCTCGTCAAGACGTTATGAAACAGTTGGGCAAACTTAAGAAAAATATGGTCTTCATCGTCCCTTATCATGTAGGTCAAATTTCATTGTTTTGAGGGATTTTCTTCGATTTTTGATTTTAGATCCTTCGACGGGATGCTGAACTTATAAAGAAGCTTCAAGATAAATCAAAGCTTTCGTTCAATGTCATAGTTGTGGATGAGGCTCATAACATAAAGAATTCTGAATCACAGATAGCTGAGACATTGAAACCGGTTAGTTAGCTCAAAGTTAAGTATTTTCTGGATAATACTCTATTATTAGATTCGTCTTGAATTTTTCCACTATCTTATTAGCTTGATTATGAGATACTATGAAGATTTCCTTCATAGGATACTTTGATCACCAATTTTTTTTCAGTATAAGCGTGATGGCTGGTTCCTTTTGATGACTGGAACACCGATTCAAAATCATCTCGGCGAGCTGTACTCTTTGCTTACTTTTGTTGACTCGGTAAGGTGTTACTACTAGTATGCTATCGTTAATTAATTATTTTTTCAAAACACTCAATCTGCTTTTCAACTGAATAGAAATATAGATAGAATTATTTTTTACATAGTTATACTTAATTGTCTGTCTTTTCTTTAGCCGTAGCTTATACAATATATGGTTGATTTCCAGAAGCAGTTTAAAGACAACATGAGGTCAAAGAAGTACTTTATGGACAAATACAAAGATGATGCCAATCTGCCAGAATTGAAAAAGATCCTGTCGAAATATCTCATTAGACGTACAAAAGACGTTGTGTGCAAGGAGCTGCCCGCTTGTGACCAAGTGTGTTGTCTGTTTCTATACTGTGATACTTGTAGAACCGAGATTTCAGGTTGTCATCTATCACAACATCACCGATTTGCAGAAACGTCTGTACTTGGATATTATAGCAAGGGATCGAGGTAACTTTTTTATCCATTTTTTTTTTCACTTTTTCGAATTTCCCAGTTAATTTTTTGTTGCTTTCGTCTTGCAGAGTGTAGTGATTCTGGAAACTGGAATTTACTGATGGGAGGGGAGGGGGATGAGGCATTTGATTGTAGTCTTCCTTTCTGCACGAAGGATTTCTTGTACTTACCATTCCTGCGATATTACTTGCCAGTTATTTCGATAATCTAGAGAAAGCTTACCATAATCCCCAAATCGCTCCTCCCCCCCCTCCCCCTTCCCCCTTCGCTATTGCTCCCTTTTCTTCCCTTCACTCTTCCCTTTTTGTAGAGTTTAGTCTCTACAAGTCTAGTATGAGTCACATAGAGTAATCTACTGATCTTATCCCCATCATCTTCAGAGGGTCTGCTTTCCGTCACTGAACGTGATACCATATCTCTCACCAATCTCCACATGCAACTGAGGAAATGCGTCTCACATCCATACCTTTTCAAAGGTAAAATGGCAATTTTGTTGATACACATCCTCTAACTTCCGTTTAGGAGTCGAGCCACAACCATTCGTAGAAGGCGAACACATTGTAGAAGCTAGTGGAAAATTCCAGGTGCGTCTTAGCATAGTCTTTATCTTTTTACTTTGGCTGTCAATACTTCGACGAGTTTATCTGTAGAAATCACATTTCGTAGGTTTTTGATCGGCTTCTTCGATACCTGAAGGAAAAGAAACATAAATGTCTTGTGTTCTCACAGTTTGTGATCGTCTTAGATATCATACAAGATTTTCTGAACCTCAGGGGTAGGTTATTTCAGAAAAGGCACCAGATTTGAGAATAACTTCTAGTTCAGGTTACAACTATGAGCGGCTCGACGGCAGTGTACGAGCTGAAGAACGATTCGAAGCAATCAATAATTTTCAGCGGACAACTAAGAGGAATAAGAAAGAAGCCGACGATGGTTGATTCCCGGATACCCTTATCTGCTGCTATTGAGTACCAACGAATTTAGATGGTCCATGGTGTTTTCTCCTCTCTACAAAGGCTGGAGGCGTTGGTCTCAATCTCAGTGCTGCTGATACTGTGATATTCTTGGATGCTGATTGGAATCCACAAAACGACATCCAAGCGATGGCGCGATGCCATAGGATTGGACAATCCAAGTGGGAGCATTACCTCAATTTTTGTTATTTCTCGTTATTATGCGACCTTTCAGACCGGTTCGTGTGATACGTCTTATTGGACGCTATACCATCGAACAACACATGCATGCTCGTATCCGGGAGAAGGTTAAGTTTACGGATAAGGTGATGGGAAATGACAGTGAGTTAATCAGCAATTGTTTTGTCAACATGATCGCAAGAATCAATGTTTCAGTAACGAAACTGACGGCTGTAGATCTACTGGCAATGATCAAGCAAAGTTTGGGAACGCTCAAAGAGCAGACATACAAGAAGTACGAGCTGGTGAGTAGCTAGTCATTTCTGTGTTAGCTCTTTCCACGCTTTGCGTTCATTTCATTCTTTTCTTACACTCAGTATAGATTCCTAATGTTTGATTTTGCTCATGAGAAGGGTGGAATGGGTTACAAGCACTTTTTCAACATTATATATCTCAAATAATGAATCAAGTTTCGGTGTTGCTGTATTTTATCCCATCCTGAAGTTTCTTCGATTGATCATCAGAATAAATGGCATACTGTAATTAGCACTAGGCACAAAACTTAATTGGTGAAGTCCTATGCCCCTTGAGCACCCGACCCTGCAATTGCTAAGCCGTGTAAATTTTCGCTTTCCACAAACCTTATATGCCCACTCTTATGTTAGTAGTGCAACTTTGCAGTCTGATAAGGAATTGGAGAGTGTCATTGGTGAAACGAACGCTAAAGGCGAGTGGCTACCACTGACGGAGAAAGAGAATCAGGTGAAAAGTCAAATAATTTACTCTTATCCATTTGGCAATAACTATCTGCTAGGTTGCTGACGTCCTACGTCTTGATCCGGACGAAGTTGACAAACGAGACACGGACTACAACGACTATCTTGTCTTTGAAGGTCGTCGTTATCGTGTCTCTGCTAAGGATGAAGCTGCATTTGAAGAGTTGCAGAACAAGACTGAAGAGAGACTGCGGCAGGGGAGACGTCGTCGTTTCGAAGGTGCGGTTTTCATGCATCTTATCTGAAGGTCACTTTTACTCCCATTTTCAGGTAGTGAAAACATGAGCGATCTTGATGAAGACAATAAAAAGGTGAGTTTTTTGTGGTTCTCACCAACTTCTGCGTCTACACCCCCAAAGGTGTAAAAAGGGTTTTATCTACATCCGTCCTTTCAGCTCTCCGATCTCGCCATCTCTGAGAAACGCAAAAAAGCTGCTCAAGCAAAAAGAGATGCTATGTGGAAAGCGAATGGTGAGAGTCCTCATGTGACAAAAATGCATGTAACATCCAGCACTTTGGAGCCGTTTATCAAGAAACGGCCTCCTTTGGTGACTCCTAGGGCTTCTTTTGCCCTAGCGAGTACCAGCAGTTTCTCTGCAAAGCCACAGCGGTCGTCCAACTCAAGTTCACAAAATATCCGGCCGAAGGTCATTGACTTTATTGACCTTACTGTACCTTCCGATGAACTTCATTCGAGGCACGTCACCCCTAGAGCCACTAGGGTAATTCTGCCCGAGGTTGATCCACCAGTGATAGTGCTTGATGAGGTGGCACCCTTACATGTAAATAGTTCCATAAATAGAAGGTACTCGAGAATATCCTGTAGTTCTTCTTCAAAAACTGAGCCAGAGATCATAACTCTAGACTGATACCTATTCTACTATCTTCATCATTCTCAACTTTTAGAGCGCTTTGTAATCTGTGTCACCGCTGTGGATAATATGGAATTCGACTGAGAGTAAGTCCGATGACACAGATTACAGCACTTTCCTGTAAAGGGATTCGAACCCCTTGCTTTAACCTACCGATCTGACCTTGTGATTTTTTCTGTTTTATGTTGCATGATCGTGTCGCCTGGAGTGAAAATATCTCCACTGCCTCAGAAGGTGTCATTACATAGATGTCCGTTAGCTTTTCCGGTGCTTTTATGACATACCGCACGAATATGTTCATGATATTTGATTTCCGTCTGCCATACGAGAACTGGTCCTAAGTTTTTGTGGAAAAAAATGTTTGGAATTTGGAAACAGTATGTGATGACATGTTCCTATAAACGGAGCAAATATCAGCAAAATCGGGGAAATCTGTATCCGAGGACCAGTAGGACCAGTTCTCGTTGATTAGAATTTGTGAATCTTGTGTATATGAATAAACAGCTAAAGTCAGCGTTGTGTCGTGTTTGTAGGTCTAGTAACTACCCCTTCAGAATACCTAGCACTGCTTGAACAGTTTTCTTATACCTTTGTTTGCAGCTCGCGTTAGCTTCTATTCATCTCTGACTACTCTACAAGCTTATGTCCTCATCCGATTTCTTTTTTATCTGTTAGGTGATTCATTCCTTTAGACTATGCTTCTGAAAACCTGTTGTTGCCTTCAGTTGATGATCAGCGGAGTGTTGAGAGCGAAGTGGAGGTATGTTGTATTTTCTAATACATTCATCTGTTATTACGTTGTCCGGAAATTGATGCAGGTTTCTGCAAATGCAATTTTTCAAAAGGATCATTCTTCTGTGTATGTACATCTTTCGACCAATTTCGCATACTAAAAGAAGCCGCTCTTCATGCTCTCTCTTATGTGTATTACTTCTACGACCAACTTCAAATGTTCAAAATCTACAACCATCCGAAGATGATGCTTTAAATTACTAAATTTACTCTTTGCACTGTTTTGGCTTGAACTTATTCGGCAGGAGAGGTATTTCCATGATAATATAGCTGAAGCAAGATATTGAATGAACCTACAAAATGGATAGTAGCGCTTCTTTTGAACGCTTGTGAGAGTAGAGAAACTGAGGCTTTAACATGAATAATTGTCGCGGCTACTCCATGGCGTTGAAAACTTTTCTAAAGAAACCAACCGTGAAGGACTCTCCTCGGGCTTGAAGAGTGAGGCCAGTGCCGTTAGATATCTTCTCATCAAAAAAATCAAAATTATCAGAGATCGCAGCCGTAAAAGAAATATCGAAAAAATGGAAAATTTTGATTCCGCAAATTTTTCTTTTGCAGAGAATTTCTAAAAAATTTTTTGCATAGCTATATATGTAGTACTGGTCTGTGGCTATAAGCTACAGAAGTTTCTGGCTGAATACCTATGTTCGGTAGGAGTTTACAATTTGCCAAGTATGACCTTGTCAAAAACATTTCTTTTTACTTTCTGGCTTTCAGTAATTTGCTTGTTGGAGCTACAGTTACATAAGAAAGTGGCGCAAATAGAAAAAGACTTGCTGATCACAGTATTTTTTTCATTTCAAAATATACGGTTTTAACACGTTGACGACAGTGCCGCGCAATGATGCGCGGCAGGCAGTCTGTCCCTGTGGACGACGCCGCGCAATGGTGCGCGGCGGCCTTAATTTCAATACTATCTGTCCAATCCTCTCAGTTTTTGATCATATAATCAAATAGGCTCAGATATACTTCATGTATTAGCTCCGCCCCTTTTGCCAAACTCCGCCCACTCCTATGCCTCCCACAAGAGCCATTTTTGTTCATAAAAAGCATGGATGAGGCCGTAAATGTACGCAAAGAGCTCAAACAACTATCAGCCAGGCCCCGCACACCTTCAGGCAAGCTCCGCCACTAAGTGGCAAGCTCCGCCCCCTGAGTGTCAAGCCCCGCCCACTTTTCCAAACTGCCGGAATTTGCACGAAATCATTGATTTTGGGTAATTTCCAGCATTTTTGAAAAGTGGGCGGGGCTTGCCAAAAGTGGGCGGAGCCGCCCCGCCCACCTGCATTTTTGTATCTCACGCATAGATGCATGCATACATACATGCAGCCAGCTGTGAAAGTGCCGGAAAACGGTTCGTCCACAGGGACAGACCTTCAAAAAATGGCTCGTCTTCAACTTGTTAAAGGAGTTATGACGCTTTGAAGTGAGAATCTGCTAAACCTGCATTAATTTCCGGACAACCTAATAATATATATATATATAGTTTTTGCGTTTGCGTTTTCCTTCGTTTTCATATAAGTTGATGGCGAAGAGCTTGAAAACACCCGGCATTAATAGTAGAGTGTTCTTTTCCGTTTAACTACACTGTGTCAAGGGGGCACATTTCAGTTGTTGTAGTCTATGTCAGGCAGATTTGGGACCTCAGTTCCAACAGACTACTGCGCGGACTCCCTATTCTAGCCCTAGACCGACCGCGTCGAAATACCGCTTCTGCATGAAGAAATTTGCTTCAAAGGTTCCGACATAGGCTCCCTTCAATTCAATATTGTTCTAGAGCAGGAAAGCGCCAGGGTACCCCGCTGGTCATCGACAGCGTCGCTTCCGCCGTTTACCGGCACGAGTTCCTGCTGGTGGGGATGGGACTGGAATGGTGGCTATGTCGGACCTCTGAAGCGATTTTCTTGCTTCAGAAGCGGGGTTTGCAGCAGCAGTCGGGCTTGAATAAGAAGCTTCTTGCAGTAATCCGGTAAAAATGAGGTGCTACCAAATCTTCCCGGACACTGCCATAGGGACTGCTAGACTGTAGATATCTTCTACAGTCTCTACTAACTCATTTGTCACTTCAGGAGGTTGCACCACTGCATTTTGTCTACGGCGATGTTACAAGGCCTCAAAGAGCAAAAGATGACCATTCATCCTATCAAGTCATTGTTCACTGTGTTGACAACAGCGGTAGGTTTAAATCTGACCTTGACATAGCATGAATTTTCATTCTGATAAGGCTGGCAAAGGCAGATATCTGATTACCGAATATACAATCTGGCTGCACCTGTCGTTTCAGGTGTCTTTGGAAATCGAGGAATTTTTGGTGCATTGAGAGCAAAGGATCCATCGGTTGCTGACAGATACGAGTTGATCTCACGTATGGGAGATATGCATATGGGTGATGCTCACTTAATAAGTGATGTAAAAGAATTGCGAGGTGAGTCAGAATGTTACGCAACATTGGTTTTTCTAAAGATTTTGTACAGATAGAGCAGACAACAACGACGAACCGTCTACTTCTGCAGATCTCAAGGAAGCAGTTGTACTATGCGTGGTGCAAAGCAAGAAGCGAAGGGGTAGTTTTCATTGGAACTCAAACTAATGTTGATTGATTGGATGTTAGGCGAGATTCGACCTGCAATCTTGGAACAGTGTCTCATACGCATTGGAGAATATGCTCGTAACAATGATGCCAGTGTACACATGGCAAGAATAGGACATGGTACGCTACCTTTATATCCATGGTCTTTTCATATCCACTGAAAAAGCCTCCTTTATCTATCAACAATCTAACTTTTTTGATGGATAATTTGCAAGGTTTTGGTATTATGAGCTTTGGTTTGTTTTCGGAGGTCCCGTTGAGCTTATACATTTTGAGGAGCAGTTTTCGTGCAGTGTTTGTTTCCAAATGGTAGCATTTTAATAATCATTCCAGTCTTTCTCTAGGAACCTCCCTCAGCTGGTATAACGTGGAACGTCTCATCAAACAACACATTAGTAATCTTGGAGTGCCTACGTATATTTACTACTTCGCCAGACCTCAGCGACAGCCATCGTCACCGTCACCTCCACCTCAGCAAACACCGTCTACCAGTAAGCTTTCATCACTGCAGGATTTTACTGAGTTTTTCTCATTTTAGAAAAGCGACCGAAATCATCTCCAGCAGGACCAAGTAAGCGAGCAAAAACGGAGACTGATTTTGGCGATGATGTTATTGTCGATGAGGAAATGGAAAGTGAAGAGAATATGTCTCCAATCCAAGAAAAGCAGGCGATTACATCGAAACGAAAGACTAGAAGTGATCAGGCAGAAAAGGATCCCGCAGATGTTCATATCCAAGAGGAAGATAAGGATGACCAAGAAGAGAAGCCAGTTCCAACAAATGAGTTGAAGCTGTCGCCACGCAAGCTGAGAAGAAGGACAAAAGCAAAAAAGGATTCCGGCGATGTCACCAAGGATGTCATAGAAGATGACGAAGAAGAGTCATCAGATAGCGAACCTGTTTCTAGTAGCGAAAGTGAGCATGACTGGAGTGAGGAGGATGAAGAGGTCGAAGAAGAGGACGAAGGTGTGAAACGTGATTGTATGTTAATTAATAGATTGACTCGTGTTCAGACTTGAGTGAAGATGATGTCAGCTCATCCGATGAGGAGGTCGAAGAGGATGAAGAGCCTGATGACTTGGAGGATACTCCCAAACCCCGCCGTCAACAACGCAGTGTGAGCAAACCAACCCGTCAAAAGTAAGATTTTTTGAACCAGATCTACATTTTTCATCTTTTGCTAATAATATTAGGTTGTAAAGAAAGTTCCCGGGCACTTGCGAAAATTTTTTTCAAATCGCTATAACTTCAAGCAGATTGATTCTTTTTCGAAGCTACAAACTTCGTTGCAAAGACAATTTTGTCCACAACATATGTTTATCTTGCCTGGCTTCTCAGCACCGCACTGCGATCCATTAGCATGCGCAGAAGGGAAAAAGGTCGTCGCGAAAAGTGGCCTATTTGTGCAGGATTATCTACGGCACGATGAGAGCTGGAGAGCACAGATGTTGTAGTTATGTAGAGTTCCGCTGGGGCTGTTATGGGGACCATTCATGTTTTTGAAGGACCACCTGCACAAAAATCTTCCCCAGAAAGTTTGAAAAATCGACCATTTTTTGCCTCTAAAAATGCACCTTTTTTCGAGTAAGTGAATATGAAGTCTTGTCGTTCCGCATAAAGTGGACCAAATCTTTGACTACTGCGAACATTGTTGGTATAATGCCTTACACATCTTTTGGATCCATCATCCAGGCGTGACGATTCCCGCAGAAGCGACGCCAGCGGCGAAAAGAGTTGCAGTCAGAAGCAAGTTTGACAGCTTGTAACTTCTGAGCGCAAATCGCAAAACTCGAGTGCAGCTGCGGGTTAGAACTTAACAGTTCCTCAATCAGATTAATCATGATTTGGACGTAATTCTTTGAACTGCACAGAAAAATGGGCGCAGGAAGAAAAATTGCGAAATTTTCGTGGTTGGAATGATTTCTCTTTTTGATGTGCAGATCGAACACGTCTTGGCATCGATAAAAGTTAGACGGCGGATTGAAAACTCCAAGCTTCCCTCTACTGAACAGTATGAAAAACTTGGTGTCAAAGTCCGACCGAGCGCCGAAAAAATGCGAGTGAAAATGAATTTTCCAAAAGTGCCCGGGAACTTTCTTTACAACCTAATACTTCTCCTGAATGGCTACCAGTGCGTATTTCAATATTCCACTTTTACTTTTTTTTAGTTATTTTCTCTATCTTCACTCTTTATCTCGAATGCAAGTTTAGAATCAACGTTGTTAGGAAGCAATTGGTTCCTATTTGTTCAGAAGTGAAGAAAAAATACGTTTCTTCATTATGATTGCAACATTTGAGGAAGTTTTTTTGAGTCGATACATCACTAGACGCCTCTATGGACGCTGATTCCAAACTTGCTTTCATTTTCAGCGGAAAAACTTCGAAAAAAAGTTAAGAGCGTGGAAAATCCAAACTTGTCAGCCTTTAAGTGGCATAAAATCGAGGACAAGCTGGTAAAACCAAAAGAGAGTAATCAATTTTGTACCAAGTATGTTGATTACAAGGAATGCAGCCATTGGAAATTTACATAGGTGTTTCTGTAGAGGTTTTCGTCAATTTTATGCCACTGAAAGCTGGATAATTTTGGGTCTTCAAACGCTCATGACTCTTTCGGAGAAAAAGTTACACAAAAAAGGATATCAGATTTGGAATCGCCGTTCAGTGCTCTGTAGTGATATAGCTGTCATGTGGGAAGGCCATTCCAATTAAAAAGGCTTCCCCTAGGCTTCTTAGCTCAGTTTGGTATGGAAACCTTCTGTTTCAGGACCTCTGTTACGGAGTCCAGTGAGCGCAACATAGACAGCCCAAGAGGCGGTTACCGTACACCCGACAATGCAGCTTTGTTCACCAATGTGGCTATCTCCCTTTATGGTCTTGAGAAGGATACTATTGACAAGCTATCGTAGGCGTTTACAAGCCATAACTTTGATTTTGATCTGCAAAGATATTTTTAGGGACATCATTGTAAAGGGAGAGGGTTATCCAATAACTGAAGAGAATGAGCTCAAAGACGCTACCCACGCAGTGGTCAGCCCTGAAATGGCAGCCGATGCAAGGAAATTCGAGGAGTTCCGTGATCGCTTTGATTTAAATTGCGATTTTGTCAAAGAAAATTGGATCACTGACAGCTTCAATGCTGGAAAAAAGCTGGATCCCGTATTTTACGAGTTATAGATCTCTGTACATTACTTGTGAATACATTAATTTTTTTGTTAAAATCATCGCGTCATTTTCCATGATATCAACTCGGGAATTTTTTGCATCTTCATCTCATTAATACAAATTTTTGTAAATACTTGCATTGTGGGCTAAGTCATAATCAAAAGATTGCCAGCTCTCGAAAAATCATTCGTTGATGCTTGCTTGGATATATCGCATTAATTTCATCTCCACATTAATTAAAGGCGGAGACATTCGGTGATTTGTAATATCTTGGGTCATGCTATTCTATTCTCAGTATTACATCATTACACTTTCGCACTATCAATGAAAATTATGAACATAGTTTAGCTTACCCTATCCACAAGATCATTGAGAAAGTTCTGTAAATGGATGAAAATTCACAGCTGACTATCTATTAGTGGACGAAAAAATTAGGCAACTGGTCTGCTTTCCTTTCACGAAAGACGATTAAGCCAACTTTCTATTATCTAATAGGCGACGTTAGAAGATTTGAATACTCGGGTTTTCTTCTCGAAAACTTGCAGAGTCGGAGTGGACACTTGAATTTACGTAAGCTCATTTGCAAATCAGAAATGGAAGCTCCATGCTTCAGGAGATTATTAGTAAAGATTCCGCTTTCAAAGCAGAATTTAAAGTAATACAAGGGTCTCACCGATAATTTTGGCGTCTAGTCTGCGCTCAAAATGGATTCGGGACAAAACTCATGCACAAGCTAGTAAACAATTGCTGCTTTGTGCTTCTTTTTTCATTTTCTATTTGTTCGTGATATTCTGCAAATGGCTTGAATAAGGGTTTGAGCACTCATTCAGCCCATTTACACGATATTACTCCGCTCCCAAAGCAGCCCAAACCTATTTACAGGTCCCGCCACGTGGCAAAAAGGGGTGGCGGTCAAGAATAACGATAGCTCTGCCAGCCGCTACCTGCCACCTGCTCGCGCGCGCAGAACAGCCCGCCCTCACTCATTCATGAAGTTGAGAGAAATTATTCAGGCTTCAGTACTCTTCATTGAAGTTCGTTTTCTACAACGACCAAAGAAGCTTACGTATTTCACATGCTAAATTGAGCCCAAAACGTTTCTATCGCATGTTTATGGCGATGTGATTGCCGATTATTTCCATCTTTAAAAAATAGCAGAAGCCTTAACATAAAGCATTTTTGAAGAAAAACAAAGTTTTGGGCATTTACTCCCGCACCCGGGCACTCAGGGTGCCACTATTGCCACCTATCGTTATTCTTGACATATACCCGGCAAAAAGCATAGTTTAATTACAGCACATCACATAACAAATCAAAAGAGATATTTACCTGCGAACAATGACGTACATACATGACATCAACGACAAACGCAGAAATATTTCAGAGCGTCTAGCGCTTCATAGATAACAAATGTTCTAAATGCATACCCGTCTGTCAAATATTAATCACATTGACTGTACTATGACTAGAATAATTAGCGCTACCAGTGATCGTTGACAAAATTATTGTCAACTATCGTCCGCGCTGTGCTATTTTGATGGCTGCAGCCAACCTTAACTTGTACAAACTGACTACTTGCAAATACAACGCTTGCTAGAGCTTATATTTTTTCTGACTTTTGCCAGTTCTGTTGCGCGTGCAAATCCGACATCTTAGCGATGGAATCTATCTCATCTGATGAGGCATTTGCAGAACGCTCACTGAAGAATCAGCAGTCCCCATTGGCTGCTGTCCCTCACAGGGGACCTGTAAGCCTACATAACCCTGGGCACTCATCTGTCCTTCGCCGGCGATCGAACTGCTCCTGCCGGCATATGATTGCAAGTGATCGTGGTACTGCACGGGGCCAGCTGTCAGTGTTAGTTGATGTGATGCACCAGCGTGAAGCTGCTGGGGAACGAATGTGCCTAAAAACATTCAAGTGTCTTATAATTTGTCTATGTTGGAACTTTCAGCATTCGAGGGATTCCCAACCTGCTAGCCGAATTGCTTCCAGACGCTTTTTATTGATACGTTCCTGAAGCTTCGTTTTCGTGTGACTCTTCACTCCATCCATCCTTACCTAAAGACTTTTATCAATTGCAGCATAACTGCAAGCAGATGGCTTTCTGAACTGATAGTGAGAACTATATATATGAAGCAGAAAAGCGACCGTATAGAAAAAATTGCGAATTCGTTCAAAGAGCACAAAAATGCACCAGTACTACCTGAAAGCTGCTATCACTCAGCAGTATAGCAGCACTACTAAGGTAACGCGCTGCTGTTATTGTGCCCATGTGTTGCAGAAAATAAATTTCTAGACAAACTGGGAGGCACTGAACTGATGCAAAAGATTTTTGATTATGCCTGCTCTAACTCTATACTTCACCATGACAGGTTTCGGAAGAACAATACAATAGGTAACTAGCAAATAACATGCATCGCTCACGCTTTTCGAAATTCCTGCACTTATCAGCCTGGCACTTCTGCGGTCACGTTTGCCAAGTCCAGTAGTTCCTGCAAGCGCAACCGGATTCGATGGTGTTGCTGAAAATCCTTTAAGTGTATCCAAGAGAAAAATATCTACCAGTAACATAGACAAAAACTTACAGCTGCATTCTTGGAGTGATGTGGCCTCATGTGTCAGTACAACATTTTCTGCAAGAGTCTTGCGGAGCGTACCCTTCGATATGGTCGTTTCCTTTATATGAGACTCATTAACACACAGAAATGACATTGCAAGAATATTGCATACTTCGCTCCCTGCTGTAGCTGCTTCAGTAGCAATGCTCGTATGCGCTCTGTCGGATGCGCAAGTCTGAAAGAACCGATTAAGAAAAACTATAAATTTAAAACGAGTGTTGTTGCGTTTAACGAGAAAAAGGAAGTATAGTTGAGGAAAGTGTGGCTAGATCACAGAACATGTACCATTAGATTCAAGTGAAAAAGAAGCTTAATGAGAATGTCAAAAGAAAAACTGACCGTTTATAAATTTTGACAGGGAACTGAAGTCACTGTTCTACTCAAAAAAAAAAGATAACAGGACCACTCACGCCAGAAGGATTTACGCCCGAGTCCGATAGTGGAGCTTCGTTGCTTGCATCTTGATCAGCAGCTGACAAGAAACAATCATTTGCTTCGGTGATAACCTAACATGAGAGTATAAATCAAATGAAGCAAAATTAATATTCAGAGAAGGAAAACTTACATTAGATCTCGGATAATCCAACTGATGTTTGTGTATCAGAAGTCTTGCAACCCATTTCTGAATTGGACATGGGGTACGATCGACCCTTGTAGCCTGCAAAGCGAAAAGTAGTTCCGTAGGGAAGCAAGAGTCATCTTAGGCAGGTCACCTGAAACCAGCTCCTCCACTTGCAGCCGTCCTTGATGCTTTGTCCAATGAACTCATAGCTCGACATCCTCATCTTTTCGCTGACACGCAAACCGGAGCGGTAAAAAGGTGATAATGCGCAGGAAAGACGCGCTGCTCCCTGAATAGGGCGAGTTGGGCAACTGCCTTAATACAGGTGTTAGAGTAACAAAGGTTAGAACAAAATGACGAGGAGGGAAGCAGAACAAAAAGAAGCTTACCGAGGCAGCTGTACATGGTGACATAACGTAGACGGATATCTTCTTTTTCGGTAGAGGCAAAAAGAGAAGCAAATTGCGTGACTCAGGAGGCACTTTCTTACCAGCGATTTCTTTCTAAAGCATGGAAACCCTGGTTAGGTGAACGATGGCCAAGGGCTACAACTAACTTTTAGTTTCTTCACTATTCTCGAATAGTACGGCCAGCGAAATTTTAGTTCACTTCCTTCTTTTGACTGTTGGACTATGGTCAAGGGATGCGTCAGTGTCCACAGCATCAGAGTCGATAACATGTCATAACAGGAATTGTACAATATTCTGGAGTGAAAAGTTATACCGACACACAAAATCTGGACATTATACTACTAGAGATAGTGGTAGAAAGCCATCCTATATGCATCGAAAAACTACTTCTAAATTTTAAGTGTATTGTGGGGCGATTGGGACTCCTACTATATGATAATTCTCTTGAAGTTCGCAACCAACAAGATGATTGCCCTTAAACAGGGGGTCTACAATCAATCTGAGATGTCTTTATACCACCTTATCAAAATACGTTGGATTAAGGAGATTTGAAAGGTATGTAAGATTAGATCACCTTTCTCTGTCGGGTGATATTATCCCGTAAAACATCATTTGGAAGAATAGATGGGACCATGCTACACAATGTTGAGGTTGACAGATCTGAAAGTACTTTGAACTAGAGAGTCGAAAAATAAATATCATACCTACCTGTTCAAACATACGGCCTATCAACGATAGCTGAAGAAGCAAATTTTCACGTTCGGCTGCGAACTTTTCCGTAAGCAGCACAGCTGAGTCCTGCAACAAGTTGGTCATTTTTGAAAAATACTGAACTCCATTACCTCTTTGATCCTGTTTGTAAAACCAACGAGCTGTCTGTATATCAATGAAACCAGGAGATCTTTGTTGGGTTGGGAGCTTTCGAGCTTCATACATGTGAGAACCAGATTCAAAAAGGGTTCTTGGGATAGCAACCATGAGCTGCAACGACAATGATTCCATAATCAACCACTGATAAACGCTTTCGATCAAACCTTCGTTTAAGACTCTCCATGGTGCTGCCATCCCCAAGGTCTAGCATAGACACTGCTTCTTTGAGGAATTTACTGTGAATCTTCAAACAGAAAACGCATAAAGGCGAGAGTAGAATAAAAACATCAAGTACCGTTGTCTGCTTATGAAGATTCGACATAATATTTGTTCGAGAACACATCTTTAGCAGGGGAGCCAACAGCCAGAAGTTCGTAACCTGTCGGAACCGAAAATCTCGGTCAATCTGCAAACATCTCTGTCATCAACGAGGTATGTTTTTAAAGCATATCAGACTCACCGTGGCTGAGGAGATTTGCAAGCCTTCATTGTATGCATTTATGAACAGATCGCGGCAGCATTTTGCAATCACGCCCATTGATACATCAGCTGCGATCGTACTTTGTTGAGCGTCATCGCCAAAAGAGATCTAAAGAGCAACCGAATCGAATTTCCAAATCATTCAATTTTAAGAAAATCTAGAGAAGAAAGGCAAACCTCTTTCATCATTAGCATGAGCTCAGATACTGTCGCTCGCATGTTCCAAATATTCATCGCAGCAAGCAACTTCTCAATTTGCGCTTTTTTCGAATCACTGCAAAGGGATAGTTCGCGGGCGACATCCCTTTCGCTTCGCCGACAAATGCTAAGCCGCAAAAGTTGATGGCCCTGGGATGCAAAAAAATGAGTTGTATTCTCCACTACAGAGAAGATATTAGCTCACAACGCTGTTCCGCCTCAATTGTTCGTGGCCGAATACTTCCACGGAATTCGTTTCGACAATTCTACACATTTTCATCCTAACCCAGTCCTCATCGCATATGACGCACTGTACAGCTTCCACCATAGTCGAGAGATATTCTCTATCTTTGGCCGAACCAGAAAGACTGAAACGAATTTAGTTGGTTGGTAAGATCATGTTCCCTAGCTAACTACGATCTCACCTCCCCTTCCCTCTCCCGCTTCGCATCGTATTCTGCAGGATGCATATGTTACTTAGCAGCGGAAACAAAACATCATCCATCTCACACCTAAACGCTTTTGACGAAGCAGCCACCGATAGCATCTAACAATGTACCTACCATTGCATCATGGATAACATTATTTCATCCGCACAGCTGGTCAACAGCTTCTGTTTTGGGACAGCACCCACGTTGTCTCTCAACTCTGAGGAATCTCTTGTAGATAATTCACGCAATTAAAACAAGGTTAACAACTGAGCATAACGAAGGCGCAACAACCAAATTGAGTTTACGCTTTTCTGGCAGAGGAATGAACACGCCATTAGGCGCCGACCTTGGGAAATACTGATCCAGCTTTAAAAAGATATGCGCCAAAGGACCGACTATTCGCGAAGGCAGCGCCTATCATCGATATCCGTTGGTCGAACCAAACAAAGAGAAACAAAAGAACTTTTTGAAAATTATCTACACAAAAGTGACCCGAACAAAAAGAAAGAACTTACTACAGAAAGGTTCATCAGTTCCGCAGACAATTTGAGCGAGTATACGAAGCGTTAAACACATTCTCAATTCGGACTTGCTCCTGTTATGAGCTAAAAAATGAAAACCACGTGTAATAGCTAGGGTTGCATACAATTCTTACCAACAGATTCCTCGGTAAACCTCTGACCTGTGATTATGGGGAACGCGCTGTTCAAAAGCTCAGCTACTAGTCTAGAGGCGCTGAAAGCATATTTGCCCGCTAGCAACATGACGAAGGTAGCGATGGGATAATGAGTAGAGCTATTACTAACCTAGAAAAAGATCTTGACAAGCATACAGGAAAATAAAGTAAGGCATACTTCAATGTACTCCAGGAGTTCCTCGTAAGCAAGGGATTCATTCGTACTTATACAACAAAGAGTTTTGATAGCCACAATCTAGAACGCCGAAAGAGAAATTCAAGGAATCCATAGGTGAAAAGTAGAACGAACCCATTCATTCGCGAGCACGGGTATCTCAGCCGTGATGTGACCGCAAAAAGTAGCTAGATCGACGAGTCGATCGTGATCGCGCATGCAGTCCTAAAATCAATTATGTGCCACTTTCACCATGGGAATGCTGGCCAACCATACCTTTGCAGCGATAAAGGAATTGATAACGAAGGAACAGCGATTGCGCAGATGTTCAAAAGATGCGAGTTTTTCTTTGTAATCACGGTAAGAGAAAAATCGCCTAAATATCACTACTCAATAGATAACATGCAATATGCATCAAAAGTTATATGGTGCTATGGCTTATAGACGACCCACATGGTCTTTCCTAACGCATCCTTGTAGAAGTTCTCATCATAAACACGTTCTCCATGGCAGGCGGGACCTCCATGTTCAAGAATTCGAAGCAAATTATCACGAATTCCGTGAAGTTTCATATCAGAAAGCTCAAGCAAAATTTTTACTGAACAGATGTGCACATTGCAACAAGCCTCACCTGGCTACCATTCAAATGCTTCTGCGAATGATATACGAAAGCTGCTATGGCTCGACCCCAAGCCGTCTTTGGAAACTCGTGATCGCAAATCATTGGCTCGATCAGTTCATACATACTAAAATAAATATGACCGATCTAAATTAGCGCTGCTAGCCAAGCACATACTGTGTTGTGATCGCAGGTGCAAGATCCGAATGAAGGAAGTAGTACCAATGTTTGCAGATATAAGCCACGAAGACATACGCAAGCCGAGCGGACAGAGCACCCGGAATCACATCGACAGCGAGAGAATGAATCACTCCTTCAGCACGTAACAATAATGGAGTTACCTATATGGAAGATAATTTAATCCAGTAAACTCAACATATCGAAAGTTATTAGCAATCAAAAATAAAATTGAAAACGCACCGCTTCGCAGAATTCAAACATGCCATAGATAAACTGAGCCGTTTCGAACATCTCGCAAATGATATTCAGTGCTTCAGACGTGGGAACATGCGAAGAACGATTTGATACGAAGTCGCAGATCATATCAGAGAAGGACTCTGCACACCAGCCGCAAATCATCACTTGATCATAGTAGGTCTGCATCCTGCAAATTTGATCTACAATGTGTGTACCCGATATAAGAAGAACTCGCGCAGAACAACAATGACAGATAAAACTACCCAAAATGTCATAACAAAACCAAGAAAACTTCCAAACTATGCACATCTGCGAAATTTGTAACGCAAGATGATCTAGTAGGTTCTCTGGAGACAAAAATCTAACGGTTTCAAACTCGTAGGAGCAAATTATATCTCACCTGAATCTCTCAAGAACTTCCTCAATTTCTTGTGAGCTGATGGAGTGCTTCCAGAAAGGAGTCTTATTCTCAGTACAGAACTGCAGATACATTTTCTTTTGCCAAAGTTTACATATCTTATTTGCGATCTAAAAAAGCTCTGGTATTTACTATCACTGATACTGCTGAGGACCCTATTCCTGCCTTCTTCATCTCGGAAACATGATTTTCCCAACCAATCACTCCATATAGAACAAGCGCCCTCTGAATGGCTTCACTTCGATGCTCTTCTACTTGACGTAGCGGCATCTTAACTAATAGGATTATTACATACCAATGTCGCAATGAGCTTCACCTCTATAAGAATACGCCCATTCATGGGCATCGCATCACTGAAGTAGAGATGCATGTCCTTATCGCCATGATTGTGGGAAGCTGAGTCTGTTAGTCTCGCTGGATCTTCGAGTGTCCGAGTATCAATCTGCTAACAACCATACTACAGTAGTGGGCAGTGAGGGCCACAGTGGAGTCGCTTGCCGGAATTGTGGTGCGAAAAATCTTGGGAATGGTCTACATAAGTTATGAAATTATGTAAGTGAATGTCTTACTTGTATACCAGTGGCGTACCGAGGGGGGGCGGGGGGGGGGGGGGCGCGCGCCCCCCCCCCCCCGAGAACGGGTCGCGAAATTTTTGAAAGTTACTTACATGGGTTATAAAAATGTGCAAGTGACTTGTTTTTACTTGTAAATAATTAAAATGATTTTTAAAATTTTTTAAAAATTCATTTTAGCCTTATAAAAAAATTTTTTTCGGGGGCGTGGCTGACGCCACGCCCCCTTTTTCCAGATTATAGGGGTCGGGGACCCGGAAAAATTTTGAGAAGCACCCCAAAAATTTTTTCGGAGTGCGTGGCTAACGCCACGCACCTTCTTTAGAAAAAAATTTTTGTCGCGCCCCCCCCCCCCCCCGAGCCGAAATCCTGGGTACGCCACTGTTGTATACGTATCGTGCTTTTCAACCTGACAAGATATTTTTTAGCGGAAAACATCTAGGCGTTTTGGCTGCGGCCACACCCAACTACTTGAGGCTATGAGCTCCCTAAGAATTCCAGAGAAATCGGCTAAAGCCATGCACTTCAATCAGAAGTTCTCGCCCCTTATAACTCCAAGCTCACTCCTAGAGCGCTAATCAACAGGCATATTCAAAAATTAAGTAGCTTCAAAACAAAATGAAGGGTACTTCAAAATGTTAGGCACGCTTCAGACCGCGCTAATACCAGCCGGCTTGTCAAACAAGGGGAAGAGATATGTGAAGGAGGAATACTGGCACTTGTAGCACGCGTGAAATACCGCGGGTGTGAAAATGAATCTCCTAGATGCCAATTTCCAGGCATATCTTGGCTTCTCTCATTAGGCAGGTTTCAGTGTTGCGACGTCTTTAGATGGGTACCGGTACCGGCGGGTTCGGGCGGATAGCGGGTACCGGCGCGGTCCGAAGCCTGATGCCGCCAAAGGACATTACCTGAGCTTGTGTTGACGAGGTGGCAGAACTGCATTTGCATTCGCATTCGAATCTAGTCATCAAAGGACGGTCACAGTCGACTTCTCCAGACTTTATTAGTTCCTTTACAAAACTGTAACTGCGCAAACTTAGATGGGAGGCGATCACAGAATATCAGCGAACAAAGCAAAAGAATTTTCAGGACGAACCTGTCATGGTCGAATAGTTTGAAGCGAATGAGTTCAATAAAGAGAGTGACTAAAGATGCGAACTCCCGATGAAAAAATTTTGACTCTGGTGTAGGAGCTTCAGTATCAAGATAACTCAAAATGATATCCTGCATATGAAAAGGTCCAAACATATATGACTGCTGTTCTAATACTCGGTGATGTAAGACCTGGAAGTGAAGCCCTACCAGAGAAAAAAACTTGGTCAGGAAAGATCGAACCTTTGCTACGATAACAGCTCTACGACTACCTTCACGCTCCGCAGTAACGGCCCAGTGTAGCATAAGCTTGATTCTGCAAGAAAATGCCTCAGCACGAGTTGGCATACTTTATTCTTACCTCATCAAAACTTCTTCGGCCCAATTTTCCGACTTGAAAGTGAAGATCCTTTTACCAAAAGCTTGTACGATATGCGGCTCTAGCATGTCCACTGAGTCCAAGATAGTAATCACGCTGACATAGCCATTCACCAGCTTTGCTAGAAAATCAGAATGAAGTCTCAACGGCAGCAAAGTCACGCAAACTGTGGAATAGAAATAGATACACTGAGATGTGCAACTGGTCCACGATGGTGCACTGCGATAAAACTAACATTACCTTCTGACATGATACCAAATAAATTTTGTATGGAGTATTTTGCAAACCAAAGAAGAACGTAGATATTCATGAGACCATCAGACACTAACCGAAGGACAATGCTTCTGGGTCAAAAGACCAGTTATCCTGCACTGCTTGGCTTCGCCTGATAATCTCAGCACTGCGCAACTTCAGAAGATCAATGAATCTTTCAGAACCTTGAAAAAGGATGCTATGAGGACAATCTCTCAGCAATAAGGGAATACCTTTTCCAGCAAGATGCGGCAATTTATAGACGGGACATGGAAGGAGATCAAGAGGAGATCCACACAACTGTGATAAAATAAAAGGATGCTTTTCTGCCGTTTGTACCTGAACATCCAATTGCGGTGTCTTCTTTTGGACAATCGCTTCGACAAACCTTGAAGTTATTCCATACTACAGCTGCTGGAACATCGATGACGATACTTTGCAAGATCGCAGTTAGCATGTGTATAACAGATTTCAGGGCAGAGCAATTGGTCAGTGCGATGAATGATTTGGATGCTTTTTTCGCTCTGAGATTGAGATACTATTTTGCTGTGTGTGATAATCCTCAAAAGCATTCTATATCCAGCTGGAAGATAGCGCGTGAAGTATGCCGATGCGCAGATTCACAGAACAAGTATAGAAAGAGAGAAGAGAGAAAAAGGAGATAAAGAAATTATCGAATAGAATGTCTAATGAGAGCTGCGGACAGATAGATGAAAGTATGAACATGCTGGACATTCCAACCACAGCAAGTTTTGCTCGCAGATTGCTATACACAGTACGCCTGAAAACGAAGACTTACCTGCGCTTCTCTTCATATGCCATTTTGTACATACTTAATTTCGTAGCAGCCATATGAGCCACACGCCGGGCAAGAATCAAGTTATTGTTGATGTGACGTAGAAATTGGGTGAAAAACAGAAGATACATCCTAGAAAAAAGAGAATATGATTAAAGCAAATGCACTATGCATTACCTTAAAGGCGGCAGCTTCTCCGCACCTTTGATTCTTGCGATGAAGTAATCAGTGAAGATGTTGCATAGTTCATTGAGAAAATCTTGGCGTTCAAGCAGTCCGTCCTAGAATTGTTTCATCAAAAGACCGCGATATCACTACTACAAACGATTGACAAACCTGATAAGCACATTTGCATAGGTTGGAGATGTACAGCCACCGTTCCTTATAAACCGGACTTGCAGTCAAGTCACTAACATTCCACATACGAGCCATTATATCTTTGATCGCTTTTACAAAAACATTTTTGTACTCTGTAAAGAAAATAAAAATACATGCAAACAAAGTGTAAGTGACTACCTGCTGCAAACAAATCACTGACAGACTTCTTCCGTTTGACATTAGCATTGCTCCCAGTTAGGACAGCTGTGATTTTTAGATACCATAAAGCGCGAAAGGGTGGTACTCTAATAGATTTGGACTTCATTAGCAAAAATCTATAACCTCTTTGTTGGAAGCCTACCTGTAATCACATAGGTACTGTAATCCCTCCCGCCCCTCGATGATGGGAATCTTCTTCGCAAGCGAGGATAGAGATCTCCCTCTAGCAAGATCCGTGAACCAGGCTGCGCGCTCTTTAGCTTTTGCAGCTGCCTAAAAACAAGTATTCTAATTCAAAAAAAAAAATAACGCATGCTGAGCTCGCCAGATAGTTATACCGTCATCAAGATGCATAGAAGTCAGAAAGGGTAAAAAACACCTTACGATCTGCAAGTATATGGGAGAAAACTCACCAATTGGGCATTTGTATCCCGGCCCTTACGCCTCTCCAAGGAGCTTATCTCACTTTTCTGATAGATAACCTGAATGGGTGATATAAAAAAAATGAATCCGCCAGGATAAGAGATATGCACTAAAAGAACCACTCATGCGAAACAACACGGAGGCCTCTGAAGAACCATTTTAGGACTGATTTTGCCCCTTTTTTACATCAAACGATTTTACAAACCTTCAGAATGGCAAAAACTCTGATTATTCCATCAATGTGATTTTTCCATCAACGCCTTATAGCAATTTTGTGCAAAACTACAGAGAGACTTCTTTGAGGAAAAAAAACCTTGATTACTAGTGTTATCAGCACTCAACGAAAAATCCAGCAATAGGCGATGCTACAACAAAACAATAAACCAACTTTGTGGTTCGACGACAAGGTTTCTTTTGTTTTTGTGGTGAGCGTTTTGTATAATGAAGGTCATGACAGAAAAAATAAACCAACATACAAAGTTCAAAAGCGTTTCCGATTTCGCTTGAGCCACATCCAAACGATCAAGCTGTGCTGATTGACTGTTGTATACGAGTGAGCCGTATTCGAATGGTGTTGATTTTGCCTGGAAAGTACAAGTGATACCAATACAGCACTTTGAATTGCCAAAATAAATTTTTCCATCAAGAAGAAGCTATAGATGAGATACAAAAAATTAGATTCCATTTGTCCAAGGATACTGTCCACCCAATTAAGGGGGATGGGCTTTTGTGCTATGTAATAGCGGGCCTCCTGACTTAGGCAATCTCCCGAGTCTCGCTGCAAAAGATGACTTCCAAAGCGAAAAAAATTGCTCCAGAAGCGGCCGCGCTGGCTCCGCCCATCGAACTGGGTGGTCTTTTAAAGTCCAGCCATAGACCCCCCTTCATTATGACCATCAAATTTGCGACCCTTCTATCTACCCTGAAGCCCAATTTTGGACCTGTATCTGACCACTCATGTTAACGGGCGGAAAAAGCATAGCCGCTTCCTCATGGAGCAATTTTCTTGTTTCGACATTCAATTTGCAGCGAGATTGACTTTCAGGACTGCTTAATTGGGGATCCCGTTATTATGTAGCATAAAAACTTCATCCCACAATTTGGTGGACAGTGCCTTCAACAACAGAACCTTAATCATGCAAGCAGAAAATATATATTTCAGATTCAGTGAGCAACACACATAAAAAGGCAAGCTATCTAACATCCATACGTAATCTGAAGGTGTTCAGTGGTTAAAATTTGGGCACTCACTTGATACCCTCTGCGAGCTTGTTCACTGTCGAGCAAATCCTCCTCATGGGGTGAATATACGTCTAAAACTCCAATCCTGTGCCTTCGAAGCATCCGGTTATCAGCTGTGGATTGGTACCATGATGACACAGTCGCCGTCTTCGATGACATCATCCAGTGCCCTCCATATTGCCTGGGGAAAGTTTTATTGCTCTGCCCGAAGTGAAGTTGGTGACAAGTGTGCCCGCATCCACATCGAACGAATCCGATTTGCTCGCTTGAGAAGAAAGAATGAATTCTCTAAGCTTAGACGGACAACCCTTTCCTAAAATATCCCCCACTGAACAAGATGGCTACACTTCAGAAAGAATTAGGAACAGCCTCTACGAACTGCTGGCTATGGCACATGCCATATTCGCTTGACCCGCTTAATTCACTTGATCCGCTTGTCCTCTTCGTGACAAAACGTACTCATTAGTTTGTCATTTAGGGCCGCCTAGGTTGAAAAATGTCGTATTTGTCGCAAATAACCGCGGGTACCGCCCTTTTTCGGCGACATATATTCCTCTACCCCAAACGGATTAAAGGCACCGTTCACCCATTCTCTCGGATGTTTTTGTCGTTGTCATTGCGGGGCCCTCTCATGTCCCTGACAGGACATCAGGTCGAGAATCCGCGAAAACCCCGACAAACTCCGTTTCGGAGAACCCGCAGGGCGAATTGTGCGAAGCGGTGATTGGTCAGGTGCGCTGAAATGGGCGGGACGAACGTCACGCCCACTCAAAGCCAACGTGGCGAATCAATCATCCAAAGCGATTTTTGAAGCAAATTTCCCGCTTCGAAAGCAACTTTTGGCAGTGCGAGTGGGCAAGTATACAGCTGGGTCCCACTATTGTTAGGCATCAAAATCTCACAAACTACATCTTCGGTGGACGGTGCCTTGAAAGGCAGCGGCTCGAGAAAATCGCGACTGGAAGCTTTCCACAACTACATGGCATTCTGGACCAGCTGAGCCAGATACTGTGCTTGGAATGTCAAAAAAGTGGTTTTTTGGAGCGTACCGGCCTTGCAGACTGCTGGAGACGGGCGAGGGTTTCCCGCCATAACCAGCAAGTGACTGCACACTGTAGCTTACCTATGGCGGCAATTGGCTGATCAGCCCAGACAATCAATACGATACACAGTTGACGGAAATCCCTCGCCCCGCCTCTCCAGCTAATTCCAAGGTCTGAAAACGCCAGAAAAGCATTTTTTTTTGACTTTTCAAGCACAGTAAGGCTTTGGCCATACTTTGCCAGTGTTGCCGGTGTTGAAAGTGTTGCCGGTGTTGAAAGTGTTGAAAGTGTTGCCGGTGTTGAAAGTGTTGAAAAGTGTTACCGGTGTTGAAAGTGTTGAAAGTGTTGCCAGTGTTGAAAGTGTTGAAAGTGTTGCCGGTGTTGAAAGTGTTGAAAGTGTTACCGGTGTTGAAAGTGTTGAAAGTGTTGCCAGTGTTGAAAGTGTTGAAAGTGTTGCCGGTGTTGAAAGTGTTGGACGGAGATCATCAGTCTAGCAGTTTTATTCTTTCTCGAACGATCTCACCGGCTGGTGGATACGTTGGAAATGGAATTGGGGAATGAGAAATGAAAGTGAAATGAGACGGGGAAGATTTTCGCATGCAAAAGATCCTCAAACAAACTTTTTGGAAAGTGGACGGGTTGTTTGGAATAGGCAATCTCCAATATTTGAAAAAGCTGAAGTCTGAGTAGTAATATGTTTTAGTTCGAATCCTGCCGCGCTTGCGATTAGTGAGTGAAGGATCTAAGTGAGGTCTGCAGCGTTTTCAAATATTGGAGATTGCCTATTCCAGACAAGCCATCCACTTTCCAAAAAGGTTGTTTGAGGATCTTTTGCATGCGAAAATCTTCCCCCATCTCATTTCAATTTCATTTCTCACCAATTCCATTTCCAACGTATTCACCAGCCGGTGAGATCGTTCGAGAAAGAATGAAACTGCTAGACTGATGATCTCCGTTCAACACTTTCAACACCGGCAACACTTTCAACACCGGCAACACTTTCAACACTTTCAACACCGGCAACATTTTCGACACCGGCAACACTTTCAACACCGACAACACTTTCAACACTGGAAACACTGGAAACATCGGCAACACGGGCGAAGTATGGCCAAAGCCTAACTGACTCAGCTAGTCCAGAAGGCCATGTAACTATGGAAATCCCCCACTCGCGATTTTCCCGAGCCATGCCTTTTAGTACAGCGTGTGCTTATGGTGGGCGCCAGACTAACCGATTTCTTGCTAGCAGGTCTCCTGCAATTCCCGTACTTCTTTTTCCTTGACTTTCAATGTGCCGCATTACGGAGCGCTTTGCGAATATCGTTTTTCGCAGTATACATTGTTGCGGGACCCGCAGGAATCACAGGAATCACGGGAATCGCGGAATTGCACGAATCACAGGAATAGTATGGCCGGGCCCGTAAGCTGATGTCATTTGGCGTCATGATGAGCGGAAACGAAGTGGCTTCTGTGATGCACAAGATTATGGAAGTAAAACGTAAATTGAATCGTTACAGTCAAAGCAAGCCGTAAAGTTAAATGCGCGCCTCCGCAGTTACACATTGACCATATTTCGCGCCTAAAACCACAATTCTATGTGCTTTTTGTTCCTGCAACCGAAATAAGATGCTGGAATTGAGATTTCAAATTTCCAAAGGTGAGGATCAGTGAAGAATAATCGAACCGATGAGAAAATTGGGATTTATATGTTACCGATGCTGCACTTTCCAGTATTAATAGTTGTGCTTAAAAATCATGAAATGGGTTTTGATACAAATTTCGAAACTAAAGTTCATTGGATTTCCCTTTCGCCGCTGAACTGGTATTTAAGCGTTTTTGTAATCTAGATATTCGCTTGAGCTTACTGAGCGTCGACCAAAATATTAACCACACTTTATTCACGGCCAACGTTTCGCGGGATTGCTTCATCATTTGTCCGATGCAAGCCGAAATGGATGTTTGTTTCAATCTTCTAAACCAGCAACACCCAAGTATCAAGTTCACGCGGGAAAAGCCCAAGGAAAACTGTTTACCTTTTCTCAACGTACAAGTGTGGCTGTCCGGTGGGAAATATAAAACTAGGTGGTACCGCAAACTCGACTGTAAAAACATTTTAGTACATGGCTTGTCTGCGCATCCCAGCAAGCTTAAAAAGGCGATTATAGATAAGATGTATCGGATAGCAGCAAAAGTGTCTTCGGGCATGCAAGAGCGAATCTACTCTATGGAATCAGCTTATCAAGTAGCTAAGTCTAATGGGTATGCAGGTGAGCCTATCTCAAACCCTCAAGGATTTGCAGAACGCAGAGCCAGTTCCAGCAGCTCGGATGTGCCACTTACAAAAACCGCTTTCTGCTTGCCGTTCGTATCGTACAGGTAGGTTATGCTTTAGTTCTAGGATATCAATAGAAATAGAGGTAGTTATATACAAAGTTTGGTACTATATCAAGGTTATGTAATACTGAAATCAATTTTGCAAGTGAAAAAGTCGAAAACAGACTGATTGAGGAACATCGCAGTTAATTTAGTTTACGAATGATCAAATTTACAGATTCAACACAAGAACCAGGACCGGACCGCCATCTGGTGATTCCTCGACCGGCATTAGCCGTCGAGGAATCACTAAAAAACTTCTAAAGAAGAGCAGCATTAAGAGGATATCAGGGTAGGAGAAGAAAGCACGATCTAAAGCGGTCATACTTCATGCGTTTTCAGGCGCGACGTGATTTGGCAGTACCATTTTCTATAACTAATCAAGCGCATTCTAAATGTGCGGAGGGCAAGACAAGTTATCAATCTAGGAAAACTGTACAGACTACGAATTTGCGGTCTGCCATGTTGGATATGCAGACGTCTGGCAGTTTGTAAGATCGCATGGCAGCTGAGATCGCGGGGGCGGAGGACTATATGTCGCCGAATTGGGAAGAGTCCTGCGCGGATTCCCTGCAGGAACGCATGTCCGCATGTAGAAGGATGCGTATTTGTCGCAGATGACCGCGGGGACCGCCCTTTTTCGGCGACATATAGTCCTCTACCGAGATCGCGGAGGTATGGCCAAGGCCTGAGCTCCTGGGCATAAGTCATGCGACTTCAGCCGCGACGCGGTTTGGTAATACTCCAATTGTGCGTAACTCATCGAAAGGGGTTTCTGAATATATGAAGATGGGGTATTTTATGATCCTACGGAAGTCAAATATGCTGTGATTTAGGGTCTGCCAGTATTGGATTTGAAGACTTTTGGTGAAAGCGCTCCGATGGAAGCGAGCTATGACATCTTCCTTCATGCTGCATTGGTTGGATTTTCTACGTGTATATGTGCATGTATTAGGTTGGCACGAAAGTTCTGTCGTTGCATTTTCAAAATTATAAATTTGCGCCGTTTCAACGGATTTGCTTGCCTTTAATTTTATTGGAAAAAATAAGTCTTTCGCTTTCAAATGCTGTTCCGCGGAGCTTCTGTTTCACATTGGGTGCGGAGATAAAAATGGAAAATTAAGACCATATAAGATTTGACCATTTTAACTTAGGTCGCCAAAAATCGGGAACGCTGCAGAAAAATCTGAAATCGTCAGTACTTATGTTTTTTGGCCTACTCTTTGCAACTGTGAAAAGTTTGTGCTGTTTGAGCGTTTCTGTGAGAAGTTATGAATATCGAGTTTACTATGGAATAAGATAAAAGAAAAAACAAAGGTATCTCCAATTTCCGTTTCGATCCTTTCACTATACGGAAATTAGATTGACATATGAAAAAAAAAACGGAAAATGCCAAAATTAATTGATTTGTCAATTTTTGCGGAAATCATAACTTCCCACAGAGACGTCCAAACGGCACAAACTCTTCACATTTGCAAAGAACAGGCTAAAAAACATATGTACTGACAATTTCAGATTTTTTGCAGCATTCCAGATTTTTGGCGACCTAACTTAAAATGGTCAAAGTTTATATGGTCTTAGCTTTCCATTTATATCTCAGCATTCAGTGCGAAACCGATGCTCTCCAAAACAGCGTTTGAAAGCGAAAGACCTATTCTTTCTAAAAAAAAATTAGAGGCAAGCAAATCCGTTGAAACAGCGCGAAGTTAAAAATTTTTGAAGATGAAACGACAGAACGTTCGTGTCAACCTAATATGTTGTTTCTTAATTACCGATAAAAAATCTAAAACTGTCACTTATCTTCTAATAGGTTTCATGTCTCGCTGTTCATTGAAAACTTTTTATTCTAACTTTGTGTTTCATTAGTCAAAATAAGTTTCAAGGTATTTTGTTTTATACTGTATGAAATTCATTAAATCTCTGCGATTTTCACAAAAATCTTGGAAGTTTTTCTAGGCATTGAAAGGGAGCGTTGGAACCTTTTGAATTATTCAGAAATATTACTTACTTATGATAGAAAAACTTTGATTTACTTCGTCATAACTTATTCATGCTTTGAGAGCTGTTTCCTTACTTCTTCAACACACCTGAGTTTTCTTCCTATATTCCAGAAAAACTAAAGATTTTTGAAGTTTTGCAGCAGTCAGAGTCCTGCACTTAAACTGAACCCACTTTGAACTCATTTAAAAACCCTAGTTTACTAGGGGTCAAGTGCCCTAAACCTTTCTCCCTTATTTAGCCAACGTTCCGCAATTTTTTTTCCAAATTTTCAAAGTTCTGAAGTCTTCATTCGTTCCATGGTTTTTCACTCCTAATGCATCTGCGTTGCCTAGCGAATTCGCCCATTTTTGGCTGTACAATACATTGCCAGCCGATATGTATACGTTTTGCAAAGTCATTCATCTATTGGGTGAAACCCGGCAAAAATTTGAACTCGCTCGTGATTTCTTCCTCTCGCCGCACCGGGATCCCTTCTATCCAACCCAGTTTCCCCAAACATTTTCAGATGCAGAATTTTTTGATTAAAGCCCCGCCCCATAGCTCTGTCTTCCTAATTATGGCTTGTTTTTCCGAAGTTTTCAAAAATCGCTCCGAATGGCCCGAAATTTTCGAAAGATTTGTGACGTACTCAAGCATGGGCTAAGAGTGTGTGCTAAACTGTAAATATCCATTTACAGAAACCCGAGAATTGAGAAACCGATTAGTCAATTGAAAAAAAAGTCATAACTCGCTTCAGAGTTATCCGATCTAGCTCAACCTCAAAGCACAGATAAGGTTTGTAATCCACCATCAAGAAGAATAAAATTGAATTCTTATTGTTAGCTGCGCTCAGTCGTAACATCCAGGGTCTCATCGCCCCCAATGTGTCCCTTGGCGCTTTGACAGCTATCGCATCCATCTCAATGCGCGAACTTCCGCAAAATGGTGCAGCAGGCAATTCTTACGTTGGACTCTTCAATTCGAGTGCAATTAATCCACTCGGTGAAATTACCGCAGTTGATATGACTGTTTTGTCTTTAGAAGTCACACCGACGATCGATAGCTAGGTTGGTATAAAGACGCTTCAAACTGAGGTTCTCTTCAGCTAAAATGGGATGGCGGAGGTTTACTATATGGGTCTCAGGTAGGCGCCAGACTTATCCGGTTCATCCGGTTTGTCTGTGGCCGTATTCATCAACGAACCTAGTGGGTTCTGCTACCCAGTGGATAAGTGAAAACAGTGCCACTGGATTGTCGATATTTACAAAAAGCACTGCTAGGTTCGCGAACCCACTAGCTTTGTGGGTACCGATCACGTGGGTTAAGCCTACTCACTGGGTACCGGAACCCACTGGTTTCGTTGATGAATACGGCCATGGTTCACCCGTTCGCTATTGGTCAATTCAGTGATCTGACCAGTAGCGAAGGAGTGAACCGCATTGACCGATCCGGTTAAGTCTGGCGCCTACCTCAATTATAACACAGGTGGGCAAGACCCATTCCGTTCCTAACTGGTGCCAATTGGCCACTGTTTCGCTTGTTCGCACTTTTTCTGTTGCAGATAACAAACTAGACTTTACATGGACCAAATATGTAAAACCCTTTGGGTGACAACAGTCAATTTCACAACACAAAAAAACTTTATTGTGAGAAAATGTTAGTAATTGTTGTATGTACAAGCTCGACTACATTTTTGTACGAACTGAACATTAACACTTTCTTCACACTAGTTGGATTCCAGGGGAATAAATTCTGTGTTGTTGGTTTGCTGGTGGTGACACATATCTGCAAATCCAATAAATTTGCAAAGTAGTGAGTGAGCAGTCAGAGAAAAGTAACCTCCAATAAGATCCCTCCATATTCATTTCTAACGGATTATCCTTTCCTGCTCCCTGTAATGGCGCAATTAGTTAGTTGCCAACTAGCAGTAATTAGTCTCTTACACTTCTAGGTTCTCCACTTTTGCCCTCTTCTCCTGCTGTTTGGGATTTGGTGCTCATTTCTGAGCCTGCCGCTTCCTGAAGTATAGTATTATGACGACCCAAAGTTCGGGAGAAACCAACCTTTCGTTTTGATGACTCAGATTTCTTCTTTTTCTTACTCTTACTCTTACTCTTGCTTCGTCTGCTACTTTTGCTCTTGCTCTTTCGGCTCTTCTTGCTTCGTTTGCTTCGTTTGCTTCGTTTCTTCTCCTTCGCGAGTTCTTCGGCTAGCTTTTTCTTTGCTGCTGCCTGTCGACGTTGCATTACGATTACTAGCGCAGCAATGACGAGGACAAGAACGACGAGCACCACAGCGACGATGATGATTATATATTTGGTCGGATCCGTGGATGGTGCCTCCGTTTGGCTTGCTTTCCTGAAACTTTTCACATGGACTGCTGTGCTGTGCCTTGTATGAACTGATCAGAAAGGCCTTAATTAAGCCACTGCCGGGGCAGCAGCTCATAAGACCTATTCGAAACCGAGAAATTCAACTCTAGACTCTTGCCCAGTACCGTACCCCTTTCGCGCCAAATGGGCGCGCACTTTTCCTCAACCAGCAAGCAGTGAGGAGGCGAGCGCTCGTACCTGTCGCTCGCCTGCTATGGACGCACTTGCCTCTTTGTCTAATCAAACAACAAGTAGCATTGATCTACTTACGCATCTAAAGCAGGTGCAAGCGAAGAAAGAGTTGTGGTGACCGAAGCTGGAGGAGCTGAAGTGGCTAGAGCAGGTGGAGGAGGTGGAGGAGGTGGAGGAGGTGGAGGAGGTGGAGCAACTGTAGAAGCCGGTAGGTGCCCTTAAAACTTTTTCATAAGTACCCAACTTTGCGAGATCGTACTTGCCTTTAGGAGTTGTAATAGCAGGTGCAGCAATACTAGTTACGGTCGTTGCTACAGCTGCAATTTTAGTGGTAGTCCGCTGCTGATCATCTGCAATTTTCGTGGTAGATTGGATCTGAGAAGGCGAGGTTGTTGATGGCTGTTCTGAAAAAAGGCTGTGGTTAGCGGAGATCAGACCTCTGTGAGAAAGTAACCTTTTTTAGATGTGGTAGCTTGGACTGTAGACTTGGAACTTTGCCCAGCAGAGCTGGTCACTGAAGCTCCCGTAGAAGCTTCAACCTTGGCTGTTGTAGTCGCTGCCTTCGATGTTGGGTTTTCTTCTGGAGCCCCACCCTCTACCATCTAAAGCAGGACCAGGATCATGTCCGCGTCGTGTAGAAAAGACTGCAACCACCTTGAGGCTGGGTTCTGGATTTGAAACTGAACTAGCCCCAAAGCATCTAGTCCTTTTATGCAGTTGATAATATGATATCATTGTTTCTCAAACTCATTTTGTCCATAGCTTACGATGTCGATCAATTAGCGGTCATCTTGTGTAACGAATGAACTAAGGCAGCTTCTATAGCTTTGTTCTGAGCTAACTCATACCTAAGGCTTGGGTATACTTTGCGCTTTTCAGTGGCCATTCTGACAATGTTCCAATTTGTCTACGACTTTTCATAAACGCATGAGATTATGGGAAATAGCATTAACCTACCAATGTTACACATACTGTGCTTCTGAATTCTATCACTGATGAATTTGAAGGCATGTGGTAAACTGTCAAATCGCGGGGTATGCCCAGGCCTAGATCTTCCTCACAGCCCAATGAAAGGGTTTTGTAAAAGAAAATTGCAAAAACAATACCTTTTTGACGAGAGTGTTTATCTTTGTTCCGCTCTTAGGCTGAGTTACAATGCGCATTGCTTGTCCAGTTCCTCGAAAAAAGCAGAGAAAGCTTGAAGATAATTAAAAAGTTGACCGAAGCTTTCTGTAACTACTCTTTTGCATATGGGAAATATGGGAAATGTGTATTATGGGAAATAGCCTGAAAGCCACTGAAAATAACCATACAAAACAAGGCATCAAAAGTATTTACATAGCCCAAGATCTAGGGTCTAGGGATCTCCGCATAGAAGGAATTAAAACAGGAGGCCTCCTCCCCAGGGCGTAAGTTTTCCAGCTTTCCAACCATTTCTTGGTTGTGCTCAAGAGTCACGGCCTCGCTTGCGCCATAGATGTCCGAGGAGCCCCACTTTTGCATGGCACTGAAATCCCAAAAGCCCCATCTTGTCCGGACACTGCCTTTAATGCGACAAGCTGGGCAGATTTAGGAGCATCTTAGTTCCAACATATTACTGAAGCCGGGTCCCCATGAAGCCATACCCCTTAGCGACTGCAGATTATTGCTTCTGGGCCAAGGAAATTCCAGAAGTTTGAATGTAGCCACCTATGTTGATTCACTGTCGTCCTTTCTAGAGGAAATCGTGCCAGAAGACATCCATCGCGAGCTGTTATTGGCGCTAAAAGCTTTCCCGGCACGATTTCCTGTAGTAAGGACGAAGCTGAAGAGTGGCGGCTATGTTCGAATTTCTGAGGGAATTTTTCCAGTACCAAAATTCTGCAGTTGTAATCGGGCCATAGCTTGCATGAGGAGACCGCCTTAGTAGACTGTTGTGACTGAGGTTCTTTCGAATCTGCCCGGACACTGCCTTTAGGCTCACTCTTTTCTTTTCGCACTTATAGGTGCGAAAAGAAAAGAGTGAAAAAGGTGATCGTTCATCAGTTCTAGCTCGCCACAGTCTTCGATTGGAGTGAAACTGGTGTTTAGCATTTTTTAAGCAGGCTGTTTACCAATACATAGTGGTTTTGCTCAATACTTTCATTCCATTTCTATTTCTGAAAACAAAGTTCTGTTATGTCTTCACTGCAAAATTGAAAGACAAATCTAAGATTTTTCCTTACGTTGTTTCTTCATTTAGCAATGGAGTCGTAGGTAAACCTTTTTTTCATATAGTAAATTTGGATATATTGAGCAAAATAACGAGCATATTCCGAATTAGCGAATTCCTTCAATTGGACATATTTCGCTACTGCGATTTTTCGAAATTACAGTGAAATTCCAGTCCTACGAGTGTCTCGATGAGGTCGCGATCGTATTTGTACAGATCGGTTTGCATACGGTGCTGATTAGGTGCTAACTAGCCGAAAACTTGTAAGTTCCCCACAAAATGGCTATGCGCCGCAAACTCTGGTAATAATCGCGTACTTTTTGAACAAAGTTGATCGGTGTGTTAGGCATCCAATTAGCGTCTACACACACCTCTGTGGTATCAGCATGTATCAAATTATTTCTATGGTCCATCCAGCCATACATGACTGCGTTCAACATATCTACACTCTGTCCATCCCAATCAGGCTAAAACTGGCATAGCTGGAGTCGCTAAGGTTTTGGGTCACGCCCCAGTTTGTCTGTCTGCTTTCCTTTAATCTCTTCGCTCTCTTCGACAGTTCATATGCAGCGGAAATCCCCAGCACTATGAGCGCGAAAGTATACGCCAATGGTTTGGCCCGTGGTTGCGTTAGGAGGAGCATCTAGTTGAATGATTATGTCTATTTCCGATTTCAAAAACGAAGTAACTGAGCCCCGGGCGTTACTGACGTTAGGCCCCGGACAGACTTCACGCGATTTGATCGTCGCGACTCAATCGCCGACATTTCCATTCATTTTCATTTCGCATTCAAAAATTTCGGGCTGGAAAAGTATCACAACCGAAATGCAAGTTGATCGGCATGGAATGATGTTGTAACAGTTGTCTCCTCGCGATTCAGTCGCTACGTTCAAATCGCTTAAAGTCTGTCCGGGGTCTTAGGTTACATGTCGTCAGGTTACATGTCGACGAGTGGGGCGAAAACGAGGAGAATAAGTTATACAAAGGTACAGAAAAATTTTCATTGCCCGGCTTTGAGACATCAAATAGAGACTTTTTTTTGTTGCTGGGATTTTATATTCCATCGATAAACCACTTCAAAGCTTGGAACATATAGGATCAACGTATACCGTTTCTCTTTCTAATTCTCCTAAGAATTCATATGCAAGAAATTTCATCTAGCTGCAATGTCAGCTAAATTTGTGCGATCACTTTGCCTTTCATTTTGAAAGTTGGAGAAAGGCTAAAAAAGACGGTTTGAATTTACTGGTAAAGTTTTGCTCTATAGCACAGCCAGCCAATTAGGCATCTCTATCCAATTTTTGCGTAGTTTCCTGGCAAAAACACGCATGGCCTAGACATGCCATTTTCAAACGGTCTATGTTAAATCCCTGTTGAATTTCGTGAGCTTTCTGATGTTATATATAGGCCTTGTGGAACCTAATCGCCCACGCCTTGCCACGAACACCAGCGCACAGTCGGTTTCATCATTAAGCGAAATATTCCACGTGGAAGCAGCACGTACGCATTGCTGGAGGCTTCGCGAGCGCATAGCGCTGGCATTTTGCCAAGCAAAGACTAAGGAAAATGAAGAGACGCAGACTTTCTCAGCACGACATGATATACTGTAGCTGCGAAACGGCGCGAACCATTGCGAAACGGACGCCTGCCAGTCCAATTTCCGCCTTAGGCCCGTATGCACGTACATCACCGCGGGGAGGGGAGGAAATCTGAGAGGGGAAGCGTCATATCTCGCTAGTCCATATATCTTTCTTTCTTTCTCTATCTTGCTTTTGAAGGTTCTCATACACTGATACTTGCGCATAATGGATGCCAGCTTACTGCCATACAAGTTTAGATATTCACTATTTCGTGTGATCCCCTGGGGATCCCCAGAGGATCACCTCACATTTTCAAAGTCATTTATCTTTCTGGAAACTCAATTTTATGCTCTAAAATTGTACTGAGGATATACTACAGCACTGCTAAACATGCTTATGGTAGAAATGAGTGAAATCTCAAGATAACAAAATTTTCGATGAACCGCTGCTCGCGAGCCAGGGATTATCGAAAAAATCAAAATCTTCAGATTCCATTTCTTCTGTCGAAAACATGCTCAGCAGTATCGTAGTACATCTTCAGTACAATTTTGCAGCGTTTTCATTGTTTTTTTTAGGAAGATAAATGACATTGAAAATGTGAGGTGATCCTCTGGGGATCCCCAGGGGATCAGAAGATATAGTGAATATCTAATCTTGTATAGCAGTAACCTAGCATCCGTTATGCGCAGGTATCAGTGTATGAGAACCTTCATAAGCAAGATAGAGAAAGATATGTAAACTAGCGAGATATGACGCTTCCCCTCTCAGATCCCCTCCCCTCCCCGCGCGAACCCCCGTATGCACAAAGACAATATCGGACAAGGGGATCCCCTGTGGGGAGGGGAAGTGAACCCTCTTATGCACAAGAGGGGATCAAGCGGGGAAATCACCTTGCTTTCAAATTTTCTATGAAAGACTCTTTCTTATTTCATATTTTGACTGCAACTCATCTTCATCTCCTCACTTTCATTAATTTAGGGTTGCGGAATGCGCGTATGCAGTGACTGCGCTCGGGGCACTAAAAATGATTTTTTCTACTCCCATTATGTTCCTGCTTTCTTGGATGCTGCCCACTTTCGCTCATGCTGCTCCATTTCAGCGTAAAAATGTTGAACTGTAGAAGTTGATGTGTCTCTGCAAGGGAATGGGTAGAAGACGTTAGGCTGCCGAAAAGGGGGGGGGGGGTGCCGCGCGGACGCTCAAAGCAGTATTCTAACACATAACAGAAGCTGCAAATTGTGCCAGCTCTCCATAAACGCTGTAGCTATCAGCTGCATATCGTCCTTTATCCCAGGGGAATGATCCCCAGCAGCCATCCCTGCTATGCACAAGGGGAACGCTGGGGAGGGGATCATTCCCCAGGGGATTTCTACTCAGAAATAGGCAAATATGCTACTTTCTAGATTTTTTCGAGGCAGCTTATGTTAAAATAACAAGATAATGGCAACATGTCATGAAATATGAAAGTTACAATGTGTTTACTCAGCCTATATAGTTAAAACTATTATGTTATATGAAAAATGCGCAAATTTCCTGAATGATCAAGAACTCCTACAAATAATCGAAATTGGCAGCTATTGTTGCTCGGATTTCTTCTCAAGAGGCGAATATAGAAAAGAAAGACAAATTGCAAGCCACAGGTCGCTGAGAGAAGAACTCGGCTTTCAAAGAAAATCCTCCATCAAAATGAACGAAATGCTTGGTAATGACTGAGCAGAACCAGAATATCCGCGTCTCTGGCATGATCTACACCATCGAGCCCCTACTTCGTTGCAGGGGATGTCGATCCCCTCCTCCGCGTTACTGAGTTGAATTCGCGCATACGGGGTTCGAGTGGGGGAAGGGAGGGGATCCCCTCCCCCATTCGAACCCCGTATGCACTGGGGTTCACTCGATCAATACCTCTGAAACCAATCACACCATCCCCGCTTAGGTGCAGGGGAGGAGATCGCTCCCCTCCCCTCTGTCATGGCGGGTTTCGGCGGAGGGGATCGTTCCCCTGGGGATCCAGCTCCCCTCCCCTCCCCAGCGGGGACGTACGTGCATACGGGCTTAAGGTATATTTTGACGATAACGTCCTTCAAAAGCTTACAAAAATATGTATGAAAGCAGCGTGCGCTCATTGTCGCCTGCATCAAGCCTATAGCGCTTCGGAACCCGGTGTTTCTGGCCAACCCGCGCGTGATGTTCAAAGCGACGCGTGGGCGAAAAGCCTGTAGGTTGCTGAATAAAAAAATGGGCTATTCGGAAATGGGATGGAGGGTTACTATTATTGTAACTCCACCTGATTTTCATGAGTTGGCGGGGCAAGAGTTTCTTGGAACGAGGAAGGTTTATACAGCAATAGTTGTTATACCATTCGATAGCTAAGAACACGAGAAATCAATGTAGACTGTCTCCTCTAGCTGTTTGTAAAGCGAGATATGAGCAATTTCATTTAACTACAGTATCAGTTGATCTGTATGATAATTTTACTTTTCATTTTCGGAACCGAAAAGATCTTTTGCGAAGCTCCAGATGTATAACAAATCGAAAGCCTCAAAAACGAGGAACCTAACTGCGCTCTCTTATTATCCTGTTCAATAAAGAACATATAAGACTTTGCCAGTGGACACGCATCTCTCATATCCAGTTCAGACTTCCTCCTCTTGCTCAATTTTCCTGCGTCAATGTGATTTCATTGATACATTGCGGCTCAGTAAAGAATCGGACATTCTCTCATTTTCTGAGTACACTTCGTTATCAAAACGCCACTCACAAGGAAGGTGTTTTCGGTCGAAGTGGCCTTTTCAAATGAAATTGATACGACTATGAAAAGCATCAAACGCTGATTCCAAATCTGTCTTCGTTATCTGCCGAGCGCCTCTAGACGTCGAGTTATGAGTATTTTCTTGGTGTGAAAAATGAACGCATAATCTAAGTAAAATAACTTCTCAGCGCTCAAATAGAGCAGTGTTAAGTATGAATGCCTTGAATAAAAGATATTGTTTAAATATAGTGTATTGATAATCAACACTGGACCATTTGAGCAATTCTGACGAATATTGAAGTATGCATTTGATTCTCATTTCAAAAAACGCTCATAACTCGACGTCCAGAGGCGCTCGACAGATAACGAAGACAGATTTGTCAGCGTTCGATGCTTTTTATAGCCGTATCAATTCCATTTGAAAAGACCACTTCGACCGAAAACACCTTCCTTGTCAGAGTGAGACAGGAGCTCTCAAGCGTGCGTTTCTCAGCAAACGCTACTGCTACGATGCTTTCTTATGGTCATGCACTGAGATGGAGAGGAGCAGTTGGCCTTTTTTTTTCACACAGAAATTGCATCATTTATTATCGATGTCTCATTTTTATGCCTCGATCTCAGTGTTAACCTCAAGTAAATGGTATCATTCAGATGCCAGCCCAAAAACGAAGCGGGGCACAACCCTTGCTCCCCTATCGCACCTATAATTAGGCCTGATTCCGATTGGAAGAGTCTGTACTTATCGCATGGATGCTTATAAATACCACTCGGCAAAAAAAAAAAACTTTGCTGCAGTCCCAAATAAAGGTACCTGGAGAGACTTGAAGATCAATCGCAAGTAAGAGGATCAGACGGGAGACGGTCTTTTCGCACGGACGGTCTCCAGCGTCTCCCTGATTTTGACTTGTCTTAACATGTAATGCACGCCGCAAATCTTTCCTCCCCCTGTTTTGCTTAGGCAAAAGCCGCCGCAGGGTGTTTCGCGCGCGGCGGTGGTCCTGCATGGAAAGCATTACGGTCGTGCGAATCGCCCTACACCCGGATCAGACATACCCGTCATTATGCTATTAATCAACTTTGATGCGAACTCTATCTATCATATATTTTGGGGTGAATTGAATACTCCATCATTTTTTAAAGATGGACTGAGCTCAAGATTCAGCACTGAATTCGATCATAGGCTTAGTCTCGGTGAAATAGCACAAATGTATTAGCAAGAAATGCTGATAGATTTGTTAAAAAAGCAGCTTTTCACTTTCACAAGTTTTCGATTGAGACAGATGAATTTCGATGCTAGTAACAAAACGAGTACAAACATCAAACAGCGCCTATCTATCTCCGCAATTTTGTCGATTACAGAATCTTTTGTAGCTTAATATGTGTCAAATAATTTGAACAGATTTTGATGTCTTCGAAGGCTACAAGATAGCAAAACATTTCACAACTTTCATAACTCTCAAATCCGTTTAGATGCCAAAGAATTTATTCCACGGCTCCTATATCCTCAAACTAGTTAGATCGGCGCAGCTACTAATTTTCTTGATTCGCTAGTAGTCCATAAAGGGATAGTCCTAGTTATAAACACTTGAGAATTTAAATGAAAACCTTTACTGTGAGAAAATGTTAGTGGTTTCATTATGTACAAACTCGACGATAATTTGTGCGAGTTAAAAGGAACACTTTCTTCACGCCTTTCCTGCGCCCTAAAAAGGTATATTAGTATCTCATTGAAATAATGCAAAAAATCGACCTCTCTAGCTTCGCCCTTCGCTTCACCCTCAGGTTTCGGTTCACCTTGTTTCGGTTCACCTTCAGGTTTCGGTTCACCTTCACCTTTCGCTTCCTCTTCACCACCAGCTGACTTCTGCGACTTTTTCTTCTTCTTACTCTTACGCTTCTTCTTCTTTTTTCTGTCTCTGTCCTCTTTTTCAATTTCTGCTGCTAACTTTAGCTTTGCTTCATGTTGTCGACGCTGCATCACCAACACAACAGCCACAATGATAATGATTATTATGAGAATGGCGAGGGCTACGCCAATTATAATGAATTTGGTTAAATCGATGGACGACGAATCTTCTGTTCTGCTTGGTTTTCTGGAACAATTCGGTTTAGTGCGGGAGGAAGGAACTCATAATTGACTTATAATAAACCGTTCAATTATCGTTGTGTAACATTTCCAGCAGGAAAATGTAGTAAAGAGCCCTTGAGTCATTGATAACTCAATATGCGAGTCTTGCATACAAGGCGCGGCAGTCAACGACGCCTTACTAATAATTCCCAGTAAAATTTTTTTACTGTAACGACTGTAGAAATACGGCACTTCTAACTATCCACTCAAATCATCGGACGGGAAAAGCGGGTTATTGATATCTTTTGAAGCTGCCTAGCACATCTTGGACTTAGCGCATCCAAGGGAGCCGAGAACGATGAATACCCCAAAGTTGTCGTTCTGCAGAGCCGTGCCTTTAAGAGACACGTTAACAATAAGTGATACTCTGATACTTCCTAACGGCTGATATTAGCTTCTGAAAGTTAGTACTAAGCTTCATGCTGCGCGTGGGACTAGGTGGCTGATAAAACTGAAGATCAGATTGAAAATCTTATAGACTTAGTTTGATTAGGAATCCCCTATAAATGCTACTTCCAAAAGAAGGTTTGAAAGCAATATTAGTGGGTGGACTCAAATTTGGCGCACGTGTGTTTTCACCGTTATAAACCTGCGTCCCATGCGATCTGCGGCTGATAAAACCGTTTCTAGGATTTGTTTGTCCGAAAGTAGCCTTCACAAATCCAAGAATATCAGCATTTTCCTAATTTGCCTAATTTATTAGACGTTCCACTGCCTAGTAGGACTATCAAAAAATGTAAGGAAATTCTTTGTCCACCCTAATCTTGAGCTTGGCCTTTGCGAAAATGGGGAATGGACTAAGATCTTAGGAAGACGAGATTCAAACACTGTTTTCAGCTTGACATTTGCCACTCTGAGGCCGGACCCTAACGGCAACTTTCATTCACAAAGCAAATTGCATACGTATGCAACGTTCACGGCGGTCATAACAGAATGGTTGTGGTTTCAAGCAGATATAATGAGTGATATCCAGCAATACCGACTGCGTGTTATGGCCTTTTTTTGCGCCGAAAAAGGTTTTTGTGAGACCTTGAAAATAGCAACAATTTCCAGAATGAGCAAAGAACCATTCTTTCGAGCTTAGGAGTTTTTGCTCAGATTGATGAGAATAGCGCAGACGATTTCGCCGGAGACGAAACGTGAGAATCCAAAGGACGCTTCAGAAATTGAAATGGCTTTGAAGTTTCTGACTTTGAAAAAACAAAACTTGTTCTCAAAATTGATTTTTCTTCTGATTTATCCTTTCTTGGCAGCTGCCGCTTTCGACCAATGATTGCAGATGAGACAAGTGCAAAAAATGGAATTAGCTTTCACCCATTTTTTTAGAGTTATGAAGCGACTGCTTCGAAGCGGGAACCTGCGATTCAAAATACCGGTGAACGAGTGAATTCATGCAGCTTTCTCTCCTATTTTTAAAGGTTCCTTGTGCTTTTTCTGTTACATGACTCTTTTTCTTTTCCAGTTCTCTTTAGCCTTCTAGGATAACTTCTTCTAGTCTATATAGCAGTGGCGTACCGAGGGGGGGGGGCAAGAATGGGTCGCGAAATTTTTGAAAGTTACTTAAATGTGTTATAAAAATGTGCAGAGGACTTGTTTTTTATTTATAAACAAATAAAATAATTTTCAAAATTTCTTAAAAATTCCGCCACGCCCCTTTTTCTGAAATTTTGGGGTCAGAAGCGCGGAAAAATTTTGGAAAGCATCCCAAAAAAATTTTTCGGAGCGCGAGCCCCCCCCCCCCCTCCCCTCCGGACGGAAATCCTGGGTACGTCACTGCTATATAGATATTATTTTTATCAGCTGCTGAAGTTGACAACAGTTGACTGATCAGTTTCGCCCCATTTTTGAAGGCACCCTCCACCCAAATTCTCGACTTCCATATTTATATCGCTTCCCGGTCTTCTGAAGGCCCTGATTCCGAATATAGAGTCGAGAATCCTGGGAATTCCAAAAAAAAAACCCCGTCTTGTGGAAGGGTGCAATGCAGGTAGCAGGGCTGCGGCGCTGTTATAGCCCGGCGTATATCAGCGCCGCAGCCCAAACCCGCAAAATTGTCGGAGTGACCAGCTCTGGTCTACGTACCTTCCGAAGAGGATTTCTCGCTCCGGAAGCAATCTTTTGCTGGGAAACTTGGGAGTTGGCCTAGTGTGGGGGCCCATATTAGTATGCCATCGAATCTCGTGAACCCCCACTTTGGGTGGACGGTGCCTTTAAGGGTATATACGACAGAATCCCGTCAAAGCAATAAATTGTTCGCGCACTGAAAAGGCGAAGAATACTGGGTGAGAGATAAAGTAGGCACCAGCTTGGATGATGAAAACACAAATGAAAGGTTCTATTATACAGCTGTCGAGTCGTAGTTCTTTGCATTCTGTAGACCGAAGTCATGGTACATGACTGGCCTACTCACTCTAGGCTTCCTCCACTAGCGCCACCTATAGAGTCAGGGAACTGCCACAGACCCTTGCCTAACACAGCCAGGCGCGGGAGCTGCTCAGGCTTTTTTCGCTTGAGGTAAGTTTAATCTGCGATGTCATTTACAGCCGAATCATTTCATATGATCATGTGTGACATTGCACACTTTGCACACACAGTCCACCTATGGCGTGCTCATCCTGGACTTGCAATGGCAAGAACACAAGAGACCTACCCATTGTTATCAATTACATTAATTTGAGATGATTAGTACCTAAAAAGGAAAGGAAGTGTTAAGAACGCATTGAAAGCGCTTATATAGAGGATTGTTTCCTGCAAGAATCCAGGATGAAAACGCCAAAGATGGACTAGTGTGCAGTGACACACATGATCATATGAAATGATTCGACTGTACCTATATTCGGAACTAACTCGTTGAATTTTCCGACGGGAATTCAAATAAATGCATTGTCACAACATGATGAGACACGTATATATACCTGTGCGAGAAAAGCTTTTTTGACTAGCCTCTAAGGCCCCGGTCAGACTTCACGCGACTTAATCGTCGCGACCAAATCGCCAAGATTTCCATTCATTTTCATTTCACATTCAAAAATTTCGGTCTGGAAAAGTATCACAACCGAATGCAAGTTGATCTGCATGGAATGATGTTGTAACAGTTGTCTCCTCGCGATTCAGTCGCGACGATCAAATCGCGTGAAGTCTGCCCGGGGCCTAAGACGTTGAAGGCGATGGGGGTTTTGGGATTTCAGTACCATGTGAGAGTGCCCCCCCCCATCCCCCCTCAGACATAACACCGCGCAAGTGCGACGTCATAACGCTCGACCTAAAGCAAGAAAAACGACCGGAAAGTGGGTAAACTTAGGGTGGGGTTCTCCGACCTGTTTGAATTCCTACTATGTGGCAGGGTGCGCATGCCGCACAGTCAAAATCGTATGTCCCGCAGCGACTTTTCGTATCAGCCTCGGCGGGGACCGCCGAATTTCAAATTGTAAGGCTTTGAAAAACGAATTTTCTCGCCGTTTTGCGCTTTCTAGTTTGGATTTTCGGATTCAGCGTTGCGGATAACCCCCGATAAGTGAATTTTCCAGAAATCAAGTTTTTGCCCACATGCTGCCTTTAAGATCAATGATGAATGTGTGTGCTTTGCGTTTTCGCATATGTGCGTCCCAACCAAACCTATACGAGCGAATACTATGCACACATCAACTCCGCCTAAAAGAAATTCTCAACTGGGAACGATTCTAACTCAAAGGCAGCGTCCAGGCAAATCTGGAGCCATGGGATTTCGAATGGAGACTGATAGGGGGTCCTAACCAGGGCCCGACACGAGTCCCTTTCTAGGCTTTTTAAAAACGAAGTCCCCCTGACTTTCGAAAATTTTACGAAGACCCCTTTGACTCTTGCTCTACCCCCCCACCCTCCGATTGGTGGCGGATCCTGGCACTTAGTTCGACAAAAACATTTACCTGCTGCGAGCTGCGAATTCGCGATTTCAGGTCAAACTCTCAAAGAAAAACTATGAAATCCATCTATTTTGATCGTTCTGTGACCATGTAGGATTTGCTTCACAAAGTCCTACATGGTCACAGAACGATCAAAATAGATCACGATCTGAAGAAAGAAGAAGAAGAAGAAAGAAAATGCAAGAAATCTTCAAAATTTTGAAGAAAAAGCTAGAGCTGAGAATGAAAATTTGAAAGGAGAGGATGCAGAAAAGTTGACGCTGGGGCGCGATATCAAATAAGGCAATTTTCAGGAAAAAAAGAGGATAAAAAACGACGGACAGATGGTGATATGAAAATGTTTCTATGCTCAGGGATAGATTCTTGGCCGAGGCATTCGTCCATGCTAAAAAGATCTAAAACTTATGGTTCATTTTTAAAATTGTGACGACGAGTTGACTGCGGTCTTTCCACACACAGAAGGATAAAACACTCATACAGACAAGCAACACCTCAACGCTAAGCTCAGTCATTTCCAGTGCCTGAATACTAACATATGTAAGCAGAAAAACTATCTGAGTAGCGATAGAAACCAAGAATTGGGAGTGCGTGCGTGTTGCGTGCGGTCGCGCCATCGTCACGATTTTTCGAATGCCCTTTATGTGAAGTGACGGAAATATATGCACCAGAAGATCTCAGATCGTCTGGTGGCCGTCTGGAGACGATCTAATTTTGGATAAGATATTACTTCACATAAGTTTTCAAATCTTTTTACATAATCCTTCCGCAAATAATTTCTAAGTATACAGTTTAATTTTGGTGTCATATAATTCTGTGTGCGCTGTAAACAAGCAATTTGTTTATTTTAGCCTTGCTTTCAAATCGCGCGCACTTTTCGCCATCCACGATAAGCGTGTCAATCGTGTGATAGCCTGTCCGATAAGCTTGTGCTCGACTGAATGGCGTTCTTTGTGCTCGGCCCCAATTCGTCGAAAACGAAATCCCCTTTGCTTTTGCTCCAAAAACGAAGTCGCCTGCTTCCAGACGATCTGTGCTGGGCCCTGTCTATTCCCAAACCCTTCGCGCCTGCGTGGAAATGGCTTTGCTCACTTTAACAGTACGTTCGCGCTGGGACCCGTCTCAAGTCACTCGCGAGTACGGCCACGGCGCTTGCGGGCGGATTTCTCAGCCGTGAATGAATCATTTGCACTGCCTTTTAAGCAGTGTCTTAGCTAGGATCCCCTCTTCACTTTCCATGCAAAAAACCCACACGCTCAGGTTTGCTTGGACGCTACCTGGCTCGGCAAATTCTCAACTTGAAGGTTTTTCGCTTACCTGGGGTAATTCGAGGCATTGATTCCGAAAATATGCCTTGGAGAGCGTGAAAATGGCGAAAACCAGCACTTTTTAAGGCCCCTCATTTTGAATTTGGACGAGTGGAACCGTCCCGCCATGGTCAGAGCCGTAGAGTCGTCGCGGGACCCTCATGTCTATAGCATTGTAACATGGCGCTCTGACGATGGGAAGGGAAACGCAAGCTCGCGGAACGCGTATAAGAATGGCTTGCGCGCATGGGTTTAGGAGCAGTTTTCTAGGAAGGGCTGCATGTTGTGCGCTCGGGCCTGCTCTGTCCTCATGTTTGGGATGCAAGCAACCTTCCATATCGAAATTTCGATATGTTTGTTTTTGCCGAGCCACTGCTTTCAAAGGTAGCGTACACCCAGAATGTTAGTTACCCAATTCTCTAAACCGCGTATATCTAGGGCCCAGAAGAAGACCAACTGCGTTGGTCCGGTTTCCCAATGTTGCTTCTGAGCGGTTTAAATCCGCCTGAGTTTTCTTTCATTCCGCCCCTTTTCTTTCACTCCGCCTCATTCGGACGAAATCCACACGTTAGCGTAAGCTACAGTTGCCGTTGCAGTTGCAGTTGCAATGCTGTTGCAACTGAACTGCAATTGCAACAGTGCAGTTGTTTTTTGCGGTCCGCCTCATTCGGACGACGAGTTCACGACAACACATGCTGCAGTACTCTTGGAGGGTTTCAATGTCATTTGTTGATGATTTCTATATCATCAACCTAATCAATCCATTTTTCCACATCGCCTATGGGATTCCCATAGGCTCAATTGTACGCCATTCATTCTTGAGTATCTAATCACTCAAGAATGATTGGCACCTGTGCACCAGGAGTGTGGCCGAACGGCGGCAACTCCTTTTAAGCCATGTACCCCTTCTACGTTGTACTTTGTACCCGGGCAAGCTCCGCCTCGTATCCGTGTATATAAGGAGCCTCCGACTGTATTATAGACTCTTCTCGAATAATCTACGCCCGTGCGAATAAACCTTATTCCACAACTCGTCTACCCCCTAATCACTTGGTACCCACCAAATTGGTGCATCGGCCAGTGATTTTCCTTGCATTTCTCGGCGAATCCTCCTAAGGACACGAGAAATCAAGGCCTAAGACCCGCGTGGCAGGCTCTACTATAGCCAATATTCGACTCTCGTGATTGCTGGTCCACCACTCTCACGATCAAGAGTCTTACTAAGTTGTCAGGTCCTATCCACAACTTAGTAGAGGTTTCTAGCTAACTGAATGGTTCACCACAGTTAGCGACAGACTCCTCGCACTCTCGGCTACTAATTAGCCAATATTCGACTCTAGTGATTGTTGGTCCACCACTTTCACTAATACGAGTCTTGCGAAGCTATCAGGTCATATCCATAGCTTAGCAGAGGTTTTCTAACTAACTGACTGGTTCACCACAGTTAGTACAAGAACTCCTCGAAACTTTTGGCTTTCCTAAAGTCAAAAAAGGACTCTGTGATTGCTGGTTCACCACTTTCACAAACAAGAGTCATCTTGCGAAGCTATCAGGTCATATCCATAGCCTAGCAAAGAGGTTTTTCTAGCTAACTGACTGGTCCACCACAGTTAGCAACAGAAATCCTCGAACTTTTTTGGCCTCAACCAGCCAAAAAGACTCCGTGATTGTTGGTTCACCACTTTCACAAACAAGAGTCATCTTACGAAGCTATCAGGTCATATCCATAGCCTAGCAAAGATTTTTCTAGCCAACTGACTGGTCCACCACAGTTAGCAACAGAAATCCTCGAACTTTTTTGGCTTCCATTAGCCAAAACACTCTGTGATTGTTGGTTCATCCACTTTCACAACGAGTTTCATCTTGCGAAGCTATCAGGTCATATCCATAGCTTAGCAAGGAGATTTTCTAGCTGACTGACTGGTCCATCCACAGTTAGCAAAGAAATCTCAACTTTCCAAGCTCTTTCACGATTGGTTCACCGATCTTGAGCTTTGGATCGTTACATTTACGGGACAGGTTCCAACACCTTACCGTCCAGTACAGCGTACAAGCCAACCAGGCGCGCTTGCTGACAGCTAGTAGACGCTCGGCACCCACTTGCCAGCTCACTAGAAAGCTTCCTTGCAACCAGTAAGGACAGCTATCGTATCGAGGCCAGCCCTGCTGTCGCCCTCAAGCCAAAGCGATCAACACAAGGAGGATACACACTTCCAAATTGTAACGCTTGGAATTACCACACCAGCGCACGACTCTACCCAGTGCAGCAGAAAAGAAAATGGCATCGCTCCAGCTTTTCAAGATCAGGATTAACAACGCCTGCAAACTCGTGAAATCCCACGAGTCACAAGTCGAAAATATTGATGTCCCCTTCACATTCCCCACACTGAAAGAAGAATGTGAACAGTACATAAAAGAGAAAACGGGACTGATAACCAATCTTCTCAACTCTCTACACAACGCAGTGAAGCTTCAAGAGACGCAAATCAACTCCGCGATTGAGTACATTAGCGCACGGAATGAGGAAAAAGAAAGAGACAAACTGATGATGGAGCTCAGCAAGCACCTAGAGATGGAGTCACTTGAACTGGAAGTGATTGAAGTGCAGTGGCGGACAAGGATAGAGTTCAGGCAGCATGAACTGAAAGAACAAGACGCACTACTGCACTGCGATGCTCCGAGCATACCGAGTCAACCAAGTAGTGATAATGGACAAGCTTGGATTCTAGAACGTAATGAAAGGCAGATCAAAATTCGAAAACCTCTGCTGGAAATTCCTACGTTCTCAGGCAATTTCCGAGAATTTAATAGCTTTTGGACCGTCTTCGAATCTCTCATCCACACTGACGAGGAACTATCGGATACAGACAAATTCCTGTTTCTAAAACAAGCGCTAAAGGGAAAAGCAGCAACCACTCTCAGCTGCATTCCCGTCATTGGAGAAAAGTATGAAACAGCGATAGATATCCTGAAAAAACATTTTGATCGCTCTGCCAACATGGCAGACATACTCATAAACGAGATCGAAAAACTTCCGAGGGCGTCAGATAACCCGAAAAGTTGCCGAGAAACCTTTGAAGCAATCAATTCGAGAATCATTCATCTTGAACAAACGGGAGCAAAGATGAACGCAGACAGACTTTGGCGTCGAGTGATCTTCTCCAAATTTCCCGAATCCATCTGTACAACCGCCATCCAAAAAGAAGCAATACAAGATGATTCCTTCAATGTTAGTGAAATCCTGGAAGCTATCGACAGCATAATTTCACTACGTGAAACGACTTCGCTCACAACTGAGACCCTTTTCCCAACCAGCCATCGCCAGGACACTCATCAAAATGGAAGGAACAACAGAACAAGATGGGAAGAGGAAAGACAGTTCTCGAAACCAAGACGCTTGTGCTTATGTGGACAACCACATTCCCCTTACACCTGTCAGAAATATACCACACCGGAAGCTCGACGCCTCGAAGCGAGAAATCAAAGGGTGTGCTGGAGGTGTTTTGCTAAGAATCACAATTCCAAAGACTGCCCGAATACTGGAGTGTGCCCTAAATGCAAAGACTCGCACCATGGATCTCTTTGCCTCTCAGATGCAAAGAAGCAAGACAGTGGATACATAGCAGCAACACGCCGACCTGCAAATGTGGGAAGGCAACCGCCACTACCAAGTCGATCACAGCAACACTCCAGCCAACGGAGTCGACCACCGATAAACGTACGAGTTGCGCAAAACTCACAAAATGGATGTGAAAGCTACATTGCAGACAAAGCTCCAATCGTTCACAATCAGTGTGTACTCCAAATCGCAACAGCGATGATTTTCAATGAAGAACTATGGGACTACCAACCGATCACAATACTACTCGACTCAGGAGCGCAAAGAAGTTTCATCAAGTCACACCTCAGCGAAACATTCAAGCTTCCAATAGTCCGAACAACGTCATTCACCACATCCGGAATGGGTGAACTGCAGGAAGTCTTCGACTCCCACGAGGTGCTGATCACTTTGAAAAGTTTGCGAGGTCCTAACAAATTGAAGAAGATGGCCGTACACACGAAGCAAAAACTCACCACCAGTTTGGACACGGCACATCTCACTGACGCCGATCTTCAGTTCATCTCAATCAAAAAACTGGACATAGCACAACAAACGCTCGCAAGAACTAGCGTGTCGCCTGATATTCTCATTGGCCAGGACATCCTCAATACGGTCATAGATCACAGCACGCCAGTACTGACGCTTCCTTCGGGACTAATCCTCACCCCTACCATCTTCGGTTACACTATATCAGGAACGAGCTTGGTCACAGCAACAACAAGCACTACTGAAGTCTATGGAAGCTCACTAGTGGTTGCAACTCCAACAGTTTCACCAAGGGAAGATTACAAACAGGACATCAAACACCTCTATGAGCTCGAATCTCTTGGTTTGAAGACCGAAAGCGATCCCGATGAAGCATCCATAATCAAGTTCATGGATACCTACAGAAGAACAATCATTATCAAAGAAGGCACAATCACAGCAGGATTCCCCTTTAATGAAAACGTCAGCAAACTCAAAGACAACTTCAACATTGCCTTTCGCCGCCTACAGGCACTCCTTCGAACTCTTCGAGGTAATGCAAAAAAGCTTCAACTTTACAACACTACGATCGAAGACTACACCAGGGAAGGAATCATTGAGGAAAGTAGCTCACAACCAACTGGAGTAACTTCATTTTACCTTCCACATAGACATGTCTGGACACCTGGAAAGACAACCGAACTTCGAATTGTCTTCGATGCTTCATCTCACGGAAGAAAAGAGCTGAGTCTCAATGACGTCATATTTGAAGAACACGCCCTCACACCCCTAATCCATGAAGTTCTACTGCTGTTCCGCACGTACAAACATGCAATGGTGGCTGACATCCAAAAGGCTTTTCTACAAATACGTCTTCCCGAAAATCATCGAGATGCAACGAGATTTCTGTGGATCAAGAACTTGGATACACCACCCGAAGGCGAAAACGTCAAGTACTATCGCTTCTGCGGAGTACCTTTTGGAGTAAATGCAAGCCCAGCCATATTGAATCAGTCTATACTCAAGCACATCGAAGAGGAGGATACCCCAATTGGAAAGGAACTATCCAAATCTCTGTATGTCGACAATGTGCTACTAGAAGGCAATAATCCGCAAGAACTAATCGAGAAATACACTTCTTCAAAACAAGTGTTCTCTTCCATCGGCATGAATCTTCGCGACTACTTGTCAGATTCTGCTGAAGTGAACGCACAAATCAAGGACGTGGATAGAGCAACAAACTGCGAACTCAAAGTGCTCGGAATCAAGTGGAAAGCTGACGATGACACCTTGATCATGGAATGTGCAGACAAAGAGCTGGTCAAGATCACCAAAAGATCTGTACTCAGCCAGATAAACGGATTCTGCTTCGACCCACTCGGACTACTCACACCACTGATGATACCGGCAAAGATATTCCTACAGGATATACACAAGCTAAAGTTAGGATGGGACACCATTCTTCCTGAGGAGCAAATTCAACGATGGAAGGCCATCCAGGGTGACATCGTCGGATTCAAGAAAGCCATACCACGCACAGTGCTTAACAAGACTACCGAGGCCAAATATATGCTTTCTATATTTGTTGACAGTTCCAAGCGAGCTTACGCTTGCTGTCTTTATACGACTACATCAGCGAAGAATGGTATGAAGAACACATCACTCTTTACGGCAAAAGCGAAAGTGGCACTCAATATTCCTCGGACTATCTGTAGCCGAAACAACCATGTCAAAATGCAGAATAAACTTCACAGAAGTCAACCTCTTCAGCGACTCAACGATCGCACTATCATGGATAGCTAGCAGCAAAAAGCTTCCACCGATTGTAACCACACTGGTTCAAAAAATCAGCGTCGCCGCAGAAAGGATCAGAGAAATAGCCAAACTCAACTTCTTCCACGTCCCAACAGAAGAAAATGCAGCGGATTGCGCAACACGAGGAATCAACAAGCAAGAATTCACCGCTTGCAGATGGTGGAAAAGACCAAGTTGGCTCAATCACCCCAATAAAGAATGGCCAGTACGTCCCATCAGTGACGTCAAAGACAGTGACGATGACGAGTGCGAAATGCTCACTCATCAAACTACTGAAGATCTTAGCAAAAGCAGTTCTGATTGGCCAGTCGCTACGATAAGCAGCTACCCCAAATTGAAGCGAGTTGTGGCATACTGCCTGCGTTTCATCCGCATGGCAAGCAAGAATAGCCGCTTCAAAATGGCAGAGGAAGATCGAGGGACATCACGATTACCGAACGTAGCCGAGCTTATTCTCGCTGAAAAACATATAGTCTTGCAAGAACAGCGGACCTACGGGACGGCTCTGGTCTCAAAAAACAAGCAGTTCAAAACTATATACGACAAAGAAGGAATCCTACGAAGGTGCGGACGCATACAACATGCTCAAATCCAATCGGACATAGCCAATCCCATGTATATACCGAAACAAAGCTTACTGGGACTTAGGATCGCCGAAAACACTCATCGACACTTGGCTCACTGCGGAAGCAACCAGCTTTTATGCGAGCTTCGACAACGATTTTGGATACCGAGAGACAGAGTGCTCTGCAAGAAAGTCCTGCGAACTTGCACTATTTGCAAGAAATTCAATTCGTCACCATTCACGTATCCAGATATGGGCCCTCTTCCAAGAGAAAGAGTTACTCAAGCAAAACCATTCGCCTACACAGGAGTCGATTACATGGGACCGATACTGATCAAGGTGCCAAATGGACAAGATGAGAAGCGCTACGTTGCACTATACACATGCTTAGTCACTCGGCTGATACACCTGGAAGTGGCTACAGACCTCTCTGCAAAAAGCTTTCTCCTCACATTCAAGAGATTCATCGCACGACGAGGAGTACCGGAAAAGATCATTAGCGACAATGGAACCAATTTCCGCCTCAGCGAACTGATACTCAGCAACAACGTCAATAGTGATGAATCCGACCACTTATCACTATACCTCGCCGAACATCGCATCAGCTGGTACTTCATTCCTCCAGCTTCACCATGGATGGGAGGAGTGTGGGAAAGAATGGTTGGACTAGTGAAAAGAGCAATGCAGAAGACTATCGGACGACGGAAATTAACAGACGAACTTCTTCAAACGTCCTTATGTGAAATCGAAAGCATCGTCAACTCAAGGCCATTGACTCACATAGGCGAAGACGACTCTTCTTGCCAAGTCTTGAGACCAGTGGACTTCATCTATAAGGACGTTCGGCTCGGGAGCACTCAACTCACACCCGCCGACGACGATCAACAGGATCCAGATTACCGGATAGGTTCAGAACTCTCATCACAAAAGGAAGCCAAAACAGCTCTTTTGGAGACCGAGAAGATAACGAAAAAGTTCTGGAGTATTTGGAAACACGACTACCTCCTCGAACTTCGCGACCGCCACCATGTCTTCAAGAATGGAAAAACCACGAATCGCAAACCAGAAGTTGGAGATATTGTGCTGCTTGACGAAGACTCTCAGTTGAACAGAGGATACTGGCCAATGGCAGTTATAACACAACTAGTGCCTAGCAGAGACGGAGAAATTCGAAGCGCGGTGCTGAGAACCGCATCAGGAAGAGAGATTCAAAGACCCCTCAATCGCATAGTTCCTTTGGAAATTCGTTTAACAACGGAAAAAGAAGAGGAAAGACAGGAAACAACGCCACAAAAAGGAGGAATAGTAGCCAAGGTGAAAAAAGCGCTCAGGAAGAAACCAACAGCAGCACCTGAACCTCGCAAGCAACCACAGAGAGCTGCAAAAAAGCCTGTAGATTACTCATCTTCTAACTCGTCCACCATAAAGAGAATCACTTCACCGATCAGCAAGTCAGTGATGATAACAATATGCCTGGCAGCTCTTCTCCTCATTGATACGGCATCCGCAAATGTGCTATCCTGCTCTGAACATGGAGTGAAAGTCAACACGACTTCGGAATCTGAGTCACAATTATGTCTCAATTATAAGGACTGTCTGCAAATCTCGACGAAGAAAGGAATGAACGAAGTAGCGCTTCCGCCGAAGTACCGCACAACAGAACATCGAGTTCAATGGCGCACCATGATCGGAGCAACACAGTACTCCGACACCACTATCTGCCCACCTAGAGACATTTGCGACATGATCAAATGCACAGTTTGTGCAGACTTGCTTCGGAATCCACACTGCGCCCCCAACACTGCGGTAGCAATCACAGCAGTTTGCGCATACCTTATGATGCTGCTCATCTGGTTCATTTGCTACACTGGACTTCAAGGAAAACGTCTTTTGTGCCGAACTAGCGAGAACGAGATGCCAACGGAAAATCCTGTTGCTCCTGCGAATGATCGACTTTCCGAGCTTCTAGGAAAACAATCCCGATCTCTACCAGTCCAATCAAAGATGATCACGTTCGTGGCTATTGCAACTTGTCTCGTCGCAGGAGTCAATTCATGCCAGTACACTCACACACTCACGTCAAGGAACACCATTTGCATGAGGATCAATAACACGCTCAACTGTCGCTACACTATCGAAAACAGGATAACCTTGAGTGAGCACCGACCTCAAGCTTGCTTCAGGATTCAACATGATAACAAGACAGTTGGCAGCATGGAGATACAACTCCAACACGTCGTACTCCAGTGCAATCCCGTAGTCTTGTTCTACACCAGAGATGCCGAGATAGTGACCGAGTCAGCAAAACGATGCCATTTCTCTGGATCATGCTCATCCAACACATGTGCTCACACTGGCCAGCGATCCTACATACCTGAACTTCACAACACCTACGAATTTCCTGGATACTCAAGGTGCACCTCGTCTTGTGGAAGCATCGGATGTGGTTGCCTTCTACCTCTACCTGGATGCCTCTTCTCCCGCTCATATGGAAAACCGCGAAGTGAAACAATTTACCAAGTGTTCCATTGCCCGACTTGGGATGAATCGGCAATCATCAAATACACTTACACAAGTGTTAATGGACGAAGAGAAACGAATATCGCCACAATCACCGCGCAGACTACTCACACTCAAAAGGACGCCAACCTAACACTGGAATTCGTAACAACGCCAACGATTCCGCTCCTGAGCTCGGTATTTTTGCAAGCCGTCAACACCACTAAAGCGGAAACTGCCTTGGTCGACAACGACGACGTATTTGCGCTCAGATGCCCAACGATGGAGAGCTCTCGAAACCTTTCGCTTTGCCATGTAGAAGACACTTGCAAATGTTACCCGACGGATGACCAGGCTAACTGTATCTGCAAGAACACGAACATCTCGGATCTGACCACATCATTGGACAGCAGACTGCCACTATCTTCCTCATTCTTACATCTACAAGAAGCTCATGGAAGAGTACTTGGAGTCAGCCACAAATCCATAGTCGACATCACTATCAGCACGACTGCGGAATGGAATACAGCAAGTGTTGTCAACAACGAAGACTGTGACATCACAGCTTCACCCATTCAAGGATGCTACAACTGCATAACCGGCGCACGACTTACCTTCTCTTGCCATTCACCGCACCCAACAATGGTGGAGATACTGTGCACGCAGAATACCTATGCGGCCTTCTGCGATCAAAACACAATGCAGACAGTTGCTATCCTTCAAGCGACCACCGCTAAATATGTCGACAAATGTTCACTGAAATGCGGAACGAAGAGCTACGTATTCAACATCTCTGGTATCCTGGCATACCACCCACACGAAAACGGAGTACTCTTCACGAATGCTAGCGAGAAAGCTTCATACGTCAACGTCTACAACTATCCCGACATTGGACACATCATCAGCGTCGCACTCTCGTCATGGAAGATGCTCGTCGTAGCTACCATCGCAATCGCAGCGGCGTTAGCCTTCACTATTTTTTGTGTCCCAAAAATTATAAAATTGTCATTGATGTGCGTGTAATTTTTTGTAATTGTAATTGATATACGATTTGATTCATCCTATCACCAATGCTTGCATTATAACGATTACATGTGTTTCATCAACTTCACCTGATTTTTTTCCCTAGTCGCCCGGAGTGTTGATGATTTCTATATCATCAACCTAATCAATCCATTTTTCCACATCGCCTATGGGATTCCCATAGGCTCAATTGTACGCCATTCATTCTTGAGTATCTAATCACTCAAGAATGATTGGCACCTGTGCACCAGGAGTGTGGCCGAACGACGGCAACTCCTTTTAAGCCATGTACCCCTTCTACGTTGTACTTTGTACCCGGGCAAGCTCCGCCTCGTATCCGTGTATATAAGGAGCCCCCGACTGTATTATAGACTCTTCTCGAATAATCTACGCCCGTGCGAATAAACCTTATTCCACAACTCGTCTACCCCCTAATCACTTGGTACCCACCAAATCATTAATCAGGGGCATGGAAGGCCCCAGAATGACAAAAACATCGACGGCGAAACTTTGGGTGTACGCTGCCTTTAAGGTGGAATTGGATTAACTCCATATCATCAGATGGTTGAGCTGATTACAAATCTAACTTTCATATTTTTAATGCCATTCTTTGGAAGAAGTTGCAAATCTGGCAAACATTTAGCGCCACATCCTTAAAGACTAGTGGTTAAAAAACACTTATTTGCGTCTTCGGTAAATTTTTGGGCCCTACAAATGTCACGCAATAGGAGACCTACTCTGCGCGCTATTGCGGGGGCTTGGCGTGGTGTCCAGGGATATGATGCAATTCCTTTATTGAAGAACAATCCTCCAGGCGATCGTCGCGACCACGTCTCCTCGACTTGGCTCCTCGATTGAGATACGACCGCACTCCTCGTAGCACGATGTAGAGGCTGATTTGAGCCAAGCGGAGCCGCCTTATATAGCGGCCGAGAAGATGTGCATGCGCGCCCGATCGCGTGGTCTCGACACGAAACAATCAAAACATAGTAAAACCATTGAAACACCAAATAAACACATACAAATCGACTAAGGAGGACTAGATAGACACAATAGACAACAATAGAAGTACTAAAGAAGCCCTGCGACTTTACACAAATCAATACACTCAGTATCTTGTTAATCATGCACTTTTAAGTTCATATTAAAGCTCACCATGCGTTGGAAATCTACTGACTTCACATATTTAACCGCACCCAAATATGTGAAGTTAATGGAGCTCTAATGCACGTGCTTTATCGAACTTGGAAGTGCATGACTAGCAAGATATTGAATGTACTGATTTTAAAGGATGTTTATAATTAGGAGACGCGATAAGTTTTCAACCGCTAGATCTTGAGAATGTGGAGCTGAGTATTTGCCAAATTTAGACATTAAAACGCTTGCAACTTCTTCCAAAGAATGGCATCGCAAATATAGAAGTAGGTTTGGAATCAGCTCAACAAGACTCATCTGATGACTGTGGCTCATTCCAATTGGCTTCTTTAAGTTGGGATCATTACCTTGTCAGTCTCACTTTCTCACATTAATAACTTAAAGTAAGTATTTGCAAACGGTCTGCGATTTCGCCACCGCCGCTGTCAGATATCTTTAAATCGAACATGGCAGACTACAAATGCATAGCGTATGTTTTCAAATGGTAAATACCCTTGGCTTTTGTGTATCTAGAATCCGTTTAGGAGTCAGTGATAACTGAAGTACTGCCACGCGTTCCGACTGAATCGCGTGAAGTCTGCTAGAAAGCTTTCGTGTAAGTCTAAATATTTTGCACAACTTCAGGGAGTCAACGAGATTTTCTAAAGATTTGCACCAACAAGGTGTCGAACCTACATTTCTGAAACTGGATCAGAAGCTCCTTGAGTTCCTCAAAAACACTTTTGGTGAGCGTTGCATTTTGCAATGGATGAGCAAAGTACTCACTATCTGGAATAGTAGCAATGTCTTTGATTGATGTAGTGTATACGTCTTGCTGAGGTTTTCCCGGAGATGTTGTTTGCGATCCTGAAAACGTAGAAGATTCCTGATATCGTATATTCACAAGTAAGCTTCCGAAAGACCTGCGTTAACAGTTTCGCTTTCGGTTACGGGCAAAGTTGTTGATCCAGACATCTGCAACGAATTTTGAGAACCATGAGCACGCAGATGAAGAGTAACACACCGTTTCGTGAGAATTGAGCTTTGACTGAACCAGTCCATTCAGTTATTTTCCATTTATACCTTTCATATCAGTCATCAAAACAGCATTAGATTTAAGTGAGGTTTATTCGCAGATCACACTTGCCTTAATCGAACTCTGTATATAGCCTTCCTAGAAGTTCGTTCCCCTTTCTGTGACTTTACAAAACTCTCCCACATTTTAGAAGTGAATCTGCTAATGCGTAGATAGTCGAAACGTCCGCCTTTATGATTGAAGAGTAGAACTTTACTCTGTTTACTGTTGCTTATTTGTAACTAGCTGGCTTACCCGGCTCCGCCGTATGTTCCGAATAGAAAATTCCATTTTTTAACCGATCCAGACCAAACTTGGCACACATGCACTTCGGGCCCCGGCGGGTGTCACAGTCCACTTTTCGTTATCGATCGATGTCGATTTTATCAATTTTTTTGCAAAATTTGAGCTAGGGGGCTGAAAATTGGCAGAGGGGTGTAATCGAGCATGCTGATCACCCCCACGGGGGTGATTAGCATGCTCGATTACCCCCCCCCCCTGTGCCAACTCCCAGCCCCGTAGCTCGAATTTTGCAAAAAATCGATAAAATCGATATCGATCGATGACGAAAAGTGGCCTATGACACCCGCCGGGGCCCGATGTGTATGTGTGCCAAGTTTGGTCCGGATCGGTTCAGAAATGGAATTTTCTATACGGAACATACGTACAGACATACAGACAGACATACAGACATACAGACAGACATACAAACAGACATTCAGCTTTATATATAAGATGACGAAAAGTAGCCTATGACACCCGCCGGGCCCGAAGTGTATGTGTGCTAAGTTTGGTCCCGATCGGTTCAGAAATGGAATTTTCTATTCGGAACATACGTACACACAGACAGACAGACAGGCAGACAGACAAACAGACATTCAGCTTTATATATAAGATTTAAAGGCGATTTTGACACATGGTAATGCATCTTTTCGATGATGATTGACAGCAAGGATGTGCTAAACTTAAGACATAGATGAGTTTGTCTACTAAACCCTCTTCTTTTTTGCAGGACTGTCAAATGAGCAGACACGAACAACGCTGATCAAATAAAACTTTTATTTTGATCTTGTTGTAGATCAACGCTTATAATATGGGCTATAAGACCAATCCAGTAAACTGCGTCTGCCAAGTAAAAGAGATGAGACAGTGTGCAAAAGCGGCAAAAAAACATAGATGTTGTATTAGTACTTCTTTTGGCTGCCTTCCCTCTATCATGAGTTATTATGAATAACCGATGCTAATTAGTGAAGCGCGATTGTCATACCCGCGGACACACGCCAGTGAAAGATCCGTAGATTCCGAGGGTGAGAGGGGCGTGACCCAAAGGCTCTTTAGAGATCGATTTGGATCCGGCGGGGTGGGTGTGACCATATATACCCAGTGGACAGACAACGATGAGAGATCGGAGTCTGAGACAGAGAGAGAGGCGGAGCCCTGACTAAGGTGGTCCACGCATACAATTTGAGCCTAGAATAAGTAGTATCATATTGTGCCTTGACCAACACTGGTCACTACGCCTTCGCCTTTTTTTCATCATCTTGTCATCTGTTTTCTTTACTATCATCTTGCCTTTGTTCTTTTTCCTAAAAATCAGTTGCAAATAAAACTTATTTGCATTTTGTGTTTGTTGTTCACTTCAATAGTCGGATTCGACCATTGATATCGTTCGTATTTTATAAGTAGAAGAAACTGACTAAAAGATGCTTTTGAGAAACCAACTTATGAAACACAAGCTCGTCTTTTTTTGCTCAACAGCAATAAGCAAAAATGCTCTATTGCGGAGCCCAGATTGGAGAAGATCGACGAACAGCTGTTTGCAGCCGAGAAATCTAGAGACTAAAGCAAATTTCCTTGTTTTCCAGAATGTGCTCCTATTCTGAGATGTAAGTTAAGAATTATTCATTCAATTTCGTTTTATTTCTTTATGTGCTGGACAAAGATCTTGATGACGATCAGCATAAAATTCTATTAGGTTAAAAACTAAGCTGTGCAATTTCCCTCATAACTTTACTCTCTTTGGATGTTGCGCGCTCAAACTTTGGCAATATGTAGAACGTAACGCGTTCTACAATTATACAGGAACTATTTGATGTTGAACAAGAGTTAGAAAACTTCGAGGCTTTTTTTGAAAAACTTCGGGAATTGTTGGGGTTGTAAGCCAAAATAAAGCCGTCACCAACCTAAACCATGCGCAATAATCCGACATTGTGTGAACTATTGCAAAGGATTGATAAAAAAAGAAATATTTGAAAATAACATGAGATTTGACATCCTCACAAAGTTGAATGAGCGCTGTACGCAAGACTGCTGCAAACAACCGTCAGTGGCTACAGATTCGGAACTTGAAAATTAGCCGAGACTTCGCGTGTTGGGTTATCGGACCTGACAAACACATATCATATTTATTTGTTGAATCAACGCCTTTTTTCTTGATCAGGGTGAGACCTTAAACCGTAAACCTACAATAAATAAACAAAAAAGCTCTTACATGCAATTTTAGTATCCTTTTCTCAGCATATGGAATAATCCCTATGCCAAGTTCTAGTAAATCTGTAAAATTTTATGATTTTTCTCCTTGTACCATGTACCTACTGTAATCTCACTGCGACGTCGGGATTTGGCAGTAGAGGAGCTGCGTTTGTTGCTTACGTCACGATCTACACAATGTCCAAATTTGAGTGCGCCATGTTAAAAAAGGAGAAAATTATTGAGAAGGCTGCAAAACCTAAAATTAGAAATTGTCGTTGACTTAGCAAAACAGTGTCACAAGCTGGTCTCGTATGCTCTCAACTAAGCCTAGTGAGGGGTGGTTAGCAATTTCAAATGTGCAGATTCATCTTGTAGGCAGAAAACCCAAAACCACACCCAAAACTAATTAATATCGCAAACTCAGCAGCAAAACTATCTTGGTACACTCTCTGTCTGCACATCCAAATAGCACAAAAAGGTCTATCGTAGTTGACATGTATAAAGCAGCTTTGCGGATATGTTTAGGCAGCCACGAACGATCGTAGTCCATCGCCTTGGCAAAGATCGTGGCTTCCAATGGTTATGCTACTCGTAAGCACCACTTTTAATTACTTGGGTTTTATCCAAAGTTTTTTTTATTGAGTACTACTCGAAAGTGACAAGCAAGCATTAATGCACTGGTTTTGCAAGCTAAACATTTTCTAGAAAGATAATTTTGCAGCAAAAAACAAACATCGAAAAAAGACAGGACAAGTCAGTACTGATGCACGAGGAGCTGTGAGCATTACAATATTGCAGATCAATCAACAACCATAACCAGAGTGAATGAATTGAATTAGCAATATACCATTGATAAGAGATCATAACAAGCATTCGTTGAGCAACACCGTCCTCAGCAAGAACAGATATGGAAGGTAATTCAATGCAGAGCAACACTTTCTGAGATTATGCTAGAATAGTGTGCAAACGAAATCATTGCGTAAATGTGAAATGCACATATCGAAAAGCCAAAGCTTTACGTGCGTATAGTGAAGTGGTGTAAGAGAATGTGGGTCAATGCACCCATATCTACCCCAAGGAAAAGTACACACATGGGCAGCTCCCAATCTGTACTGATTGATATATCATCGACTCTTAGATTCGTACGTAGGCGGGTTGCGGACTTTCCCTGATCACAAGGATAAACTTGCTGAACCTCCACGATACAGCATCGTTTTTTTGTACTATCTCATTTGCTTTATCCTTATAACTAGGGGAAGTCCGCAATTCGCCTCCACACAAATCTGAGAGCCGATCATACATTTTCAAAATGTAACTCTGCTTCAAAGACAAGCGCACATCGCTTTATATGTACCCTGAAATCTCATAGATAGGGCCTCCCATTAGATGAGTCCCTCTGCACATAAGCTCGGATTTATCTTGCAGTCTTCGGACTTATCTGACAAGATTTTAGGGTAGTTATAGTCTGAAAAGGACTTGTATCTGTAAGGCGGATTTATCTGAGGACCTTATCTGAGTCAAAAAAGCGGACTTATCTGTAAGATGTTAGGTTAAATAAATCATTAGCAGGAGGCCGTGTCAGCTATTCAAAACCTTATGTAGCTGTGCAAATCTCCATTTTAGAATTTTCAAAGCAGCATAGTCTTTTATCTGTTGTATATCCATCAGCTATGTCATCACAGGGCGTTGGAAAAAAAAGACGTATCACTTTGTAAAATTCTTTTCAGGCTGTTTTGCTTCAGCGGTAAAATGAGACATGTGGCATTTTCGCCAACCGTTATCAATTTTTTGCATTTTATTTGATTGCACTCAAAAATTCTTTTATTGCTAACAGCACCATGGATGAGATGGGGATAAGGGTAGCGAGGCATCATTAGGAATAGCGGAGGTGTTTTGCGTCCTGTGGCGGTTAGTTTCCCACGCAATTTGCACTTTGAAAAAAATCAGAGCTATAAAAAGATTTGAAAATGGCGAAAATATGCGAGTCGAAATTTGCCCGGGCGCTGCCTTCAAGGTATATCAAGGCAGCTGCATGACGAAGGCGTACAAGCAAAATTACTTGAGCGGGCGCGAACGCTGCGCGCGCGTATCTCTACCGTTGTAAATCCTGCGCCCAATGCGCTCCGCAGCTAATGAAACCGCGTTCGCGCCCAACGATATTGCGCCTTTGTCATGCAGCAGCTTATACACTCATCATTGTTGATTCAGACTGTACTGCAGAGAATCTCCTTACATGAAAGTACTTTTAGGTCTGTAACACGACACCTAACCTTAAATGGACTGCTTTCTAGGTATGATGTATGTGGCTACACTTAGTGCTCGACGTCTTCAATATGCTCTACGGACATGCAGCTCTTTTACTTCGCGGTCGAAGAGGCAGTCGAATGCGCGCGAGCCTTTACAATGTCTTGCGGGGACCAGCCGAATTACCAAGTCAATGCTTTTGCCCTCCCATAGGTTACTCTGATCTGCACGAACTTGCCCGAGCTAAACGCCCGCGAGCGTGTCTCTTGCGATCTAACATTGGCATTCGCGCGCATGAATCATCACAGCGCCCGTACTCGGAGGCCGCGTTGCAGGCAGCTCGCGTGCTTTCAGCCTACAGCGACTCGATTCCGTGCAGTCGACTTTACCCATTCAACATCTCCGAAGGGCAAAAGGCTTGGTTAGCGCAGGGGCGGAATGACCTTTACCTGGTCAAGAGCCTCCTCAAACCACTGGGGACGCGCCACTTGTTAGTGTTGAGCGTTTCTAAATATGCATTCCTTTAGTTAGCTGCGCACTGTTTTTTTAGAAAAACTAACAAGTCTGACCATGTTGACACAGCATTTGGTTTGGCCTTTGGAACCGACTGCACAATCACCGCGCAGCCAGGATTTTTCATAATAAGGCCACTCTTTTCGATACGTGCATTTAGTTTCAGAGTAAAGCCTCTTGATCTCTAGCATCGAACTGCATTGAAACAGCACCTATATGTGTATGAAAGAAATTATATATGAACTGAAAAAGGCACGAAAATGAAATCGCGTTACAGAGCGGACCTTGACTGCGAGATATAGGATCTGTTACTTCTTTGAGTTCAAAGCTATTCTGAAAGGTAGAGAAATGGCTACATATCTTACACAAGAGATTGTTATTTTTTGTTTTGGCATCATTGATGAAGTAATTTTCAGAACTTTCAAATTAATTTCTCCACGAAAGAACCCACCAAATGGTATCCATTTTCCCATGTAAATCTGCTCTACGCAGCGACGTAACAGAACCTTATAAAGTCCTGTGCTAGATAGGGATGATGTTGAGGCGGACGCGACCGCGCTCGCGAGGGCGGTCGCAATCGGCTCGCGCGCCGCGTTACGCCCCATCTTTGCTCAGCAAAGGACCTTACATCTTATGAAATGCCCTATTTTCATTATTTCAAGCTAACTAGGGCTACCGTCGTCTGAAACAGATCGCAGTCAAAGTTCGCTCTCTAATTGTCATCGAGGTGCACGTGGTGGAAGTCCACGATTCAGTCGCATTGGCGGCAGAGAGTCCAAGTCGCTGCGCGAGAATCGCGGCATGCGATCGAGTTGATCAAAGGATCGCTGCCTTCGATCGCCGCGATCCAAGCCGCCAGCGTCATGATTCAGGTAGACATCGGTGCGAAGTGCGCGTTGCGTCTTGCCGTTCGCTACCGCACGTCGCTCACGCATCATTTTCCGTAATCGTCGTCTTTTACGGACTTGGTCGCAGCAAACGCATATGCACACAACGATCAGGAGTCCCACAAAACCAGCCACCGAACCAGCGATAATCTCACGGGAGTAACCTGAAGAAACTATTGTCAAGGATTACATGTACTAAAAATTCGAAATTAAATTTGCATTCACATGAGTAACTGCCAAAAAGAAAGCTGTCCGCAAATTAAAAAGGGCTCTTAGCCGTGATTTCTTATCTCTGTAATGAACATCTCATTGGCTGTGAACTCATTATCACTAGAAGATTTTGAATTTCTTTCCAAGCTCTCAATTTACCGTTTCTTATGATTTGGAAAAGACCTTAAACCTACCTTAAACCTCAACAAAATAATTTATATAACACAGGCAAATGCTATATTTCGTAGTACGCATACAAAAAAAATGACATGGATTGAAAAAGCGCTCAACCGCTCAACAGTTTGTTGTGAGAATTATCGAATAAACGGATGGATGATGTTCCTCACTTTGGCACCATTTTGAATACATCCAACGTTTTCTCACACTGTTGATCTTTTTCAAACTAGGTTGTTCCAAATATAAACTCAATTATCAAATGAATTTAGCTGTTTTGGTTTGCTAGCAGAATTAGAGTACCATTCATTAGAGCGAAGCAAGCTCTACAAAAAAAAAACACCAAAAGTCAGCCTAAATTGCAATCCAGGTAAAATCTGGAGCCAAGAATCAAAATTTTTCAACTACCCTAAAACCTCCCCTTCCAGAAAATTCCTATGGCTTCTAACTTTGTCTTTATATATTAGACGATAGTAGTACCCAAAAATGCATTTGATGGATTTTTTTTCGGGGCTCAAAATCGAAAAACAAAGATGGTCCGAAAATGCCAAAATGCCAATTTTTTCGGTTTTTTGTATAGAACTTGGTATGCGATTGTAGAGCACATACAAATTTAAAGTTTTAGGACTAACAAGTGAATGGTCAGAAGTCGAAGTGGCCAAACAAACAAGCTGTATACTATACTGCAGTGTGAAACGCTGACTTCGGATCTGTCTTTCTCAATCTGCTTATCGCTTCTGTAGACGAGCAAGCAGTTTTATTGTGGAAAAGTCGTGCATGAAAACTGTGAAATTGAGCATATTGTTGTAATTTTAGCTCAGCTTTAGGCTTTGAGAATTTGAAGTAAGTTAGCTGCATGTTTTGGCCCAGCATCAAGCTGAACGTAGCTTTGTACGGCCAAATCTTTACTTTCACGCATAATTTCTTAGCAAGATAATGGTCTTTAATGGCTTACAGCTTCGTCTAGAAAAGCGATAAGAGGTAAGGAAGACAGATTTAGAGTCAGCGTTTCATGCTGCACCTAACGGTTGCAGCTTGTCTGGTTTGGCCACTTCGATTTCTGATCATTCCGTTGTAAGTAATGCTTATAGTATACAATGACATATGAGGAAAGGGCTGGGGGCGGAGTTTGCCAATTTTGGATTACCTTTTTTCTCGCTCTCTATATGAAGAAAAAATCCAATAAACCCAGAGGCAAATTTGAGTACTACTATAACCCTGCTGTACAACAACTAAGTTGGAGATGCGTAGGATTTTTTCTCGTAAAAATCCATTTTCCTGTGGCAAATTTTTTATTCGATTTTGGCTTTAAACTTTACATAGAATGCGACTAAGGCGGAACCTTGGTGGCCGTTTTGTAGGGATTAACCTGTTCTGATGCCCTAAGTTTTATTAGGAAAACATAACATCAGCTTGAATTATTTAAAAAAGGAGTTTACTTCTGGGACAACCTAATAGAACATTTGTAAGAATATTTGTATTATCTTATGGCTACTTAGAGTGTGAATAGGAACGTATAGAATCGAATGTAGAAGTTACTAAAATTTCGTTCTCACCTGTAGTGTTACCCGTTACCAAACTAATAAGTAATTCAATTTCTTGTAAAATAGCTTGCGAGAGATTAAAATTGTTTCTCTCACAATGTTGTTCATCGCTGTAATCTCCTTCGACGCAATTTTGCACACCATTGCAGACCAGCGATGAATGTATACAGAGCTGCGGTCGCGTCACGCAAACACCTTGATCCTACAAAAACGATGATCATTTAGCAGAAAAAGTATAAACGGCCATCTTACCTGCTCTACGCATATTTGGCCCCCTTTGCAAGTAAATTCGGTGCAGGTCCCGTAGTGAATCGAATCCGAATCCTCTTTGCGTTTCGATGTCGACAGAGCTGATGAGCCAGGTGGAGTTTCATCAAAGAGACCTTCTACGGCCGTCCACACCAACTTCAAAAAATCAGTATTTATTTTTAATAAACTTTATAGCGCAGGAAAAAAGTTCGTACCTTGAATCCAACTCGTTGACCAGCAGTGGATAACGATGGCCTATCCTTGGTGTTCAATCTGAACAATGAAAATCAGAAAATCCTTTTTTTCTCTGAAGCCTATCCCTCAATTTTTTTTCCAGCGCATCGCCCAAATGAAATTTTTGCAGCCGTGCGAGTTTGTGCAATGTCATCAATCATATGGCTTATACAGCATCTAGCTTCTCCCTTCAGAAAGCTTGGAAGAATCAATTCATCATCGCCGAAGCGTTCGAAAAAAGTGGGCAGAAGGAAAAGGATTAGGCGTTTGTTTCTAGAATCTACTGACATACTCTCAGTAGAATTAAATGACATTCGTTCGTTTAATTTTTTGTGTTTCGAAATGAAACCGGAAATGGTATACTTATTTATTACTTATAGCTCATTCCAATTATATTGGGTTGAGCAAAACTACTGGAAAGATTATGAACTGAAAATAAAAAGACATTAATTTGCTGCTTTTCTGCATGTGCCTGGATGCAGTCCACGATTGAAAAAAAGAAACCTTTTGTTGCAGGGGGATGAAAATCAGAAAAGCATTTTTTCACGAATATGTCGCTCGAAAACTTCTGAGCTTTCTTCCTCACATACAGAAAAAGAGTAAATCAGTAGAAAAAAAGTATATTAGTATCAGAAATGTGTTTATCAAGATTCGTTTTAGCCATAATCGAATAAAAATTCAAAAATTTGAATTTATACGATTTTTGAACGCAAGAGAGAGGAGCTAAAATAAGTTTAATTCATTTTGTTGAAAAGTAAGTAGCTGTATGCATTGACATCCCGTTCGAAAAATCAAAAGAATATAAAATGTGCAACAATTATTTCTCTTGTAAATTGATTTTTGTGTTTCATGAAATGGAAATTCGCTACATAAGAAATTTCGAAACTTCTTTCTCAATCCTCCATCCATTTCGGCCCCCAGCGGATGAAGGCATTATCATATGCAAATTCCGCGCATGGTTGTCCAACATCATTGGGGCCAACCTGATTAGGGCAGCTTGCAATTCAAGCGCGCCCCCTACTTCAGCCAAGCACCTTCCAAGCATATCCAATGGATAGAGAGGGGGGATGGGAGGGGGGGGGGGAGAGAAGGGAGGGTGTTGAGTGGTACAGAGAAACTCTGTACAAGCTTGAGAATAAAGGTGAACCACAAAGACGCAGGGACATTGACAAAGGATTGAGGATGTTTTGTTAAAAAAAAAGGATGTCAGGTGCCCGAATCAAACTGGTTTATTTACTCTCTCAAAAAAATCATTTTTTTCTGCAAAAATTTCTGACTTACGTGCAGTTGTGTTGAAAGAATTTTTTAAATCATAAATGCAGCAGAATTTTTACTTAGCAAATGTATGTTTGCGAGCGATTTGCTTTGAAATTGTTATGGTAGTGCAATACCTTAATGTTGGTCGTTTATAGAGCGCTCTTGCGGTGCAGACAACATTTGCGCGTGGAAAAAGACTGTGGAGCGCAGAGCTCAGAATTGCACCTCGTATGTCATTTTCTGCGTAACTGTCGTCATAGTACCAAAAATTTATTAGAAGAATTCCTTCTGCTTTATTATAGACTATACATACACCGGATCCAAAGTAAGGTTAGATTCTAACATACCTTACAAGCAATCGGTTAGCACTGGACAAGTAACTCTTCATGCCTTCTTCCATATAGTACAGCTGACTACCACAAAACCGTGCTTCGGATGCGTCAGCACTAATGTCCTAAAAATCAACTCAGTGCTACACCTCAGCAAAAATTTCCTCGAAAATTTTTTTACCTTCTTAACCACATTTCCGTCGTGCTTATAGCCATCAATGATCGATAACGACGCTCGCTCACACTCCGCTAGAATAGAATTATTGTGCAAATTTAGAACATCAGGCTTACATGGAAAGACCCACCGATGGTAGCAGAAAGGTGAAGATGTGCTAAACGGATGTAGACTCTTTGTCGTGGCTCGACCCGAATCAACCAATAGCAGGTGACGTTACGTGGATACGTGTCAGGATAACCAGGTGACACGATTTCACCTGTAATCATAGGTATGTAAAGCGTGGACAATAAAAATCTATACATTGTTCTTTTTCCATTTCTTACCTGTTAATTGGCCAGGAGTTGTTGCTCCCCCGCACTGATGTTCGAACATTTTCTCATCATCCGGAACAAATGAAGGGGGTTGCTTTATTAGGGCTAAAATGACAAAAATTTACCCTATGCAATATACTGTACAGAATTATTGTGGTGGTTCTATTGAAAGCAATGGAACAGCACTGTGGGAAATAGTATTCTCGTTCAATTCTAGTGTGCGCTGACTGCCTCATCGTCTGCGCTCTCTTCAATTAGAGCACTCTCTCGGTGTGCAGACGCGCGATTAGTGTGTCTCATGACGCAGAACTTGTTAACCAATCGGGCTCGCATTGATATTAACTTTTTTTGATTTTTTCAATCAGCATATTTTCGAATCTTACAAATTTTTTGTATCTAGTAAAAGAGCAAAAGAATTAACGAATCTATATATATATATCAGTGGCGTACCCAGGATTTCGGCTCGGGGGGGGCGCGGCAAAAAAATTTTTCAAATGAAGGGGCGTGGCGTTAGCCACGCACTCCGAAAAAATTTTAGGGGGTCTTCTCAACAATTTTGCGGGCCCCCAACCCCTAAAATCTGAAAAAAGGGGGCGTGGCGTTAGCCACGCCCCCGAAAATTTTTTTTTATAAGGCTAATTTGAATTTTTAAAAAATTTTAAAAATTATTTTAATTGTTTACAAAAATAAACAAGTCATTTGCACATTTTTACAACTCATGTAAGTAACTTTCAAAAATTTCGCGACCCGTTCTCGGGGGGGGCGCGCGCCCCCCCCGCCCCCCCCCCTCGGTACGCCACTGATATATATATATATATATATATAACTCAAACTTTGTAAGTGTGTTCGTTTGGTTGTTGGTGCGTTATGGAAACGCCCGCCAATGAACCGATTGAGCTGAAACTTTGCACACGTATGTACAGGGTTGGCCATAATTATAGCGACAAGATTTACTGCAATTAGCGTACTATTCTATCGCGCACATAGCGCGCCAGTTTTATCGATTTTTCAATCTCATCATTTTTTCTAACTCCTGTTAAAATTTGGTTAAATTTGGTCCATTTATAGTGAAATGGTGAAGCCTTTCCTGATCGTTCCGCTTTCCTTCGTCTGCACGAAGCCGGCCGCCCACCCGCCACGATCGCTATGTAAGCACCTCGGCATCCACCGCAGCGTCGTGTATCGCACACTCCAACGTTATCGAGACCTTGGTGGACTCCAAGACCGCCGAAGAAGTGGAAGACCTCGTACTGCTCGCACGCCGAAGGTCGTCGAGGGGCCGTCCGAAGGTCGTCCCGGCCGTCATTCGTCGACCCCGGCGTCAAAATCGACAAAGATTACTACCTGAAGACGATTTTGGAAGATGCTCTACTCCCGTGGGCAAATTTCCACTTCACACGCCGCCCGTGGACATTCCAGCAAATTTCGGCGCCCGCCCACAAGGCCAAGGTCGTCCAAGCGTGGTGCAAAAGCGAACTCCCCGAGTTCATCCCGGCAGAAGAATGGCCGGCATCGTCACCGGATTTGAACCCACTGGACTACATCTTGTGGTCCTACCTTGAGAGCAAGGCCTGCGCCACTCCCCACTCCAATTTGGATTCTCTGAAGGCAGCGCTCATCCGAGAATGGGACGAAATCGACGAGGCACTCCTGCGTCCGGTCATCGAGCCTTTCCCAGGCGACTTTGCCCTGTCGTCCGTGCCAAAGGTGCCCGAATCGAGAAGTAACTTATGATTGTTAATGTACCAGTTGTTACTTAATAAATGTTATGTTCATGACTCGTTTGCACTTCTCCTTTCTGAGATACAAGGTGAAAACCTTGTCGCTATATTTATGGCCAACCCTGTATTTGACCACGGAGCTGATTTAGCGCTACTTTTTGGTGCAATTCGCTGGGCAATTCTATTGATTTATTGATTTTTGGCATAAGAATGAGTTCTCAATATGGGCTAACAAGGCAATTAAATAATTTGTGTAAACAATAGAACTAGAGTTTATTCGATTCTCGCGGTAGGAAGGATGCGGTGATTCAAGACGCTTCAGCGGTAAATGACTTTGACACAGAAACCTCCTGTACGCAGCATAATGACTAGGTGGGAAGGAGAGGAGGATGGGGGGGGGGGGAGGGGCTGGAGCAAGGGTCGGCTGACGTGGCCCGGGCTAGGTCGGGAAAACCACTAGTGATAAATAAAATTTTTGCGATTAGCAAAACGATTAACATTAACAGTCGTAAACGAAGTACAAGGGCAGTGGGTCGGCAAATCCCCGATTTGGTTTTTTTGCTTACCTGGGTTAACTCGACGCGCTGATTTCGTAAATCCACATTTTAGATCGCGAAAATGGCTAAAACCAGCATTTCCCATGCCCCCTCGCTTTGAATTTGGATGAGTGGAACGCTCCCCGCCCATGGTTAGAGACGCAGAGTTGTAGTGGGACCCTCGTGTTCATAGCATTACGGCATGCCGCCTCTGACGGCGTGAGGGATATCGCGAGCTCGTCCGAGCGCGTGTAAGAATGGCTTGCGCGCACGGATTTAGGGGCAATTTTCTAGGCAGGGGTTGCATGCTGTGCGCTCGGACTTGCTCCATTGTCGTGTTTGGGGTGAAAACAACCTTTTATATAAAAATTTCGAGATTTTTGATTTGCCGAACCACTGTCTTTAAAATTTCAAGATTTCCACCCTAACATCACGATATAATTTATGTGATTACCTTCTGAAATGATCTCATATCTAAGCCTAAATCCACGATGATGTCGACCAGGAGCGGTAGTGACAAATTGCACATGCACGGTTGGTTGCATGGTCTCGATCTTTGCCGGTACCGTCGTACCGCATAGTCGATTACCGATATGCTCTTTACCTGAAAGTAAAGAATTCTGCAAAAACAATAGACCAGTGGAAGTTATGTCAATGGAAAAGAGCTTAAAATGGGAATAGTGGTTGTGTTTGACGTGCTGACCGCTAAAGACCGCCCAAACTCGACCTCGTGTCAAGCACCCATGGGATGTGACTGGAGTAGCTCATTTTCACATCTCCCCGGGGAAAGTTTTGAAGTTGAAAGAATGTTACAGCTACTGCAGTGGGAGGTTGATAGAATGTTAGTTTATGCACTTCGAAATCTATAAAAAAAAGATTTATAGAGCAAAAACCCATTTTAAATTTCAAATTAATGCGCGATATATGATGTGTGGCCTATGGACAAGCCCAGCTGTGTTCCTCCAAGTATACCATCATTTGAGTACGCTCAGAAAATATAATATTTTTCATGGTTACGGAAAAAATTTACACAACAACAAGGTAGTTTAACAAGGAAACCCTAGTGATTCAGCAAGCATAAGGTAATTTTAAAATTAACAAATTTATAAATTACCGGAGGAGGGAGAGCGAATGCGGCGCATAAGTCGAAGACGAATAAAAGCAAAGTTTCAGAACATTGGTTTTGCCTTATTCTTTCTGAGCAGTGTAACAAATTAAGAGAAGGCTGAGTGAGAAAAAAACTGACGGCGAATTTTACAAAGAGAAGTTGCAAGATTTTCACTGCATCATAAATCCATCCATATAAAAACAAAAAATAATTTTTCTCCTTATTTTTAGATAGCGAACTAAGATGGATGAAGAAGTACCAACCTTGTCGATCCACGACGATGACCAATACATAAGCTTCCAAGCATTGACCACTATTTCTGCAAAATCCATGTTAAAGTCGACTGCACGAAATCGCCCATATCGCTGTAGGCTGAACGCACGCGAGCGTGCCCGCAACGCGGCTGCCGAGTACGGGCGCTATGATGACTCATGCGCGCGAATGTCAACGTTAGCCCGCAAGAGACACGCTCGGGGGTGTTCAGCCTGGGCGATTCCGTGTGGTCAAACTATACGTACACTACGGTGTATTTCAAATTTTAAATATTTTAAATTGGATTTTTTTTTGAATATTTCAAATATTACCTGTAGTTTTCAGCAAGATCGAATGATAGAAATGTGAGATGTATCACATTTGATGGAACGGTCGATATGTTGAACAAACATGAAAGTCCGGAACGATATGGTGTGGGAAATGCCGGTGATTCAAGTGTACCTGAAAAATCGATATATCGATTAGCCGCACTCAGCCACAGTTGTTACAAGCGAAGACCTTTACACTACCGTATGCCACCGTAACCTTGCGCAGTCGCCGCAAGATAAAAAACATTTGCTGTTGTCTGCTGAATTCTTGGGTGTAGTAGCATAGCATATGATGTCAGTCTTACCGCGCATACGGTAGCATTCTATAGCGTGCAAAAGGTCCGCTAACTCTGCTTGCATTTTCAAAATGCACTGGAAACTAGCAGGTTGCTCAACCGACTGCATTAGATTCGTAAATATCAAATTTGTGCAACAAAGAACTTCGAGCAAGGTGCAGGCTGCAGGGGCTCCACCTCCTGCATGCAACGGCGCAGAAAGAAAGCTACTGCAAAGCTGCAGAAAATTGAAGCGGGGGAAAAATAACTGTTTGCAGGATAGGAGTTCTAGAACTAAGAAAAGCCTTTCTCCTAACCCAGCAAAAAGATTGAAATAGCACTAAAGTTCAGGGCGGTCACTGGTGTTATGGTAAAACAGTTATCGCCCTGGACTAGAACAGCGCCCATGGCCCGATCGGATGTTTGTTCATAACCGTGAAACAGTGCCCGATGATTGGGAAATTAAACGCCCCCCCGTCATGAAATCTGTTGCATGGACTGAGTGCCATTGCAGACATTCTGGCGTCTCTTCCCTCAAATCACACTCTCATTACTCTCATCGTCTGCGCTCTAGCTTTTTCACGGTAGTAAAGCAGTGACAGTAGTCCATGCGGTTCATGACTTCATAAACGACTATGACTTAACAGACAGAATTGTTTGACCCCCCCCCCCCCCCCCTTCTCACCTGCACTCGGTCGATCCGAGAAGATATGTCTATCGGCGCATTCGGCTGTGGTCGTCATCAACGTCGACAGCGAGACGTCGACGAAGGCGAACAGCAGCACGGCTGTCGTCACCTGCTGCCGCATCGGACATCGACGTGTTCTGCTTCTTCACCGCACGTCAACGTTCCACATCAACAGGTACCTGATATTGATTTGGATTTTGTGCAAATTCGTATACGACTAGCGGGTTCGAAATTAGTACGGATTGGAGAAAACAGTGCCATGTGAAAATCGTCGACACAAACAGCTACATTAGACATTCCGAACAATTTCATGCAATCATTAAGTGTAGAAGTATCAACGATAACATGTCAGGAAAGAAAATTTTATATATAAAGTTGGATATTTGTTTGTCTATATGCTTGCATGTTAGTCTGTGTGTGTCTGCACGTATGCTTCGAATAGAAAATTCCATTTCTGACCGATCCGGACCAAACTTGGCCCACACCTGGAGGAGAGAATGCCATAGGCTACTTTTCGTTATCAAGATATCGAAATTATTGATTTTTATCAAGAGGGTTAAGGGGCATGCTGATTACGAATACAATATTATCTTTCAAAGTTATCGAATACTTCTATCGATTTTACCGATTTTTTGCAAAGTCGAGCTAGGGGCTTGGGAATTGGCACAGGGGGGTAAGTGGGCATGCTGATTACAAATACAACGGGAATAGAGATTTGGCATGTAGGAGTGGACACAGGGAAAGGTCATACAGGGAGTGGGATGGGACCTTTACCATAGTGTTTTGACAGGGCTGGGAGGAGCCGATTAAGCGAGCTATTTCATGATACAACGATTAGTGACAAAAAACAGAGTTCCAACAAAAGAGGGAATATCTTGAAGAGGAGAACATCTACTGCGTAGTATGTAGTTCAAATAAAGTCTAAATCAAATAAAAGGGGTAACCTTTTGATTTTAGTTGACTAAGAAAAAACCTTTTCTTCCAATGACTTCTTCTAATGAAAATTTTTACTATTCATGCAGGGTGTCCCAAAAGTAAACGGATTAGCCACTGGGCACATTAGAGTCCCTAAATTCAAATATGAAATTTTCACTTCACCGCAGTACTTGGTTCGTAAGTTATGCCGAGTATATCACTGGTCAGAAAAAGCTGAGAATCTAAGTGGTGCAATTAAAGCATGAATACCTGGAACACATAGTGAAATTCTTCAGAAAAATTTTATACGGCAGCTTAACTACAATGGCACTGTTTGCTGGGAAGTTTACCGTAATCCTACGTAATCCGTATGAGACCATATAGTGATTGGCTCCACACTGTCTAGGCTCTACGGTGCCTAAAGGTGAGGTCATAAGAAATGCACGAGTGACTTTCTCATATTTGTAAATAGCTGAAATGGTTTCAAAATTTTACAAAATTTCAAATTAACCTAGTAGAAAGATGGAGGCGTGCTCGTGGTTATAGAGCCGGCGAATTTATCGGAAAGAATCCCAGATGTTTTGGAGTGCGCGTGTAACGCAACGCACCTTTACTCAAACATTACTTTTGTTCCGCCCTTCCCCTCCCCCCCCCTTCCCCCATTTCAGAACTCCTGGGAATACTACTGGTATGTAGCAGCGGCGTACCCACGATTTCGGCTCGGGGGGGGGGGGGCAATGAATTTTTCCAAATGAAGGTGCGTAGCGTTAGCCACGCACTCCGAAAAAAAATTTAGGAGGGCTTCTCAAAATTTTTGCGAGCCCCCAACCCCTAAAATCTGGAAAAGAGGGCGTTTAAAAGGCTAATTTGAATTTTTAAAAAATTGAAAAAATTATTTTAATTGTTTGAAAAATAAACAAGTCGCGTGCACATTTTTATAACTCATGTAAGTAACTTTCAAAAATCGGTACGCCACTGGTATGTAGTAATGAAAGTATCGTGTGCCACTTCGGTGACAAGTATGTCAAACGTTCGATATGAACAAATTCTCAACTCAGATCACGTCAAACTTTTTCACAATCAGTCCAACGAATAGAATAGAATACATTCACTACGATCATGATACAGAATCTTGACACTGCTAGATTAACGCCTGTTGAAACGTAGGTGACGATATGCTATCAATGTGCAGAAGAATCACAAAGAATCCATGTCTTATTCTTGAGAGTTTAGAAACTGAAACAATAGGATTTTGTTTTTGAATTTTAGACGGGGAGCTTATGCAGGAATGAGTCAATTTTACATGCTATTTCCCATTTTGTATGTGGGTCTCTTTCATGAATAAAGGTAGAAGAGTATTTTCAATCGAATATGTTGAGCTCTTCTTTGCTGAAACCGTGTAAGTCAGAGAATTTTTAACCATAGAAAAAAACACGCTCCCAATGAACTCCGGTCGCCTGAGGTGCTAGTATATCTCAAAATCAAATAGAAGAACTTTACAAATTTTCTTACTTTGAGAAATTACGTGTTGTGATTAACAAATAAACTGAGTAGATGAATCAAACTTTCAATAAGTCAAATACGCAATCTTTTATAAATTTTAAGTCGTGTTGGCCATGGCTGAAGCGACTCCGACTGCAGTAGAGATAGAACCCGCAGAAACGAAATCAATCAACTACGTAAGAAATGAGTAGCGTAAAGTCTTGCGTATAGAGAATGTGAATTTTAGGCAGAATGCAATAGCGTGGAACCATATGCCTTGACCTCTCACCGTTCTAATAGCTTCAAAACTTGCACGCCCCTTTTGGAGACCCTCACAACCCGCGCAATTTTGAACGAGGTTTGATCGCCTTTTTAATGTCCAAGTCTAGACAAATAAAGGTGTTCTTACGAGCACCCATGCACTCTTCGTCTGCTCTATTTGTCTCAAGAGCCACTTTTGGCAAATTAATGCTTCTTGAAGCGCGACGTTGTCTAGTATGGCATCCCGTTATGGCATCTACACATCAACTTTGAACTTCTTTAGTTTAAAGTTTCAAATCATTTACGAGATATCTAACAAGGAAAAATGGTGTAGACCAACAAATTTAGCGTGCATGATAGTTCGCCTGATAATCTAACCAACTTGGTTCTCGGTGAAAAAAAGTTTCTCGGTGAAATTTTAGTACAAAATGAATTCTGAAAAGTGAAGTAACAAATTTTGCAGCGAGAGCCTACGCTCATTATCGAACAATTGGATCAAAGACACCGCCCGCGACGCAGACCGTGCCGCAGCACGACTGTAAATTACGCAGTTCTACGTTTGCGCACTGCCAGTACAGTCTGTTCCGGTCCGAGATTTGATCGCCCTCGTGGCTTGCATTTCTCTCTATGTATGACGCCGTTATGATTCGTCGTGGCAGGACCACGTCTGCACTCTACTCGTTTTCTTCAATCTCTAACTGGCAAAATGCCAGTATTTATTCTGATGTGCACATGTAACGCAAGTTCCTGGAGTTTTGGACTCGAACGTGCAATGTCACGTTGACGTATGATAATTTTAATTTGAAAGACTGTTTATCAAATTTCATCAGCTAGGTGGCTATCACATTTAAATTGTAGTGAGAGAGTTTCAGCACATTTGTTTCAAAAAATCTCAAATTTCTTGCATCAAAACAAATGCACTCTGCCTCCATACCTTTTTGCCCAACCTTTGGCTGCGATAGAGAATGCAAAAATTGAGGAAGCTAAGCTAAAGTGCAACCAGGCAAGAGAAACAGAAATTTTCTTATATCGAATCAATTAGTGTCAAATTCCATTAGGATGTGAATGTCACGGCTGATTAGTGTATTACTTCGAAAACCTCGCAAAATGAATTCGCTTAACACGAATGCAAAAAACGAAGAAGAAACGGAAGGAGGTAACAAGCAATTAAGGGAATGATTTCGAGAAATTAAGACGAGTCATTCAAGGGAACGATGTTATTCATAATTTGACAGGGATCTGCGAAAAATAGATGAAAACGTGCTTTGAGAAAATGTGAATAATTAGGAACAGGGTTGGGTTATTTATAGTGAAAAGGTTTATTAGTTCTATATGGGTAGCCGTGACGTACCCAGGAAATCCGCTCGGGGGGGGGGGGGGGGGGGCGACAAAAATTTATTCTAATGAAGGTGCGTGGCACGCACCTAAAAAAATTTTGGTACTCTTCTCAAAATTTTCGCGGGCCCACAACCCCGAAATTTTAGAAAAAGACGATGTGGCGTCAGCCATGCCCCCGAAAAATTTTTTTTATAAGGCTAAGTTGAATTTTCAAAAAAATTTTTAAATCTAAAAAATCATTTTAATTACTTACAAGTATAAATAAGTCTCTTGCACATTTTTATAACTCAATGTAAGTAACTTTCAGAAATAGAGAGAACAAATAAAATCAAAGGAGGAAGATAACAAGGAAATGCAATGACTTTTTGGGCAAGCGTAGGTAGGCTTGAAACGCCAAATGAAAATCATTTCTGAAGAATTGTAACATCCTACTTATTGAACATAAAAAATGAATAAAGCTTTATCAGAGTTTTTTTAAATGAGAAATCTGACATTTACTAATTTTGTGAGACTCCGCCAGGGAACGAGGAGTGATAATGGAAGGAGAACTGCGCAAGAATGAGTAGCAAATCTAATGTGGCTTAAACATGTTTCAATGCTGTGAAAGTAACATTTTACTGGTGAATGATTTTGGAATTTTCAGAAGATTTAAGTAAGCTTTACAAAATTTAAAGGCGTGGCTGCCCTAGCCTTCTTTTTTTTCAGAATTTCGAAGTTATAGACCTCAAGTAATTTGGCAAGCATTGCAAAAGTGTTGCGAGAGGAGCTACTTCTAACCGCCTTCATTTAAAATTTTTTTTCTGTTCTCCCATTCCTCTGGAAGAATATTTTCTGATCGCCACCGGTAAGATTTTACAAGCAATAGACGAGAACGGATAGGTGATTAGCAGGTTTGAGTTCTAGCTAGTGAAAAAAAGAAGAGGTAAGCACAAGAATTTCCCTCAAAATAATCTAGAAGGAAGTTTTGTTCAAAGCTGAGGATGTAGGAAGCTCACAAAGATTTGTAGACGAATCCGTCCAAACAATACGAATTCGATGCATTCTTCAAGCGCTTGGGGTAGGGCTGTATTGCTCCGAGTCATTAGCCTGAACGTAAATGAAGTTGGGCGCCTACGCTCCATTTTC